GCTGGAAGGACTCGAACGGAGCGTGTGACCCAACCAATGGATTTCTCGTTCGAGGAGTAATCCATTCATTGGTGGGGTCGCACGTTCAGTTCGAGTTTAGCGACTCTGGAGCTGAAAACGCGTCCAGAATTTTGGCCGCCTCCACCGGTCTTCCGGCCCACTGCGCGCAGGTCCTTCCTCGTGCCGGCGACAAGCCGACGACAAGCTGGACGGAGCTAGAGTAGCCGGCGGCGCGACCGGCCGCCCGAAATGCCCATGTTTGCCAAGGCGACGCCGGGCGGTGACGTGAGCACTGCTGGTGCACGGCGGCGGCGACCGGGCCCCGCCGACAAGACGCCCCGCCCCGCCCCGCCCCGCCACGCCCCGCCCCGCCCTGTCACACGCGACGGTCACGGCGACGCGCGTGTGTCCAGGCACGCGTGATGGCGGGCTGCGCTGCGTTTGCTCTCCGGACAGTGCAGTGCTGTCTGTCTCTCTCGCACTCCAGGCCACCCCGAAGGGCTGCGAGAGAGAGAGAGAGAGAAACAGAGTGTCTGCCGGCAGGCGCACGCCGTACCGCGGCCCTCTCGCCCCGCTCGCGTTCCTGTCCTGTGCACGTTGTGCACGTGGGAGTGAAGGACCTAATGAGGTGTGGTGCCAATAACTGCTCCAAGGGTCAGCGGCCAATTAAAGGCGGCCGTCTCTCTCTCTCTCTCTCTCTCTCTCTCCCATGGGGCGCGCCGCAAGGGCCGTAAGGGAGTGAGAGAGACGGAGCGAAGAAGCGGCACTGCGGAATCGGTCTGCAGGGGGCGCCGCGCGGCACCACGCTGAGAAACACACCTCCCTCGCCGGAGCGTCATTTCTTGTTTCGAAACGCGCGCAGCAGACTGATTCCGAGAGTCGTTTTCGTCGCTCTGTCTCTCTCGCACTCGTGGGGCGTTGTTAGGGGTGCGAGGGGGACAGAGCGACGAAAACGACTCTAGGAATCAGACTGCTGGCGTCTGGAGGCTGGAGGTGCAGCAGCGATAGGCAGTCGGTCGGCTACGCGGCTACGCGCCTTCACAAACTAATGAACAGTTCGCGTGCGTTAGAGCGCGAGTGTGTGCATGTGTGCGTGAGCTGGCGTTTGGGCGGTTTGTCTCTATCCACTTCCTTCCGCCTGGATTACGCCCTCCCCACAGTGGATTTGCTAGAGGACCGGTGGAGGCGGCCAAAACTCTAGACGCGTTTTGAGCTCCAGAGTCGCTAAACAGGACTCGAACCGAACGTGTGACCGAGGGGTGAGTCACTAGTGTACTCATGTGTACAAATTTGCCCGTACTCAGTGTACTCACAAGTTTTAAAAAGGTGTAATTCTCTAGTTTTTCGACTGATTTAACGTCGACTGCCGTTAAAAACGCTAAATAAAGCCTTAAAACGTTTCAAATTGTGAAATTTATGAGTAAAGCAAGGTGTACTCACCCGTACTCATGTACTCATGTGTACACCAGAACGCCGAGTGATTCACCCCTCGCGTGTGACCCCACCAATAGATTGCTCTCCGAACGAGGAGTCCATTGATGGGGTCACACGTTCGGTTCGAGTCCCATTCAGTGACTCTGGAGCTCAAAACGCGTCTAGAGTTTTGGCCGCCTCCACCGGTCCTCCGGCAAACCCACTGTGCGCCGCACCGCAAGCGAGAGAGTGCCAAACGGAGTGCATCCACCTCCTTCCTGCCAATCACGCCGGGGAATTGATGCGCACGCGTGATGCATCGTGCAGGCGGGCAGGCAGGCGGCCCTAGGCGGTCCGCTCGAGCGTGCGAAAATGGACGCGGTGGATCTGGCGGACCCAATCAGTCAATCTGGCCGCCTAGGCGTCCGAACAGTCGCTCGCAATCGCTCTGTCTCTCTCGCGCTCGCGCGGCGTCCCGTAGGGCCCGTAGGGCTCGTAGGGGGTGCGAGAGAGACGGCGTGTGCCTTCCGGAGCCGCCAGTCTGCGCCGGCTGATTCAATGTCGCCCGTCACTCGGCGAGCCGCGAGGCCGCGAGGCCATCGCGCCAGCTCGTGCGGGTGAAAGTTCAAAAAGAGTGCAGGATTCGGCGCGACGCGACGCGGGGACTCGCGCAGCGCAAAGGCAACACGGCGATGGAGCGTGACACAGTGGCCCGCCTCGTCCGCTGGTCCCAGTCCGCTTGTCCGTCGCGTGTCCGGCCGGCCGGCCCCGCGGGGCCCCGCGGAGCCCCACTGCAGGTGTTGCGCCATCGCCGGGCCACTTCCGGTGCTCCACATTAGCATGCCACATCCCGGGATGTTCTCCAGGACCACGTCGACCACGGCCACGCCGGCCTCGGACACCGCCACACAGTGGGCCAGAAGACCGGCGGCTAATCGCACTCCGTAACAAAGATGTTCTACTAAGGGAAGGCCCAAAGAGTACCCACCCGTTGAGGGAGAACGATTCGCCGCCATAGATTAGACGCAGTGGCTGCCTAAAGTCAGCCCATACCATGATTTCTGCACATTTAACGTTTTGATCTAATTTGCGGACTGCTGATTTGAAGTTTTTTTGGTCAAGAGCTTGGCGGGTGTTAGCCACTCCGGGTAGGCCAGCCTGCCGAAACGGCGTGTGCTGCGGCACGGCCTGCTCGCCGGGCGGAACGACACTTTGTTGTCACTTTTTATAACAAATGTATCACTAGTGGCCTCTTGGCGGCTTCCTGGTCCGAAAATCGGCCGCAGCGACCAAATTTCCGCTCCAAACTAAACCAAACAAGAAGCAAACTTTATTTTTTTTTTTCAAAACGCATCCGGATGAAGAGCGTCAAGTGGACTGCGCCTAACCTGATCCTCCAGCCAGCCCAGCCCGGCCCGATAGTGTGGTGCACCGAAACGCGGCCCGAAGCCCGAATCGGGGTCGCGTTGCCTCACCGGCCTGGCCGATCATCGGCAGCTCATCAGAGCCGCATCGCTTCGCTTTGCTTCGCATCCCCGGCGCCACCCGATCGGCACTCGTTTCCGACTCGATGCGCTCCATCTGTCTCTCTCGCACTCATGGGGCGTCCCGTATTGGCGCGAGAGAGACAGAGCAGGGCCACGCGGACCGCATTGACACTTGGCTAATGAACACATTGCGGTCGGGCGTGAGAGGCCTGCAGAGGCTGGGCACCTTGTCGCACCAGCGGCCCTCCACGTGCCGCCCCGCCCCGCCCCACCCCGCCCCGCCCCGCACCTGTTGGAGAAGAGGCGTCCGTTTGATAATCCAGCGCGCTAATCGCTGACGAGACGTCCTTTTCGGTTTCGTTTTTCCGGCTGCCGAATCTTCTCCGAGTCGGTCCGTCCGACGGCCGAACCGACGCCGCCCTTCGCTGCGGCGGCCTCCCCTCCGGCACTGCGCCGCCACCGCGGCCGCGACGGACGGGGAAGGGCGCCGCGGTGGGGGACGCCGGCTGGGGGACGCCTCCGCGGCCAGGACGGCCAGGAAGGAGGGAGGCTCGCCCGGCCAGGCCGGCGGCGGCCCCCGCGACCCCGCCCCACCCCACCACGCCGCCGCGGCGACCACCGCCACGCCGGGGACGTTCTTATAAAGCGGCGTCCGCGTCGACCCGGCGTCATTGTTGTGTTTGTAGTGAGTGCGACATCACGCCCGTGCCACCATGCGTGCCCACTGTCTGTTCCTGGTACGTCCGTGCATGTGTGTGTGTGTGTGCCCAGTGTGTCAGTGCGTCGCCGTTCCCGCCCCTGTGGATACTCCTCGACCGGCGCCGCATCGCAACCCCTCTGGATTTTACGCGACAGTGTTTCGCAGTGTGGTGTGGTGGAGTCGCGGCCAGCCGGCCGGTCGCGAACTCTGTAGACTTGAACGCCAGTGTGGCCAGAGAGCGCAGTCCAAGATTTCGTTTTGTGTTTGCGAACGAGCGTCTTTTCTCCATCCGGTTGGTTGGAAACCAACAAAATAACAAATTTGAGGAAATTTGATGAAAATTATGTAAATTATTTCAATTTTGTTTCTAGTGCTTTTGTTTTAAAATCTCATTCAACGAACGTTAATGAAAGCAGATGATACTTGTTTCGTTTTCTTCTACGGGGTAGTATGGGCTCATTGGTAAAGATAGTACTATCAGTTCATGCATATACAAAATATGCATCCCCGCTGTAGCGGGGAGGGATTGTCAATGTTGCGCGCAGGCCGTCGCGCGCGAGGAAGGGGTGCCATTGTCAAATTCCGCGCGGGCTGCGCCGCAGGCACAGCCAGCCAGCCAGACGCACCATCCCGCACCGGCAGCCGCAGCCCCCATTATATTGTTAGGTTTTTGGACTTTCGAGTAAAAGCTAGCTGACACCTTTATGTGTCTTGTAGTTGTAGTTTTAGGTATGTTTTTAAGTAAAGGTATCATCTGCTAAAAAATTTAAGAGCAGAAATTACAATTTGCCATGATAATTGTTTTAATTTGAAAAGGTCTCATGAATTTTCCCAGCCTATTAAAAATAAAATAAATTAGATCAGAAGAGGCTTTGCAAGGACCCAGAGCTCCGCGCGGGACACCATTGCCCCTGCCACACGGCAGGACCTCTGACCATCCGAGGTGCCCTATTCCGCCACTAGGTTTTGACCGCTGCGTCCGAGGCGAGCCGCCGCCCCTTTAGGTCACGCTCAGTCACCGCCGACAGAAATTTTCTAATTGCTAAAGGCAAGAAACATTACAGGAGAATTCCTCTGTCTTTCGTCATTCGTCTCTATTCTTCAGTAATGTTCCACCGAGCGCATAGAAGGATCGCTGCCGGCGGCGCTGGCCCCACCGTATAGTTATAGCTTCTTTCCCCGGACGAGGTTTCGGCCCTAGTGACGGAGGTACAGCCCGGCAGGTAGCGGCCCTACGGTGCGGCCCCATCCTTCGAGTTTCAAGTTTTTAATTTCAAGTTTCACTCCCAAATCACCCGGGCCTGTTCTTGCCTTATTTTTTGGAAACTTCAAATGTATCATCTGCTTACAAATAACGTAAAAGAAACAAGTTGCGAGGAAAATTGAAGCAAGGAACGTTCATGGAAACAGATGATATTCATCTGGTACTGTCCTGTGTGCTAGTTGTGGCAGTATGCTCCTATCTTTGTGATTGTATATACAATTGTAAACTAGCTGACACCTTCATGTGTCTTGTATTGTTCTAGGTATGTTCTCAAGTAGTAAAGGTATCATCTGCTAAAAAATCAAGACTGTAAATTTGTGTTTGTTGTCATTCTAAAAGCGCTCGAATGCAAAGACAAAACGGTCCAAAAGACGATAATGAAAGGGACTGCGGGTCGGTTCCGGCCGGTGCAGCCGGACGGCCGCGGCCACACTGATTGAAACACTCTCCGCTCCGCGCTCCGCCCTGCGACTGTGCTCTGTGCGGTCCGTCCGGGTCCGTCCGTCCTGAAAGGCAACGTGAATGGACAGTCGCCCCTTTCTTCGCCCCCCCCCCCCCTCGGCCACGGCGCCATCTGTCCGCGGCGGTGAAGGTGTCCAGGAAATGTCGCCGGCACCGCTTTCTTTGTTCACACCCCTCTCGGGGCAGAGGGAGGGGGGAGGGGGAGGCGTGCGAACGCGAGTTGCGCGTTCGGCACACCGCAATGACGGCCTTTGTGTAGTGACGCATCATCGCCGCGGGGGAAAGGCCGGCCGGGGTCAACAAAACGCGTTGGTCGAAACAACCAAACTCACCGAAAACGTTCGATCATTTTCTTTTCGCTTCCGGCCAGTCGATGTGATACGCGGAACTGAACCGAACCGTTCACCTTTCCCATCCATCCGCGCATCCCATTAGCACGTGCTGGGCCGCTGGGCCGCGACCGCAAGCGTGGCCAGGCGGAGCGCGGAGCAGGGCGTCCTGGATGCTAGTGTATCGGCACATTCATTACCGCCATGCGCGATGCGGCGCGCGCGCGATGACGCAATGAAAGCCGTCCCCCAGGTTCGTCTTCGTCTCCTTTTTGTCCGCGCCCCGCCTCGCCTTCCCTTTCTCCGCGCGGATCATAATGATAATGATAATAATGAAGCCGGGCCGGGACAACACCCCGCGGGCCGCGGCTAGCGAGTGTGGCGCGGCGTGGCGCTGCGGTGGCGCGGTGCCCCCCTGGCTCGGCGGGGCTCGATGCACGCCGTACCGCGCCTCTGCCGCGGGCCTGCGCCGCCAGCTCGGCGTGCTCCGCGGTGCTCCGCCACCACGCCATCAAGTCTCGCCTCATCTGCGCGCTGACCGCCGCCAGCCGGCGAGCAGCCCGAGTCCCCCGAGTCCCCCGCGATGCAGTCCGGCCGCCCCCTCCTCGCGGTGGTCAGCCTCAGCCTCAGCCTCAGCCCGCCGTTTTTGCAGCCGCCTTTCTCCGCGCATGCGTCCGCGCGGTCGAGCCGATACACGCCGCGGCCGGCCGGCAGAACCATTTCCGAGGGGGCGGTCTCTCTCTCTCTCCCTCGCACTCGTGGCAGGGACGGGGCGACGGGGCCTCCCTCTCGGAATCAGCCCGCAGGCCGGCCGGCAGGGCCTAATGACCGTATGAGTTGCGTTTCTTGTCGACGGCCTCCTCGTGACGCCCCGGCCGCCGTCCGGCGAGGCGACACGGCCTCCCTTTCCCCGGACCGCGGCGCACTCCGCGGCGACGCGTGTCCCGCCTCTTTGGCGCGGCTCCCTAATACGGCCGGATTGAGGGTCCCCGCCGACCGCGGCCGCCGCCGACCGAGCACGCCGCCGACAACGCCAAAACGCGTCGGTGCGCAGTGTAGTGTACCCGGAGTACCCGCCAGGAAACATGGGGCCGCCTCCGAGTCCGGCCTTCCTGTCCAGCGCCGGCGAGGCCCTTGGACTCGGCGGCTGCGTGACGCAAGGATGCAAACGGGGAGGCGGCACGTCCCACCAGGCCCACCATGGGCCCGCCAGGTCGCCGCCAAACTTTGAACTTGCGCGCGTTTTGCTTTGTTACTCCGGCGGCCGTGGGGCGGCGGAGGCGGAGTTAAATCCCCCTGGCGGCGGATTGCCGCGGATTGCGGCGGTGACGACGCGGACCTCGTTATTGCGAGGATCGCGACAAGCCGGGCGGCACGAAGCGGCGCGGCGCGGCGCCAAGCACGCCGACGACGAGGGTGTTGTTGTCGCCGGGCCGCGGGGCGTCCGTCCGGTGGCTGCCGTCGGCTGCCAGTGGCGGTGGCATCACTCGCCGCCTTCCTCGCCGTCGCCTTCCCGTCTTCATTTTCCCCTTGATTGCTGCGCTGCGGCCGCGCCATGGCCGCGCGCTCCGCGGCGTGGCGCCACGTAACACCGCGGCGCGCCAAAACGAACCCAAAACGCGAAAAGCAAAAAAAACACGCGGCCGGCACGGCCAGCACGCCGCCGCCAGTTTAGCGCGCGCGGCCGCCGCATCTCACGACCCATCTCGCGGCGTGACACACGCGTGCGTGACACGTAACGGCGGACGCAGACTTCGGCGTCACGACCACGTCGCTGGGGTCAAAGGGGCGGCGGTCATGTCATATCGTGCCCGCTGCTGCTGCACTGCTAGCCCCCCCCCCCCCCCTCTCAGCTTCCGCGCTTCGGTGCCGCCGCGCGTCCCGGAATGCGATCCAGTTGAGCGTAACACTCGCATTATTTGGTGAAAGTCTCTCTGATGGATGCTGTGTGCAGACAGTGGCGCTCGTGCTGCCGCGCGTCCGGGCTCGCATGCGCTGCCTAGCGCCGCCAGGGCTTGCTTCTGTTTCTCCCGGATAGATTACGCGGCGGGTTAGCGCAGCAGAAGTAGCCTGAAGAGAGGAGGGGGAGGGGGCAAGAGCACGCCGACGAGCTGCCGCCGTGTGCCCTGGCAAGCCCTGGCGAGCCCTGGCCGAAATGACCGCCGCATAACCCGGCGCACGTACAGGGGCGCGTACAGGGACGCGTACAGGGACGCGTACTTGGCGTACGGGGAAAGCCAAACGATAGGCTTGGCCGCTCGGCCCGGCGAGCGGAGGCGCGGAGGCGCAGCGCGCAGCGCAGCCAAACCTGCGGCTGGTTCTCTACGTGCGGCGCGGCGCCGGGCCGGGCGGGCCTGGTCGGCATGATAAGCGCGGAGAAAGGACACATTCTGGGAAATGACAACATGACGGAAGCGAATATTTCAATATAATAAGTCATAACTCCAGGACATGGAGGTCAAAAGACGTGTGCCGTGGAATCCAATTGCGCGGAAATCTTAATAAAAAGAGAATCGGAAGAAAGTGTCCCGCCTCCTGCCAACAAGTTCACACCGTCACGCCATAAGTAAGAGCTCGACTGACAGTCCTCCCTTTTTTCCGCACCCGTCCGGCGAGGCGGGCGCGAGGCCCTCCGAGCCGAGGCGGGCGTCGCACAGTGGGCCAGAAGACCGGTGGAGGCGGTCAAAAACTCCAGACGCGGTTTGAGCTCTTAAGTCGCTAAATGGGACTCAAACCGAACGTGTGACCCCACCAATTGATTCCTCGTTCGGAGACCAATCGATTGGTGGGGTCACACGTTCGATTTGAGTCCCATTTAGCGACTTAAGAGCTCAAACCGCGTCTGGAGTTTTTGACCGCCTCCACCGGTCTTCTAGCCCACTGTGTGACGCCTACCTCGGGTGCTATTTTGTAACAGTCGGACGACCCGCCCCGCCGGCCGCCGATCACAGGGGCCGGTCTGGTCCCCGGTCCCCGATGACGGCTTTTCCGGGTGCTTATGGCCGCGCGGGAGAAAACACGTCTGCTACCGAGCTGTTGGTTTTCGGGTGGGCCGCGCGCGGTTGGCGGCGTCGCGGCGTCGAGGCCCGCGCCCGAGGGCCTATCACCGGACGTCCTGCCGAGGACCCGTCATTTCCCATTTCTCCCAGCGATGCCGCGGGCCGATGCCGCTCGGCGATCTGGCGGCGCCAGGGCGGCCAGAGCGGCCAGGGCGGCCAGGGCACGTCTGTGCGGGCGGTGGGAACGGTGGCCGCGGTGGTGGCCCAACGCCCCGGGCCGCCAGGCCACCGCGGCCACCGCCGTGTTGCGCGCAGGCAGCGCCAGGGCCGCGCAAGCGGAAGACAATGAACGACGGCGACGTTTTGGAAAAGTCATGCCGCGAACTGTGCCCGCTGGTTTCCTCAGCCCGTCTTTGGCTGGCGCGTGCCAACGGCAGCCAACGGCAGCAGCCGCGGACCGGGGCGCCGGGGAGTGGAAAAGTGGCGAGGTGGAGGTCGTCGTCGTGATGCCCCTCGCCGCGGGCCGCTGGGTAGAGCAGGAGGAGCAGCGGGAGCGCATTGTGTGTCCTGCAGCAGCAGCCTCGCGTTCCAGGGCGTTTTGAATCTTCCCGCCGTCGTTACGAGTCCCTGAACGCTTTGTTTGCCGGCTGACTGTCTCTGCATGCGGCCCCGGCCCGGCGTCGGCGTGGTGGTCCAGCGGAGGAAGCTCGCGTGATAGCATCGGCGTCGCGGACGGAAGTGGAGCGTCCCGCCCGGCCCGGCCTGGGCTGCCCGGCCTGGGAAGCGGCACAACGAGACCGTACTCATATCAGGCGGGAAAGGGGACCTGTCCAGCGGCGTCCGGACAGCGCCTGGAAGGGCCTGGAAGGGCCTGGAAGGGCCTGGAAGGGCCTGGAAGGGCCTGCAGGGGTCCCCGTCCGGATTGAATAATGTCAGGGAGCGCGGCGCCCTGGCCATCACCTGCCAATTCCCAGCAAGCTGATTCCGAGCACTGCTCTGTCTCTCTCGCACTCATGGGGCGTCCCAAGGAAGCGCGAGAGACAACGTCGGAGGCTGTGCTAGCGGAACACGGGGTGCTTCGCGTCCAGGATTACTGCGCTCGCGACGACGCGGCTTTTTTTTCTGCGAAAACAGTTGCTTATTGCCGCAGACCCTAAAAAGCGAGCCGCGTGTCCGTGCGTAGTCCTTAAAAACAGCCAGCCGGGCCCGCTGCCCGCGCGCTGCCCGCTGATCTCCGAGTAAGTGCCTTACGCAAGGCGCGCCACTGCACTGCCTCCTGCGCCGCGGCGGTGTTTGTTTGCTTTTTGCGATCATAAATCGTGGCCAATTTTATGCGTCAGTTCGCCAAGTGACCGCGAGAGCGCGCGCGGAACAAAAGGGCGTACTTCCCCGGCGCGGCGGGCTGCTTCCGAGCCGCGCGTCTCTCTCGCACCGCTGCGGGACGCGCCTCGAGCGCGAGAGAGACGGAGCGCGGCACGGCGGCGTTCGTCGGCCAGCCTCTCCATTAGCAGGCTCTTGTTGGTCTCCTCGCGGACCCTTCGGCCCTCCGCGGGGCGGCGGCGCGGGCCGGCCGGCCGTTGCAGGTGTCCGCCAACGCGATGAAGATAGTAGTTAGCCGGCATGGGAAAGCCGACGGCGTGGACGGAGAGCCCGGAGTGCTCGGACGGCGACAGCATTATTGTCCGTTTGTTGGGCGATCGAGCCGGCCGTCCCGGCCCGTCCGTGCACGTGCCGCGGCACGGCGCCGACGTGGGAGTCCGCGCGCCACACTGCAAAAAGCGGCGCGACTTATTTAAATGAAATAAAAACGCAGCGGCGTTTCGCAAGGACGGCATTCAATGGGGTTCCAGCAGGCCGGTTCCAAAACGGCGCGTCGTCGCGCGGCCTCTCTCCCGCCCCTACGAAGCGCCCCGCGAGAGGGAAGGAGCGACCGAGGCGCCGCGGACTCGGCCGGCGGGCGAGGACTAGCGAGGACTGCCGGGGCGTCCCTTCCGCGCGACCGAGATAAGTGACCCGCGCCAGTCACTCTGCGGTCCAGCAGGTCTGTCTCTGTCTCTCTCGCACTCGTGGGGCGCCCCGCGTGGGTGCGAGAGGGACAGCAAGAGGCTCGGAATGAGCGTGCTGTGGGTGCCGTGGTCCTGCCTCGCCGTGACAGCGACGGACGGCGCGCAAGTGTGAGAAGAAGAGGACGCTTCTTTGTTGCCCCACTGGTGAGGGCGCGCGCCGCACGACGGCGTCCGCGGCGCCTTGCGACAGGCAGGACAAGGCACTCGATGGCCGCGGCTGCAGCGGTGCAGCAATGCAGCCAGCTGCAGCATGACGACGTGCCGAATGACAGTGTGCAAACGGCTCGCTCGGCGTGGCGGAAAAGAATGCGAATCGGCAATGCACCGACGACGCGCAGCCTCTGGACAAACACGGCGAGAGGGAGAAAGTGGCCGCCCTGGCCGCGGCCGGGGGGCGCCACCTCCGCCACCCACCACTCGGTGCAAGGCGGCGAGGCGGCAAGGCGCACCCATGACGGGTATGACATGGCGCCGCCTCGTCACATGAGGCGACACCCATTTTCCACGTGTGTGGCTGTTTTTGTTTTTACCCTCAACAAGCCGGCCTTTGTCTCTGCCGCCCGGTTTTCGTGACCGCGTCGTGCCGCCGCCGAGCTGTCCTAGGTCAGAGACGCAAACGGGGAGAAAAAGGGGTCGCCCTACAAAGACGGAACCAACGTTTGTTGCGTGGCACCGCGACGCGCCGCGACGCGCCGCCGGTCCCACGGATGGCTGTCACCCACGTGACCCCCGAGTCGTCCTTTCCCAGGCCTGGGCCGATGACGGATTCGGCAACGGCGGGCCGGCCGCGTGCGGTGCGTCGCGGCATCGCGGAGTGGTCGCGGGGTAGTCATGAGGTCGCCGTGGGGAAGTCATGAAGGCACCGCGGGGGAGTCATGAAGTCACCGCGGGGAAGTCATGAAGGCACCGCGGGGAAGTCATGAAGGCACCGCGGGGAAGTCATGAAGTCACCGCGGGGAAGTCATGAAGTCACCGCGGGGGAGTCATGAAGTCACCGCGGGGAAGTCATGAAGTCACCGCGGGGACGCGGGGAAGTCATGAAGTCATCGCGGAAAGTCATGAAGTCGCCGCGAGGAAGTCATGAAGTCACCGCAGGGAAGTCATTAAGTCACCGCGGGGAAGTCATTAAGTCACCGCGGGGAAGTCATGAAGTCACCGCAGGGAAGTCGGAAAGCTATCCGCGCGGAGGTCGGCGGCGGCGGGGCAATGAGTGATGCAAGTCGCGACACCCGACCCGACACCACCAAAGTCGTTTAGCGTCCATCCCATCCCATTTCATTCCATTCCATTCGGATCCAGTTTCGCGGCGCGCGCTGCCGCTGCGGCAGCTGGATTCTGGCCGCCCTGGCCGTCCTGGCCCCGGACCGCAGCCTGGCTGCAGCCGCGCCCGCCGGCCCGCCGCCCGGGCCGCGGTTCGTCGTCTCGCCCCGACAGCTTCTCGCGAGATTGCTTCCGCTTTTGATGATACTCGGGATAGAGGGGCGGGGCGGGGCGGGGCGTGGCGGGGCGGGCCGCCCTGGGTGAGTGCGGCGCATCAGCCGATTCCGCGATCGGGAGCGAAATCTCGATGAAAGTAGCCGAAGCGCGCCGACTTTGGAAAACACGTGCCGCCGTGCCACCCGCGGCCGTCGGCGGCGAGCACATGGCGGAGGCCAGTCGGCAGTCGTCGCGGCGCCGCGGATATCAGCAATACTTAATATTTCGGCCAGCGGGGGCGCTCCACCATCCGCACTCCGGCCGCTGCAGGCGAAAGTCTCACAGGGACGCTGCGCTGCGCTGCACTCTTCGGTCCGGTGCCTTTTCGCGGCCAGTGCGCATGCGCGGCGCGCATTGTCCGCCATGAACTGTGAGCGGTGCAGCGCGGACCTGCACTGCAACGGCAACGCGCAACAAGTGGAATGCATGCATCATTACGCCCTCGACGGCGTCCTGAGCAAAAATCCGGCAATGGACGCAACGACGGCGTGGCGGCCGGTCCGCGCCGCGCTGCACCATTGCGCAAGGCGGGCCGCGCCTTCCCTCCGGACCGCGGCGCGTCGCGGCGTCGCAAGGGAGCCCTCTACGTCGAGGTGCAGGCGTTCGAACGGCAGCGGCACTCTCCAGCCATTCGGCCGGGGACGCGCTGCGCTGCTACTAAGTGGAGCCGGTGCTTGCGACGGTTTGACTCATCCTCCTTCCCGCGCTGCGAGAGAGGCCGCGAAAACACCTGCATCTCGACGTAGATGGCGTCGGGGGGAATCGGACTGCCTCAGGGCCGAATTAGAGAACGTTACGGCCGCGAGGGCGGGGCAGCGAGCCCAGAGAGGCGCACACACCGGCCGCATGTCGCGGCTTTTTGTCGCAATCAGGTTTACTTTTTCATCGGCTAAAAGAAGGGGGTCTAATAAGTACGAGCGCGGTCGCGGCGGACTTCCCTCCCCCCACTCCGCCCTTCGGAAATAAAACGGGCGTACGGCTGCTCGGCGAAATGGACGTCCGGGACGCTTCCCGCCGACCGGCCGACCGACCCGATCCCAACGACTCCGAGGAGCGTCTTGCCGGGCGGCCGGGCAATGGGGAATGCCACGGAGAGACGCCAACCTTCCCCCTCCGGCTCACTCAGCCTCTCCGACGCGAGCACTCCCGTCCCGCAGGGGCGTACACTGCCGCGCGCCCTTTTCATTTCGGGGAGGAAGACGTTTCTGAGGCGAGAACGGGGAGGGTTGAGGTTTCGAACCGCCGCCGCGGTCGCTGCAGTTTTTGGAGAGACATCTGTTCCCACGGCGCAAGGAGCGTTACCGGGCTGAGGCTGCGGCGGGGCCGGCGGCCGCGGGTTGCTGTCGTAACGGGTTATTAGGATCCAGCCGGGCCGGCGGCTCGAGGCGGCCGGGCCCCACTCCGGTCCAGGGGCGGCAGGGCATTCCTTGTGGGGCGACGGCACATGTCACACATCACTTGCCATTTCCCCTGCTGCATGCCGGCCGGGCAGGCTCCCCGCCAAATTGCCCCTGCAGCACACTGTGCAGCGCCCTGACCGCCACTTCCTTCTGCCCACAGGTATGCCTGGCACTGGCCGGCTTGGCGATGGCCGCCGACGAGGCCACCCCCGACGCCGCCCCGGTCGACACCGCCGCCGCGCCGTCGGCGAGCGTCGCGGCCGCGAGCGACGCCGGCAAGGACGCCGAGACCCTGGAGGTGGCCGAGTCGTCCAACAACAACACCGCGGCCGCGGACGAGGACGGCGGCCCGGAGCGCTCCAACACGAAGCGGACCATCGACCACAACCTGGGCTACGGCTACCGCTACAACACGGTGCTGCGGCCCGTCATGCCCCCCATGGGCCACATGCACATGGGCCACCACCACTACCTGCAGCAGCAGCGCCGCCCCTCCGCGCTGCCCATGTACAAGCAGCGCTTCCCGCACCACTACTTCCCCAGCAGCGCCGCCAGCGCCGCCAGCACCGGCAGCAGCGCGCCCTTCCGCTTCTCGCAGCCCCTGCCGTCGCCGCCGCAGCGCGAGGAGATGCAGCAGGACACCATGACCGCCACCAGGCCCGTGACGGAGGCGCCGTCCGGGCACGGCGACGTGCTCAGCCTGTACCGCACCCTGCCGCAGCAGATGCCCCAGCCCCAGCAGCCTGAACAGCAGCCCTTCGCCTTCGAGGACGACGTCAAGGCCAAGCCCGAGGTGGAGCAGAGCGAGCAGACCGCCGGCGACTCGGCGCAGCCCGTGCAGTACGCCGACGAGGCCCCGCACTCGTACCAGCAGGTGCTGCAGCCCGAGCCCACGTACTACCTGACCACCGCGGCCACCGCCCCCGCCACGGCGCCCGCCATGTACAGCCCGTCGCTCGCGGCCATGTACGGCGGCAGCCAGCACGCCCTCGGACACATGAGCCCGCTCGCCCACGCCATCGGCCAGCCCGCCGTCATGTACGCCACCACGCCCGGCGCGCACGGCGCCGCCACGCAGATGATCCCCGTCATCATCGTGCGCCTCATGGACACGCAGCACGCCGCCACCACACTGGCGCCCACCGCCACGCTCGGCCACGCCATGAGCCCCATGGCCCACGCCACCATGCCGTACCCGCTCGTCAACATGCAGTACCTCCGCGACTACCTCACCAAGCTGTACTCACCGGCCGCCGCCGCGGCAGCGCCCCCGCAGTACGTGTCGGCCGCCGCGGACCCCGAAGCCATCATGTACTCCAGCCCGCTCTACAGCTCGACGCAGTTGCAGAAGCTCCAGCTGCAGCAGCAGCTTCACGCCCAGCTGCAGAAACAGCTCCAGGCTCAGGTGCAGCAGCAACAGCAGCAACAACAGCAACAGCAGCGGTCGTCGTCCGTCGCAGCCATCTTACAGGAGCAGCACAGGCAGCGGGTGGCCGCCGCCCAGCAGCAGCAACGCACCGAGGTGACGGTGCACAGGAGCCCCGCCATGTCGCCGCAGGACTACAAGGAGTCCGTGGAGCAGCAGGAGGACGCGTAGAACGCTCGCCCCTCGCGTCCGCTGTAAATAATTTATTGTTGTTACAAACGTTGTTACATAGTAGTTTATCAATCTGTGTTTTATTTAAATTGTGTGTTATAGTTAATTGTAATTATTTTATGTATAATTATTGATGGTTAAGCTGGAAACCAAAAATAAAAGACTTGTTTTTTATTTTGTAAGTGACTGTTTTACTTCCCTCGAGCAGTTTCACGCACATTTCATGAAACCTAACAGCTCTGCACAGGAAATCTCCCCGTCAGAAGTAAAGTGCACTACAGTGGTAGCCAAACTTTTGAATCTCGCCTATTTACAGAATGGCACCCGCGCCACATACTTATTGGCAGTCGACCTGGTTGTCATGGCAACAGCTGTTGTTTGTTTGGATTGATTTGACGGTCAGTCGACCAAACAAGCTGAGGTGTTAGGGGCAACACGTTTGATTTAGAAGTCACTTGCGAAAATGACGCGAAAGAGGGCTAGTGAGGACAAGATTCCTCTGACAGAGTCAAAGTCAACAATTCTGCAAGAAACAAAGGCTCGTTTTGACACTCTGCTCAAAGCAGCACAAAGCCAGGATGATGATGTTGAGGTGAGGTGCACATTAAACAAATCAATCTGAGTATTTTATTTTGTGACACATGCCTTCTTTTCAATTGTAGAAAATGGATGGGAAAATGGTGAAGAAGTCTGATCTTAAGGCATTCAAGAAACGGTTCGTCCCCTTTCTTTAATTACAAACAGATGTACTTTTTTTGTTACTTTGTTGTTGTGTGACATATTTTTATTTTAGGTCAAAGAAGAAACTTAGTAGTTCAACCCAAATGTTAGTGTCTGAAGAAGACTGTTTATCTTCAAGTGAGATGGACGTCCAAGAATATTCTCCAAAAATGCTGGCAAGTCCAACCCTAGAGCAAGTGCGAGATTTCACCTCTGTTTCTAGTTCTGATGAATTGACGCTTTCCCCTAAGAGATCAGCAAGTAAAATCAATGATGAAGAAGTGGAGATTCCATCAATAGATCCTGTTACAGAACTTGATATTCTTGAGACACCCCCAAAGAGGCCCGCCCCTATGCCACGGAAACGGCACTCTACCCGGGATGAGTCAAGAGAAACAACGTCTAGTCGTGTATCTAGTTCAGACTCTGTTATGACTGCCATTGAAGCTTCATCACCTAACAGAAGCATAAAACTAAGCTCTCCAGAGAATGAAAGTCCAAAAAATGGAGAGGTAGAAATGTATGAGTTGAAACCATTAAAAGGCTTCTCCCCGTCCTATGAAGAAATTGATGAAACAAGCCTTGACAGACATGAAGGAGCAAAAGCATTGATAGAACAAACCTCTAGCCGTATGGCAAATGCAGCATCATATGAAGAAATTCTAGAAGAGCAGAGCTATTTTGCTAGCCCAGAAAGACACAATTCTGATGGGAATGGAGGAGTATCAAATGAGTCTGCTGTTAGGAACGAAAAAAGAAACCGTCAGACTAAGAAGACAAAACTTCAAATGTCACAACACAAGCGCAGAGGGAACAAAGAAATTGACAACACAGATACTAGTTCAGATAATAGAGTTCAAAAGCCTGTTAAACAGAGGCGAAAGAGAACTGCCACAACTGAAAGTGGCATTCAAAGCCAATCTAACATTAAATATAATTATGAAAAAATTATAGGAATCAGTTTACACCATTGTGACAGTTTGAAGGTAAGAAAACATAGGCTGTTTTAACATCCTACATCCAAACCATCTCAATTGATGTTGCATAGTTCTGTTTCAGATTGACAGTCTCATTCGTCATCCAATGGTTCGTGTACATGTGCTTGACACACTCACTGGAGAATACTTGAAAAAAAGTGAAGCTACCAGAAATGTATCATTTTACCAAGAAAACTCTGAAATTGATTATATTCAGCCATTAACTAGTCAGCCATGCCAGTTTAAAGACCCTAGGTAAGTACAAGCCTTCATTAAAACAAAATTTGAAAGATAGATAATTTGAGTAAGTGCTCTTCTTTTCCTTTTAGATCCTTGACACCAATTTGGGACGAAACTCTAGTTTTGAATGAAGACATACAACACATTCTTCAACCACAATCTTCAATTCTTATTCTGTTTGAAGTTTTAGACTGTGTTACATTTGATGAAGCAATAGCTCGGCATCAAAAATTAGGTAGACTGTTTTCCATTTATTAGAATCTTCAATCCCAAGTAAAAATATTTGTTTTAAATAAATTTTACCTATGTTGTTCTAAGGTTTAGAGAGTGGATGGCACAGAATAGCATGGGCATTTTTAAAGCCATGTGGTGCCAATAATATTTTAAACATTGACAAGAAGCTACGTCTCCAGCTGTACAGGCCTCGTTCTGATAAGACTTACAGAGGCAATGGTGACTGTGATAAATGTGATGTAAGCCTTCAATTCGTTTCTCAATCATAATTTTTTGGGGAAATAGTACTAATATTTCCTCTTTTAGGTATACAAATGGTGGAGGAAAGGAGGATGGATCCACTACCCATCAACACTCCATGTTACTGTTTATGGCCTTCCCATGCCATCTGATATACCCTCATCTCTACGGTCCTATTGTGCACTTCAGCCTGAGCATGGGCAGAGCTTTCATTCATCTGATGCTGTTGTTGATAATGCATCTGGTAGCATCAAGAGTGTAAGTTTTCTAAAAGATTATAACTCTAAAATAAAATTTAACAAATTTTGTGACAAAAAAAAAATTTCTATGTTAGAGGTGTGCTACACCAATTAGTTTGACGGATGATGTGGTTTGGTCTCGGCTTCCATCACAGTCCTGTAAAATTCCAAACAAAACTGAGTTCGATCTTCCTGCAGGCCTCAATGGAAATTTTTCCATAAAATTTAGCAACCATGGCCATCATCTAGCTGTCAGTGCAGCTAATCAAACTCTACACAACATATATGTTTACAAGGTGATTTATTTCTGCACAATCTAATTAACTTATAACTTTTTTTTTATAATTATAATAATTTGTGTTCCCCTTAAAGATTCCAGAGGGTTCTGAAATAGTTCGTTTTCAAGGCCACCCAGGCATAGTTTACAATTTAGACTGGTCTCAAGGTGATGATTTGCTGCTCTCTGCATCAGCAGATTGCACTGCTTGCATTTGGTCTATGAAGAGCCAGAAATACGTGCCATTACAGGTGATAAATTTGGTGATGAACATTGGCTTTTGAATTGGTATTTAGAAATCCAACATAATAAGATAATATTACCTTTCAGATGCTGCCTCATCCCTCTTTTGTCTACTCCGCAATATTTTTACCAACAAATTCTTTGAGTCTTGGAACAGGTTGCTGTGACCATGTAATACGGATCTGGACACGAAGTGACCAAACAGGCAATTTTGAGGTTTGATACGTTCAATGAATGAAAGAGCATCCCTTACCATCATGATCAATGTTTTTAAGATATGCGCTTCCTTATTTTTAGCTGCAGCAAGAACTGAATGGCCATGAAGGCTATGTTAGCACACTCTGTACAAATTCAAGTGGAATGTTGTTTTCTGGAGACAGTGTGGGTCAGATAAGGCTTTGGCAATGTGAAGAGAATCAAGTTTGGACAGGGCTCAGGTATGCAAGAGAGACTCCTGACTTCTAAACAGAATAATTATTTATAGAAAAAAGGCTGTTTTTCTCAAAAGATTTTGTTTTCTTCTTGCACCAGGGTTTTGAATGTTCGGGAGCTGCAGGGTGTAGTTCTGAGCCATTTAGTTCTGCATCCAGGAGGCAAGCGCATTCTGGCTCTAACTAGAGACAGTTTGTTAAGGATGATAGATATTGGGACAGGTGTTGCCATCCAATGGTTCAAGGGAGCATTAAATCACAGGTAAGATTGTTTAAGGTAATTTCTTGAGATGCACTTTCTCTAGTACCTGACAGCATATGAATACAATTATAACTGCTATTTAACTCATTTCTTGCTTTCAGGATTCATAGTAAAGCGTGCATTTCACCGTGTGGGAGCTTAGTTTTCTCACCTAGTGAGGATGGCACTTTCCATGTCTGGAATGCTGACACTGGCATCCTGGTTGCATCCTACTCTGGACTCTTCCACACCAATTACCACGCAAGTTATCAGGACAGGTCTAATCACAGGACCAAAATGTCCAGCCCCATCCTGAGCGGTGCGGTAGACTATCACCCTTTTGACCATTTAATTGCATTTGCCTTGTATGGTGCTCACACACCAGTGATTGTGTGCAAATATGACAGGTGAATTTAAATTTTAAGATCTTTTAGTCTTACTAACATTTCGTAAATGCACATTTACATTGAAAATTACATTGCGCAATGCAATTTTGAGAATTTTAAATTTGCTTTTTCAGAGATCAATCAGGAAAAGAAATTGGCCTCCAAATTAAACATGACAACCAGCGTGAATACCTTGAAAATGAAAGTTCTGTAAAACATAGTAAAATGGAACAAATAACTAAGTCTGCTCTGATTGTATCAAATATTAAGTCAAAAATTCATCTCAAGCACAACAGGCACAACATACAAGAGCCCAATGGTACCTATAAAAAAATATTAAGATCATAATTTGGTATCTTTAATAGAGAGGAATGTAATGCATAACACTATAATCTTTTCTTACAGATTTTCAAAGCTCCCCGGAGGTCATTGCAGGCCATGAGAGTGAAGACAACGATAGAGCAAAGAAGGGGGAAAAACAGCACCTTTCATACATCATCAAACAGCTAGATTATGTTCTTCAGCTCGGCAGAGCATCTAAACAGGAGCAGCTTGGCATAGTCACACCTCGGCATGCAAATAGTCCAAGAAGCAACAGTGTTACTCCGGATTCATATTTGCAAGTTCCCTCCAGTCCTGCAAATTTACTGGAAAGTTTTGAAAGTGACCCAACAGCAAAACCTGTCAAAGAAATTGACACTGCAGTGTCCTACTCTCTGCCCCATTCTTACCCTCTAGTGCAACAGCTGGCGGAGTCTAAAGTGACATCCTCTCAGTCCCTAAGAGAAGATAGGTCACCTGCACAGATGCCCATTTCTTCACCCGTGGAACTACACTATGTTCAAGAGAAGCCACCACGTCCCATGCCTCGTCACAGGAGAACGAAGCAAGCAAGAGTGGACAGACGACAGTCCATTCCTGACCAATCAACAACAGACACATCGATACTAAGCTCAGAAAACGAAGAGGCTTTGAAGTCTGTGCAAGTGATGCCTCAACCTTATCAGTTAGTTCAAGAGAATGAACAAAGCCGAAGAAATTCAAAAGCTCCATTGCCAATGTATAAAAGGGTCAAGGTGGGAAATCGACCTCATCAAGTGTCATCATTCGAATCTGACAGTGACGATCGACCAACAAAGATATGAAAACCTGTTAGAAGTTGAAACTTACCTTGGTTTAGGAAGAAAAACTGTCCTTAGCGGAACAATCTGCTCTGGTGGATTGATGTGTTTTGTACGCACTATAAATAAAGTTGCTTCTTGAACTCACAATGTTCTTCGGTTTACATTTTTCGCCCTACGAAATTGAAAAACATTGGCCGGGTTTAAAGACACACGTGGAAAACGGTTGCACAACTCCCGCCCAAGCCCAACCATGGCCCAACAGCGGCAGCGGATTTGAGAAGAGGCGGGAGGCGGGTGGCTCGGATCCTGCGAATAATGGCCTCGCTGCTAGCAGGATGGTAGCATTATGAAAGAAAAAATCGAAGGAAACACGTATTTAAATTAGATAAACCGCAAATTAACTTTTTGAAGATGATGTAACAGGATTGAGAAAATATATACAATTCTGCTAGAGAAGTTTAAAAATTCACAATCGCTTAAGATCTTGGCTGTGTTCACTTTTTATTTAGTGGAAGTGGTTGGTAAAACACACATGTTCAGATCACTTCTGCTAGTGTTCGAACGCAGGGTGGGTGTTTATTTAAGTTTCGTACATTAAGTCTGTTCAATATCGTCACAAGAGTTACTTAGGAGTTTCGGTCAGTTTTCTCTCTTTTATTTTCTAGAATTTATTTTGATAGCACCGTGCACGAGTAACTCAAGTACGAGAGTGTTTATCTATTAAATAACCTCAAAATTTCATGGCAAGAGTCTTTGCAAATTGTATTAAAAGTCGAAAAAGAAAGGCTTTTAATGTGTCATTAACGTCCTTTCCATCATAAATTTTCAAGAATAGATTTGCAGTTTTGCTATATCCTATCTAAACTTTGGTAATGGAACTTCCAACTTGTGCTCTGCCACTGAGTACCTCACAACAACGAAGTCTGTTATTTATTTTTCAGGCCACAACCATGTCTGTATTGTTAAATATCCGGAGCTCCGGCTGTTCTTCAGCTCTCTGGCGCAGCTTCCACTCTAGCCCCACAACTCATCGACTCCAAAAGCTATCACGGTTGCGAGTGGTTGACAACAGTGAGCTTGGCAAGCAAGCGATGATGGAAGGCAAACCACCTAAAGTCATCCATGTATATAATAAAACTGGCATTGGTACAGTAGGTAAGGCACATCAATTTTTATATGTTGTTATAATGTATTTCTTTTCTTTCAAACTTAAATTGTATTGTGTCCTATTTTGTTCTGATGTTCTTAGGTGATGTAGTTTTATGTGCCGTCAAGGGTATGAAGAAGAAGGGAGTAATTGTTGGTTGCAAAGCCCAGCAGCCATCCTATATTCCTAGAACAGACTCAAACAATGTTGTCTTGATTGACGACAATGGTGCTCCCCTAGGAACTCGAATTGTTGTCCCAGTCCCTGCGTCTTTACGAACCATCCTGAAAGAAAAGACCCATGCCAAAGGGGCGGATTATACTAAGATTTTGAGTATTGCAACTAGGTTTATATAGTCTGAGTGAATGTGTTGTTTGTTTCTTTTTATGTAATAAAAAATTGTTATATCTTCAAACACTTTTGAATGACACGTCTTTATCCCCTTGCCAACGATAACATACTGAACTCATTTTGGAATGGAAATGCGTAGTACTCAACAATGAAACAAAACCCTTCGCCTCGCCGCATTGAACATGAAACAACGTGCACAGCACAGCACAACGGTGTGGGGAAAATGAGTCGAATGGGTTGCCTACCGTCCCACCTGCAGGCGGCCTGCAGCCGCTACCGCAGTGCGTTGGGTGGCCTACCCTCTGGGCATCAAGGCTGTTCGTCCGATGATCTCGACTGGTTGGAGTTCCAGATTCAGCGGCAATCTTTCATCGGCCTTTTATCTTAACGGGTCAGTCCATTATTGTTATTCCTTCAAGAGGGAATGCCCGCCACTTTACAAGTCCCAATCTTAAGAGTCTGAGGCTCGAGTGCTTCAGTGCCTTCGATTTATCGAACGCTTTATCAGGCGTGACGCACTTGTCGTCAAGGCACCTTGGAAGCACTGGCGACTTTGGTTTCAGTGTAGGTGCAGTGGACCGTCCCTCCTCGCCGACATTGAAAACGAGCCCTCGCTTCGCGCAGGCTTTGGTACATCAATCAGCTGTCTGCCCCCGTGCCCGTACACCATGGCTGTGTCTCGCGGCGGCCGGCTCCTCCTGCCGGTGTTTTTCTCACTGATGGCGTATTCGGCGATCGGGACCGGGGCTGCTGCCGAGTCCGCCGTCAAGGTACAACAAACAAACAGCGCCACTACGACTGAAACGAGTTCTGCCGAACCTTCGGCCGGCTAAATTTAACCGCGGGCCGTCGTGTCGTACTAGGTGGTTCCAGAGCGCCAGCGGCTGGCCGAGCGGCTGGCCGACTCGGAGCAGCTGCAGGTGGACAGCCTGCTGGACAACCTGCTGCTCACGGTGCAGCGCCAGATGACCAAGGGGCGCGTCGACGTGGAGACGCTCCCCGACGTGTCGCTCAATAGCGGCAGGCTCACCCTCACCGGCACCCAGGGCATCATCAAGGGCCTCACGAGCCTCTACCGGTCCGACAGCGCCTTCATGGAGTACGGCAACGGCAGCGTCATCCTCAGCACCGCCTTCAGCCTCAGGACCCTCGAGATCAGGTCCGTGGCGTGGCGGCAAAAGCGAGCACAAGGGCGCCGAAATGGAAAGACCGGTGATTTGAGACGCTGGCTCGGTGTCGGCCGGTACACTGGCCGATGACGACGACGGTCGCGTGCCGCGGGCGCCGCGCTGGCTTCACTTGGCGAGTGATTGTTTGTCTTAAACGTGCAATTACGCAAGGAAAGGAGCCGTTTATCTCGGGCAGAGCGGCCAGCGCATGGCTGCCGGTCTGCTCAAGTTCGGAGGCTCGCTTCCGGTGCAAGGCGCCAGGTCCAGCCGAACGCCCAATAATCCGACGGGAAAATAAAAACAAAACGGAAGCGGCGCGCGAAAACGTAACAACGGTCTGACGTTTGCCGAGCACACAGAGAGGGCACACACGGCAGACTGATTCCGAGAGTCTCCGTCGCTCTGTCTCTCTTGCACCTGTGCGGTAAGTGCGAAAGACAGGGCGACGAAAACGACTCTCGGAATCAGTGTGCAGAGGCATCGCGTTGGAAGGAAAGGTCGCCGACCGGCGCCTTCCGGGGTTAGTCTTCGCCACCGGCATGGCCGTCGGCTGTCCACTACACTGGACGGACGGCGAGTGGAGGGCGATCCCGAGGACACGCCAAGGCAAGGCCGTGACGTCAGGGCCGCGCGGAGGCAGTGTGCGCACCGCACTGGCGGAGCAGGGTCCCTGGGTCTCTATTCCCTCCGGAGTGGCGGCGGGTCGGCAGCCGCCCCGACTTTCAGATGACTTTGCAGCGCCTCGCAGGGCATTATGATGTCGGTCACTGTCACTGTATCGCCCTGTCGGGCCCTGTCTCACCGGCATGTGTGTGCGCAGCTACATGGTCAACGCCAAGTACCTGTTCCTGTCGCTGAACAACGACGTCAGCGCCAGCGTCACGTACAACAGCATCAAGCTGCGCGCGGGCATCTTCTACAACGGCGACGTGTGCTACCTCGGCCTGCAGGAAGTGTCCGTTGACGTGCTCCAGGGCATCCAGTGGCGCACGTCGGGCTTCGGCAGCATCAACGCCCTGGTCTCGGCCACCATCAACCGGCTGGTGCCGGCCGCCACCCTCAAGGCCAACCTCAACAACGCCCTGCAGACGGCCATGAGCGGCTTCAAGGCGCAGTGCCAGGACTTCATCCCCGGCGTCAACCGCGGCCTCAGCTGGAAGTGCTAACTGGATAAAGAGACCGCACCTTTGAGCCTTTGACAGTCTGTCTGTTCCTCCTCCCCTTTCCGCGTTTCCGCGCCAATTTCTTTCGCCTGGTTCGCGGTAGTGCTGCATGTAGTGTAGTGGCACGGAAGAACCGCACAGGCGATAAAAGTGCGCGTACCACACAATACGCGGCTCGGCCGGGCCGGGCTCGGCACTGCGGGGCACTGCTTGCACCGCGAGGCTCGTTTGTTTGTTCGTTTGTTTTATTTCACTTCGGTTCCGCTCGGAATCACGGGCCTGGCCGAGGGGCCGAGGGCTTGGCCTCTGGTTCCGAAGGGTCGTCTCGTCGCTCTGTCTCTCTCGCACCCGTACGCCATGCCCCGTGAGTGCGAGAGAGACAGTGCTCGGAATCAGTGTGCTGGCCGCACTCGTGGGGCGCCTTGCTTTTTGCGCCACAACGGCGGCCGCCAGCACTGCACCCTCAACAGTGCCGCTTCGCTCTGTCTCTCTCGCACCCCTCCGGACCGCCCCACGAGTGCGAGAGAGACAGAGCGACTGCTCGGAGTCAGCCTGCCGACGCTGGCCGGCGAGAGGCGGCTGCAGTCTTTCCTCGTTTTCGGCAGAACTTTTTTTGCAGTAGTATTATATTTACGGTCGGCCTGAATACACAAGTCCTACACCGGCGGCCGACGACATGAAATTACCGTCGCTTGCTCAACAATGCCTCTCGGTCCGACACGTGGCGATCAAGTTGGGTGCTTTGAGCTCGCTTGAGCTTTGAGCTCGATGAGATGGTGCATTTCCTTTCTCGCCACCTCGGGCGATCTTCGAGTAGACCCTCGAGCATGACTGCTGCCCGTACAGTGCCGTGCCGCGTGCCGCCGCGTGCGTTACCAGAGAAGACCCCACAACTGCAACAAGGAATGCACGGGCGGAAGCGGCAGATTAGAATCGAGCGGCAAATATCCGATGATAATTCCAGAGTTGCGGGGTGCGGCGTTCCCCCGCCGGTTCCCCCGGGTTCCCCCGGCCGGCTTCGCGGCGCGGCACCGACCAACTCCCTTCCTTGGTTCGGCAGCGCAGCAGCGCGGCGTTACTGGCGTTACGCACAGGTGCGGGCAGAATACGTTTACTGCGCTGCGGGGGTGGGGGCCGCGGGGGCTCGGCGCACCGCCCCACCCGCACCGCCGCGGGGTTGCAGAGACCGTGCGCCGTGGGGGTGGAAGGGGAGCCGTCCAGAAGCGCTTACCGACTCACTATAAGCTGGTGCGGCAGGCGCCCCGCCCATCCAGACACTCCAGCAAGCCTCTCCAGTGCACCACGGCGCCGGGAAGCTCGCCGCCAGCATCGCCATGGCCAGGACCACGACGAGAACGGTTCGTATCGCCTAGTGGTAGAGACGTCCATCGCCGCGCGTTCTTTTTTTATCGTTCTGGGAGATCGTGTTCTGGACTAAGTGCGCGGACGGCCGCGGTGCTGGCTTTGCTTGTCGTGAGCGACTGGCGGCAGGTCGCGGCCCGGGCCGAAGACAAACAAGCCGCAGGGTAGGCCAAAAAAGCAAAAGCGGAACAGACCGCAGTCTGGCGCTAGAGGCGGAGGAAACACACATCTGGCAAAAAAAGACGTGGCGAACAACCACGCGACTCTTGGGGGTTCGTTCTGCGACTCGACGCCATCACTGGCACTGACGCTGCTCGGCTGCGTCATCGACTCCGGGTGCTGCTGCCATGGAGACAGTGGTGACGGCGGAGTTGGGGGAATAAAACAACGTTTCGAGGCCTCCAAGTACGTGGCCGAGAGGGATAGGCGGCGCACAGTGGGCCAAGACCGGTGGAGGCGGCCAAAACTATGGACGCGTTTTGCGCCCCAGAGTCGCTTAATCGGACTCGAACCGAACGTGTGACGCCACCAATGGATACCTCGATCGGAGAGCAATCCATTGGTTCGAGTCCCATTTAGCGACTCTGGAGCTCAAAACGCGTCCAGAGTTTTGGCCGCCTCCACCGGTCTTCTGGCCCACTGCGCGGCGGCGTCACCGGAACGCCTGCGAACGGCGGGGTAGGCCACCACGCGGCACTCCGGCGTGTTGCGGGCGGGCCTACCCGCTGTCTGCAGGGGCTCCGCACGGCCAGGCGAGGGAAGCGAGAGCAATGAATTCTTTCTTAAAAGGAGCAATTTCTCCGCGATTACGCCGTTTAATTCGACACAAGCGGCGGCTCCCAGCGCCTATCACCACCGGGGGGGGGGGGGGGGCAGTCGGGCGGAGAATGGCGCGGAAGGGAAGGGACGATGCGGAAAGCACGCCAACAAGTGAGAGGGAGGAAAGGAAGCGAAGGATGAAGGCACGCCGAGCGAATAATTAGAGGAATGAGTAGTGATAAGGAATCGCTGCATTCGCTGGACGAGGCGAGGCACGCCGGCCAGAAAGGAAGAATATGCTTGACCAGCGCGGCGGCGGTGGTGGAGCCGCTTGGCGGCGTCACAGGATTTTTTTTTCCATTCTCCTTTGAACTCCTTTTTGGACTCCTTTACGACCGATGCTGTCGCACGACAGCACACACTCTGACACGATCTGCCTTCGCCTTCGGCCACGAGGCCTTGTTTCAATCTGGGGGAGTCGGTCAGAGTCGGTACAGGTATCGGAGGGGTCGTTTTATTTTCGTTCTTGTGACAGTGGCCCTTCTACAGGACAGCCTCGGTGCGTTGGCCCGGTTGGCTACATTGACCACCGACATTCTCGAACTCTGTTTTCCTCGCCTTACCGGCTGCGCAGGTCACCGCCCTGGTCATGCTGACACTCGGGGTCGCCTCCACGGCCGAGAAGGCCACTGCCACGGCGATGGCATCCTCCTCCGCGACCGACGGGGCGCTTTCCGACCAGGCGGCGGCAACTTCCTCGCACCACGACGCGGTAAGACTTGCGCGATGTGACCAGGGTCAGGTACCCCCGTCCTTGAGACTGATCGCTGGCGTCCGCAGCCGCAGCCGCAGCCCGAGCCCAACTACCACTACCGCTACGCCGTGGCCTCGCGCAAGACGGGCGACGTGAAGGGCGCGTGGGAGAAGCGCGCCGGCGAGGACGTCTGGGGGGCGTACTTCCTGCGTGACCCCGACGGCCGCTGGCGCACCGTGCACTACGAGGCCGACGGCACCGGCTTCTACGCCACCGTGCAGCGCAGGCCGCTCTACCGGCGCGGCAAGCTGGTGCAGCAGCAGGGGTAAGCGGCGTCAACCTTTTGGTGTTACCCATGACGGCTCGTGTGCTTGAACCGCCCTGTGTGCGCAGCGAGCTGCACGGCAACACGGCGCTGCCCCTGGACGACGCCACCTGGAAGTCCGTGCTCGCCGCGGCCAAGCACAGCGCGCGCGAGGACAACCACCCCGCGCTGCAGAAGGCCAAGGTGGCCGGTGGCATGGAGGGCGCGGCGTCGGTGTCCTCGTACTCCACCACGAGGGCGCCGGGCTACGGATATTCTAGTCCAGCCGCGTCGGTGACCTCGTACTCCACCACGAGGGCGCCGGGCTACGGATTCTCTAGTCCAGCCGCATCGGTGACCTCATACTCCACCACGAGGGCGCCGGGCTTCGGGTTCTCCAGACCAGCCACGTCGGTGACCTCGTACTCCACCACGAGGGCGCCGAGCTTCGACTTCGGATTCTCCAGCCCGGCAGCTTCGTCGTACTCCACAACGAAGGCGCCAGGTTTCGGCTTCGCCAGATCGCCGAACTTCGCCAAGCAGCCGTTGAGGCCTCCCCGCGAGCAGTCGACGTTGGGCGCGTCGGCGTTCTCCGCCTCCTACAGGTCGCAGCCGCTCCGCGCCAACCGCACCCCGCCGTCTTACTCGTCGGCCTACGCCAGCCAGCCCCTGCAGCAGCAGGAGCAGGTGGAGGAGGACGCCGACGAGACGACGACCATCACGCCCTCGGCCGACTCGTATTCGAACCAGGAGGAGGCCGACGAAAGCCAGCAGGCGCCCGCGCAGACTTCCGAGGACGCCGACGGCGACGCGGAGCAGTTCGCTGAGCCACACGGCCCGGCGTCGTCCGAGCCGTACCGCGCCTCGGCCTCGGACGACGTGCAGCAGCACCAGGAGGACGAGTCCAGCAACGAGGCGGCCCAGGACGACGACGAGGAGGACGACGTCAAGCATCGCGATGAGGAGAGCGACGACGGCGAGCACAACCCTGACGACGACCACGAGATAGTCCCGGAGCAGGCGCGGCAAGGCAGTCAGGTGCGCCACGACCACGAGGCCCTGCAAGTGGCGCCGGAGTCGCGCCTCCCGCTGCTCCACGTCCACCACCTGCAGGAGTCACAGCAGCTGCAGTCGCCGCAAGTGCGGGAGCCGGGGCTGGCCGACACGTCCATGGACCACTTGCTGGGGCCCGCCTGGGGCATCGTGTCCAGCCACAGCTCGCTGTTCGAAGGCCAGGACTTCCCCCTGTTCGGCGGCCAGGACCTCCGCAGCGAGGAGACGCCGCAGGACACGCAGGACTCGCCGACGTGGACGCAGCGGGAGCGCGCGGACCGCAGCAAGGGCAGACGGGCCGCGGCGCAGGGCTCGCAGAGCCCGGTGCAGAGTGACGCCGCCCAAGGACGCCAGAGAGGCGCTGGCTCCGAGCGCGGCGAGCGCGGCGCCGGCCGGTTCTCGGGGTCGTTGCGCGCCGGCGCGGCGTTCGGCTCCAGCGACCGACTTCGCGGGTCCGCCGACCCCAGCGACAAGGACGCCGCAGCGCCGTCGACCGAGGCGACGTGGTCCTTTGGCTCCAAGGTGCGCGGCAAGGAGGACCCGACCTACCAGCAGGCGCCAGCGTCGCCGTCGAAGCGCGGCAAGAACCAGAACAGGGGCCCCGTGCTGTTCGCGCAGCACGCGCAGCAGGTGGAGGCGTCCACCCCGGCCGGGGACAGGAGGCTGCCGCCGAGGGGGTACGCGGCGTACGCGCTGCAGGAGGACAAGGTCGCCTGGCAGCACTCGCGCGCGCGCCCGGTGTCCTACTCGGGCTGGGTGCCCGTCACCGCGTCGCTGCAGGCCGCCGACTCCTACAGGGACCCGTCACCCGGAAGGCCCGGGGCGCCGCGGGGCCGAAGGCGCGCGCCGAGCAAGCAGCCCGCGCAGCAGCCAGCCAAAGACTCACCCAAGGCCTTCTGGAAGCAGTCGTGGTTCTGAGAGTACTCCTCCACTGTTTCGACCTGGGGAGTGACGTGAGCGGGGATGCGATATCCCAGAGCCCCGATTTTTATTCCGTCCGAAGTCCACGACGGGTTGGCCAGTCCCGGGCGTTTGCGTTCGCACCAGGATGGTGGCGACCTTTCTTTATTTATGTTCCCTCCGGTGGGCTTCCTCCGTCATGGAACAACCCCAGGCCGACGCCCAGACATCTAGACCCAAAGCCCTAGAGGCCGAAACCGCAGCGGCCTCGCTCTAGCGACCGAGGTGGCCGTCGGTGAGTCAACCGGCCAACAGGCCTTTGAGTACATGGCAGAAGCACAGGTGCGTCTTCCCATTATCGCCTTGTGTTTGCGTGGTTTGCGCCCCGCCGCCTTGCCGCCGCCTCGGCGTCGAGTGCGCGGCTTGCGCGGCCACCACCTGGCGGCCACCGCCTGCCACTGCAGACTGATTCCGAGAGTCGTTTTCATCGCTCCCCAAACGCCCGGGTGCAGATAACGACATGTCCTGCATGGACATTCCAAGAAAGACTGACTCTACTGTTTATATTCTGTAAAATATTGTTGAATTTTGTTGTTGACTTTGTTAATGTTCCTGATGAGAATAAGGCTCCTGTTTTTGTTTTTCGCCGTGTTCTCCTCCGTGTGATGTGTTGTTTTTACTTTGCTCAAACATCGTGTGCTTTCCCTAGGTTAATTTTAAGAAAATAAAGAAAGTCAAAAAATACCTCGAGTCAATCATTTTTGGTTCCCGGCTTCCTCTCAGCCGCGCTCAAAAATGACGCATTTTAAAATGAAACATTACAGTTTCCCATGGAGCTGAGATAGTTTTGACAAGTCCCCACGCACAGTAGCGCCCACAAGGAAGGCCGCCCGCCCGGGCCTGGGTAAACTAGGCAATGCTCGGCAAGCCTCTGTTCGTGCCGCCCGATAAGGTGAGCTCGGGGCGCACGCCGCTCGCCACGGCGGCTCTCCCCTTCTCGCACCCTTATGGAGAGCTCCATGAGTGTGACAGAGACGGAGCGACTGAATCGCTCGGCTGCTCATTTCATAGAGCCACAGCTGCAACGAGCCGCGCGCGTGCCACCTACACGCATGCCCGAACAGTGGCGCTGCCTCTCTTGCTCTCATTGCAGTCCACAGGGGCCGTGCGAGAGAGACAGAGTGAAGCGCCACCGTTGGGAATCAGTCTGCGGCAGACTGATTCCGAGAGTCGTTTTCATCGCTCTGTCTCTCTCGCACTGATGGGGCGTGCCGCATGGGTGCGAGAGAGACAGAGCGAATCAGTCTGCAGATGCGCGGGCTGGCGGATGTAATAATTGCACTGCGGGTAATACCGCGCTAATACCGGGCAATTATGTCCGAGGCTATGTACTGTCACTATCAGGCGGACCAGCCCGGCCGGCTCGGCCGGGCTGAGGGGGAGGGGCGTTTTAGGGGGTCCCAAGCCGGCTCCTGGCGCGCTCCCCCCTACATCCCCCTCCTCCCCCTCCTGCCCCTCCCCCGCGGCCGGCGCCCGGCTCCGGGGATCGGCGACACACATATACACGGGGTCAGCTTCCGAGAGCGACAGTCTGACAGTGGGACCTCAGCCTCCAGCTGCCTCCAGCACAGAGCGAATCGCACAGTCCGGCCGATCAGTCCAAGACCGCCATGGCGAAGCAGGCCGTCTCCCTCGTGCTTCTCGCGCTCTGCGCAGCCAGCCTCGCCGCAAGGCTGCGTGAGTCCCCGTCTCTCTCATCAGTCACAGACTGCGAAGCTGTGGTCCAGTGCTCTCATTCGCACCCTCTCTTGCAGCCGGGTCGTGGCCCACCTGCCAGTACAAGGACCCCAACTTCAACAAGTGCCTGTCGTCGAGCATCGAAAAGGTGGTCTACCTGCTGAAGGACGGTAAGGGACTGCGCACTTCTTGGCGTGCTCGCGGCTTCGGGGCGCACAGTGGGCCAGAAGACCGGCGCCGGCGGCCAAAACTCTAGACGCGTTTTGAGCTCCAGAGTCGCTAACCAGGGCTCGAACCGAGCGTGTGACCCCACCATTGGATTCCTCGTTCGAAGAGCAATCCATTGGTGGGGTCACACGTTCGGTTCGAGTCCCATTTAGCGACTCTGGAGCTCAAAACGCGTCCAGGGTGGACCGCCTCCACCGGTCTTCTGGCCCACTGTGGGGCGACGGCACTGACCTCTTTGCTCTTTGCAGGCGACAAGCAGCTCGGCCTGAACCCCATCGGGCCGCTCAAGGTGGACGAGATGACCCTGGACCTGGGCTCCGGACCCTTCTCCCTCCTGCTCAACGCCAAGGACATCAGCTTCCAGGGGCTGGAGAAGACGACGTTCAAGGAGGCCTCGTGAGTACTGCGGATAGCCAGGTGGTCAAGGTGGTGGTCGCGACGGGCGAGTCTGGCTGACGCTTTGTTGCCTGCAGGGTGGACATGGACAAGCACGAGATCAAGCTGAAGGCCTTCACGCCCAACATGCGGCTGGACTTCATGTACCAGGCCAGCGGCAAGATCCTCGTCATCGCCGTCAAGGGTGACGGCCCCGCGAACATCGAGCTCGGTACACTGCGGATACACTGTGGTGCTTTGCGACCGTCCAAAATCACTCCCTAACGCTCTTTTGCTGGTTTCCGCAGACGCCCCCACCACCGACGTCGTCATCAAGGGCGAGCCGTTCCAGAAGAAGGGCAAGACCTACTGGAACATCACCGACTTCAAGATCGACATCGCGCCCACCCACATGAAGAGCCACTTCCACGAGCTGCTCAAGGGCAACGCCGCCGTCAGTGAGTATCCGCGGCTTCTCCTGCAACCGCGCACCCAGTTCGACCCGGTCACTGACACCTTCCTTTCCGTTTGCAGGCGAGCAGGTCAACGGCTTCCTCAACAGCGACTGGAAGCTGTTCTTCCAGCAGATCAAGGGCCCCGCCGAGGAGGCGTTCGGACAGATCTTCAAGAGCATGGCGCAGCGGGTGTTCAGCCGCGTCCCCATCAACGACATCTTCCTCGACTAAGTCACCCCCCCACGTCACCTTCGCATCCTCCTCCATCGACCACAACGTTCCTACCTCGAGTTTCATACCAACACGCCATTCTTTGTAAATTCGCAAAACCAATAAATTGTTGTTCTATTTATAGAAAATTGAAACTTTTGCCTATTTTTTTCGAACCACTGTTGAGCCACAATCCAAACCCTCATCTTCTCAGCGGCAAAGACCGTCGCAGAAATCACGAAGCAACACTGCCGAGGAACTTTTCCGGCCGAAGCCACTTTTGTCATCGGGGGCCCAAAAATAATAAATTGCTTCTTTCGAGCATGGTGCGTGTCCGTCCACGGGGTCTGCGGCGCCACATCCGACGGCTGCGACGTCTGTAATGACCGTGGATCCTTCAGGACTCGCGCATCACGCGAGCGGCGTCGCCCTGTCTCTCTCGCACCCCTCCGGGGCGGCCCACGAGTGCGAGAGCGACAATGTTCGGGATCGGCGTGTTGGCGCCTGGCCCGCCTAGTCTTGGTTCCCACCGCGGAACCCCCGCCCGAAATTGTCACGCGAGGAACACGAGGCGTGCCGGCGTGCCGCACGCGGCCGATCTGCGCCACGTGCAGTGTAGTTTAATTGTCCGCGACCGTCGGCCTGTTGTGGCGTTTCCTCACTTATCGAGGGGATCCCGCGCACAGTGGGCCAGAAGACCGGTGGAGGCGGTCGAAACCCCGGACGCGTTTTGAGCTCCTGAGTCGCTGAATGGGACTCGAACCGAACGTGTGACCCCACCAATGGATTGCTCTCCGAATGAGGCATCCATTGGTGGGGTCACACGCTCGGTTCGAGTCCTGTTTAGTCACTCTGGAGCTCAAAACGCGTGTAGAGTTTTGTCCGCCAGCGCCGGTCTTCTGGCCCACTGTGCGCCGTGCGCAATTCGCGATGCGCCACATTTGATCACCTCCTTGTGGAAAAATACGGCTCCTTTTCCCTGGCGTGGCTGGCGCGTCTCCTCGGTGTAGTGGCTTGCATCAAGATCAAGACGCTTCGCTGGAAGTGGTGCATGCTCTGCAGGGCAGTGGGTGTGACTCCTTCCGGATGTGGTGGCCGTGCCTGGCGAGGGCGGCGCCGCCGCGGTGGCCTGGTGGGGGGCCGTGGGGGGCCGTGGGGGGCGGCGTCGACGGCCACCCTCCCTCCGCGTTGACGGCCCCTGGAGGGGCGGCCCGGCTCCGGAAGGGGGCTGCTCCGGTAAGGGCCGAGGTGGCCGGATATGCCGGAAACAGCCAAGCGGATCGATATAAAACTCGAGATGGGCGTGAGCCGGCGTCCAGTGCTGCCGACGCCACGCCGCGGTGCAGACTGCACTGCAGACTGCCGCCATGCACCCCCGGGACCGGCACCACCGGCACCACCGGCACGCGCTCGCCGGCGGCACGGCGACGACCGCCGTCGCTCTGGCCGTAAGTGTACCTCTACTGTCCAGCAGAGTCGACGAAAAGGGGCAGTGGCTCTGTCTCGTGCTTACGTTTCGATTATTCTTCGCTACGATTTGCCAGCCGATGGACCAGACGCGCCCAGACTTTCTGGTGTTTGCCTCGTCCGACCTCTGGCACGACTCCCGTCATTTTAAACTTTGAGGGATCTTCGATTTTCGCGGTGAAGCCACGCGCCGAGTCGTAAACAAACAATCAATCAATCAAAGCCCGCCGCCGCCAATCTTTCTCCCCGTACTAAGCACCGTCTCTTCTCCCACAATAAAAGGCGGGCTTTATTATTTTTCTTTCCACCTATCTCTTGTTTGTTGGCCCGGAGCCGCGGTGCTGTTGCTCTGGTGTCGTGACGCGGTGCCGCGGGCAGTCCCCTGATCCCCTGACCCGCACACGCCACCAAGTGTAGAGATGGAGGCAGCGTTCTTTATTTTCAGAGTCCGAACCAGAATCTGTTCCCGCTGTATGTAAACACCGAGCCATGCGTGATCCTGGCCAAGCCAAAACAAGACAAGTCCGCAAACAGGTCCGCAGACTTATTCCGCAGATTCGTTTCTCGTCTCTGTCTCCCTCGCGCGCGTGGAGCTTGCCGTCGGGGTGCGAGAGAGACAGAGCGTCAAAACGACTCTTCGGATCACTCGGCCTGTTTTTCGCGACCGCCCAATCTGCGGCGGACCAAATTGGCAACGGTCCCGGAACGATCAATTACGTTTGGATCTCACGCAACTTTTTAACGACGTACAGGCAGAGCGCCTCGACAAAGTAGCCGTGCTTTTCTTCCGCCTTCGCCGCGCCGCGTGTGCATCGCGCATCTCATAGTGCACCTGTCCGCGCCGACCGACAGTCCGGCCGACTGGCACTCGGCACTCGGTGGGCGTGGTGCCGGGCCGCGGCACGCGTCCCGCACATGCGCGCAGATGTGCGCGATGTATGGCCAGCACGCGCAGCGCTCTCGGTGCTCTCGGTGCTCTCGGTGCCTGGCGCAGGGCTTGCTCGCGAGCCTTCCGCGCTGCCCCCACCGCACAGCTGGGAGATAGAGTCCGGTGGTGTACAGTGGGCCAGAAGACCGCTGGAGGCGTCCAAAATCCTAGATGCGTTTTGAGCTCCAGAGTCGCTGAGTGGGACTCCAACCGAACGTGTGACCCCCACCAATGAATTGCTCTCCGAACTAGGAATCCATTGGTGGGGTCACACGTTCGGTTCGAGGCCTGTTTAGCGACTCTGAAGCTCAAAACGCGTCTGGGGTTTTGGCCGCCTCCACCGGTCTTCTGGCCCACTGTGCACCACCGGACTCTACCTCGCCGCGAGCAGACAGCCGGCGGCGCAAATTGAGTCGCCCAGAGCCCAATCAGTTGGCGCGCGCCCGGCCGCGGCGAAGCAGACTTTTTGAGACGCCGTCGTCGCGCGCTTTTATGACCCCCAATCGCGGCGCCGTTTATTTTCCCTCCGATCCTGGGAAAGACTGACTTTCTTGCGGAGGGGAGAAAAAATGCCGGCCAGCCGTTCGCCGCCCCGTCCTGTGCAGAGCCAACAGTCTCGGCCGGAAGGGTACCTTCGTCCTCAACAGACGAATGCCCGCGACCCAACGCATCCTCCAAAAAACCATGGAAGGACCTGGTGGCGAACCTCCGCCCCTCAGGTTTAGAGTCCGACGCCTTGATTCTCTCGGCCACCGCGACCCCATGCCGCCCTAGACGCTAGGCCCCGAGGTTGAGGACCACTTCCCTGGCGCACAGACTATCGCAGAGCACATTACTTTTGAGAGTGAACGTACCACAAGCCGAGAAGCCTGCCACGCGACGTGCTGTCTGGCCGCCGCGTTGCGCTCCGGGAGCGACGCACGGTTTGGCGGTTTGTTTTGACGAGGTTTGACGAGGTTTGACGAGGCAGGAAGCGTATTGTCCGCGCTCTGGTTGCCGACTGCTGGTTGCATCGAGCCGCCCCGCCCCGGGCCTTGCCGCGCCCTGCGCCCTGGGCTGGGCCGCGTTATTGGCAGTCAGAGAAATCAGCGGCTGGCGCGACCACGCGGCCACGCGCGGCGACCCCGGCAACATCGTAAAGGGCGGGACGCTGGACTGGGGCGGCGCGGCCGGCGGTGTCTCCATGGAGCCAGCAGCGCCGGCAGTGCCAGGCATGGTGCCAGGCATGGTGCCAGGCACAACGAGGCATTAAGAGGGGCGCCGGAGCGGAGCCATCGGCCGTAACGCGCCGCACCAGTCAGTGCTGCGTCGCGGTCTCTCTCGCACCCCAGCGGAACGCTCTATGAGTGCGAGAGGGACCACGACAAGGCACTGTTCGGAAGCAGTCTGCAGCAGCGGCCAGCATCGTGCAGTGGGGGAGCTCCTTGGCAGCGGCGTGCAGTGGGGGTGCTCCTTGGCGGCAGCACCTGGCTGCGTAGGCCAGCACACGGACCGGCGCGCACGTTGGGCTGCCGCCTCCCAGGCGCATCACCCGCTGCTTGTACTTCAGCGCTCACTGCCCCGGGATACTAGTCCAGAGAGTTCTCATGGGGCCTGTGTTTCTTTCCCCAGGTGGCGCTGCTGGCCGTGACGGCGTCCGCGGTGGAGGTCCTGGAGGCCTCTGGCAGCGCGGCGCAGCACAAGTTCGACGCGGCGGCCAAGCAGCAGACCCTGGACGAGAAGGTGCGTCGCACAGTGGGCCAGCGGACCGGCTGGCGGTACAAAACTCTAGACGCGTTTTGACCTCCAGGGTCGCTAAGCAGGTCTCGAACCAAACGTGTGATTCCACCAATGGACTTCTCGTTCGGAGAGCAATCCAAATGGTGGGGTCACTCGTTCGGTTCGAGTCCTATTTAGTGACTCTGGAGCTCAAAGCGCGTGTTGAATTTTGGCCGCCTCCACCGGTCTTCTGGCGCACTGTGGTGCGTCGTCTCGTCGAGTATGAGAAATCCGGCGGCCATTTCCCTGGAGAGCCAGTGAGCGACGCAATCGCCTCTCCTTGCGTTTTTCACTTGTCCGTTCCGTAATGGGTAATGGCTTCGATGGCGAGGAACCGAGGAACTGCGAACGAGGGAAACCTTTTCCCACTCCCATGTCGCCCCTTTGAATGAGTCCATCATTTACATCAGGCCGGCCCGGCCGGTCGGCCATCGAGGAGGAAGGCGAGAGGAAGCCCGTTGTGCCCGGTTCATAGCACGCCGCCCATTGTGTGAACGCTTCCGAGAAGCGAGTGGCGGGTGTCTGCAGCATCCTCAATGGCGGCCTGCAGCTGCGCCGCGAATCGGCCGGCCCTATGAGAAAGCGAACGGCCCGAAACGGCAAACGGGATCTTTGTCCAGTCGATTAAATTGTCAGATCATCATTAATTTGTGTTTGTCCCTAGGCGCAGCCAAAATTTTATTATCGGCCCGTCTCCGCCACTGACACGAAAAGCACCGCTTCCACGATCACCCAGCTGTCCAGCGGATCAGACTGGCTGTCCGGTGGATCAAGTAGATTGTCCAGTGGGTCCTCCAGCAGTGGTTTCTCCAGCGGGCTGTCCAGTGGGTCCTCCAGCAGTGGAGCCTTCTCAAGCGGGCTGTCCAGTAGTCCCTCCAGCAGTGGAGCCTTCTCCAGCGGGCTGTCCAGTGGGTCCTCCAGCAGCGGAGCCTTCTCCAGCGGGCTGTCCAGTAGTCCCTCCAGCAGTGCAAGCTTCTCCAGCGGGCTGTCCAGTAGTCCCTCCAGCAGTGGAGCCTTCTCCAGCGGGCTGTCCAGTGGGTCCTCCAGCAGCGGAGCCTTCTCCAGCGGGCTGTCCAGTAGTCCCTCCAGCAGTGCAAGCTTCTCCAGCGGGCTGTCCAGTAGTCCCTCCAGCAGTGGAGCCTTCTCCAGCGGGCTGTCCAGTGGGTCCTCCAGCAGCGGAGCCTTCTCCAGCGGGCTGTCCAGTAGTCCCTCCAGCAGTTCAAGCTTCTCCAGCGGGCTGTCCAGTGGGTCCTCCAGCAGTTCAAGCTTCTCCAGCGGGCTGTCCAGCAGTCCCTCCAGCAGTTCAAGCTTCTCCAGCGGGCTGTCCAGTGGGTCCTCCAGCAGTGGAGCCTTCTCCAGCGGGCTGTCCAGCAGTCCCTCCAGCAGCTCAAGCTTCTCCAGCGGTTCGGCCGGAGTGTTCCCCAGCAGCAGCCCCTTCTCCACTCGGGCTGCCCGCCTGTCGGGCGACGACGGCTTCTCCGGCGGCGCGTCCGGTTCCCCCAGGGCGAGCTTCCCCAGCGAGTCACCGCCTTCCTCCACCGGTTTCCTTACCGGCTTCTTCCCGTCCGTCAGCCCGTTCGGCTCCTCGGACACTTCCCCGTTCCGCTCGACCTCGCCGTCCTTCACGGACGACCACGACAAGGCCTTCGCGAGCTTCGGCGAGTCCTTCGGCGGCCACGACGACGAGGACGACGACGCGAGCAACCCGCGGCCCAGGGTGCGCGTGCCGAGCAGCGCCGAGGACGCCGACGAGGCCGAGGCCCCGGACGGCGACAGCGGCGGCCGGTACGAGCGCGGCTACCTGCACACCAGGGACTTCCGCGACACCAAAGCGGTGGCCACGCCCGGCGCCTCCAGGCCGAGGACTCGCAGCACGCGGTACAAGCGCAAGCGGCCCTACACGGCCGAGGGCAAGCGCTCCGCCAAGAAGGCCCCGCTGCGGAACTTTGACGAGCAGAAGTACATCGAGCCTTACACGGAGAACCGCGCCAACAACACCGAGTACAAGTACTACGAGGACCACGGCGGCAACGACACGTACCGCGAGCATCACTACCGGCACGTCGTCAACTACCACCACTACTACAACGGCACCGACAACACCTCCACGGCGGCGCCCTTCTCCAAGGACGCGGCCTACGCCTCGCTGCAGCAGGCCAAGAAGTACAACTACAACGCGGACCACGTGTACAAGGACGGCCGGTACATCCCCATCGTGCACAAGCAGCCCGCCAACCTGTCCGAGGGGGACTTCCCCGACGGGCCGCACGTCAAGCACCACTACTACCACAACGAGTACGAGCACGACCACCGCAACAAGTCGGAGGGCCCCACCGTGCGGCACCACTACCACGACAAGGAGGTCAAGATCTTCTACCACGACCACCGAAACAAGAGCAACGGCGACAGCACCTACTCGTCGTACAGCCCCAGCAAGTACTCGACGTACAGCCCCAGCAAGTACTCGACGTACAGCCCCAGCAAGTACTCGACGTACAGCCCCAGCGAGTATTCGACGACCGCCAACGCGGATGAGGAAACCAGCAGCGACGGGTACTCGTCCTCCTCGGAGAAGCCTATCGTGAAGCACCACCACCACTTCAAGGAGTACCACTACGACGACAGCGGACGCCAAGTGGACCCGCGCAAGTTCAACTACACCAACAAGTACACCAGCAGCAGCAGCCCCAACGAGGAGTCCGACGGGGACTCCGGCGGCGGCACCTACGCGACGGAGGAGTCCCGCGGCAACTACGCGGAGCAGGAGAGCGCGACGGACAGCGGCCACGACGAGGACGGCGACGACGTCCAGGACGAGGAGGACGCGACCCCCACCACCCGCAGCTACTACTACAACTCCAACCACGAAAACCACTACAGCAACTCAGGGCACCGGCCCCGGTAAGATAGCAAAGCAACTTTGCCCCCACCCGTGCACGTTCACACCCTGATCCAGTATGTATGTCAGTCGACTGAAATTGAAAACCCTCAGTCGCATGCGTTTTACGTCCGTTTTGCTGCTTGACAGATTCGAGTCCGAGCCCGAGTCCACGACGCCGAGCAGCGACCGCTTCCCCGACCGGCCGAGCCACGGCCGCCGCCCCAAGTCGTACCGGCCGGGCGGGGCCGTGGGCTACCAGGTGCACTACCGCGACTTCGGAGACCACTCGTTCGCCTCCAAGGAGGTCAACTTCGACGACGGCTTCTCGTTCCACAAGGAGCGGCGTGCTGGCCCGTCCAGCTACCTGGAGTCGTACTCGTCGTCCTCGTCGCCGGCCGGCGGCGGCTACTTCTCCAGGTTCCGCTCGGCGGCCCCGGTCAACGAGGACGACGCGCCGCGGTACAAGGGCGGCTACCGCTCCACCCTCGTGACGAGGGACGTGGAGGGCAAGCGGCACGGCGGCGCGGCGGGCCTCGGCCAGGCCAGGGTGTACGCCGACCACACGCGCAGCCTCGTCAGCAGGGGCAACATCGGCTACATCCTGGTGGACCCCCTGGGCGAGCTGCCGACCATCCGCATCCACGCCAGCCTGGTCAACTCGCAGCAAGCCGCGCACTCGGCGCCGTTCCCGCGGTACGCCCCCGCGCCTAGCCTCGCGCCGAGCCTCGCGCCCAGCCTCGCGCCCACCACCCCCGGCAGAGGCTTCCTGTTTAGCGACCCGTTCCACTCTGGACCCGTGGCCACCGCGCTGCGCAGGATAGACCTGGCGGCCGCCGCCCCCAAGACGACTGCTGTGCCTAGCCTCGCCTCCAGCGCCGTCCCCAGCCCCAGCGCCGCCCCCGGAGGCGCCGCCAACGCCGTCCTCGGCGCGCCCCGGGCAGCCCCCAAGTCATCGTGAGGTTCCTCCAGGGAACCGCCCACTTATTTATAGACTGTTGCCATTTTGACGTAGTTCTATGACAATCAAATCTATGAGACTGACTCAAAGTATCTATTATTCTTGTTGCTCTGTTCTACTTGTTGTTACCAATAAAAACGTAAGGATACCCCTGCTGCGCTTCATTTGGCCCCGAGACACTGTAGAAAGGGAGAGGCGACTGGCACGCGCACCGCCGGGACGGTGTGAAAGAGAGATGCAAATCCATTGCTGCGTTTAAGATTCCGGCCCCAGCGAGAGAGCTCTCCAGATGTGCATCTCCTACGAAGCTGCTTAGTTTGCGCTTGTTGTGCGTTCCCGAACCAGTCTGCTACAACGATATGGCGAAGTTGCCGCTTCGCGTGGCTCCGTGTTTCCAGAGCAACAATTTGTCTCGGATCATTTCAAGGCCTCATTACCACCCGACGTGTTTCTTTTCCCTAAAAGTAAGTGGCAGCGTTCAGACGAATCTTTTTTTTTTGTAGCGGAGTGCGCTTTCGAGCGGCGCGTGGCGGGGCAGCTAGTTACGTTGCAATGATGGCTCTCTCGACACGCCCCATTACACGGAAGCCTCGTGTTCAGGAGTGCGAACACGGTGTACGTGAACCGCGTGCTCCGCGAGCCAATACGCGCCCGGCGTCCGGCCTCGCGTCGTGGCCGCGCGGTCAAAGCGGTCGGTTTTCGGGATCTGGATCGCGGGTTCAAACCTCCCTTTTCAGATGCGTTTTCATCACTGTTTGGAATTGTTGCTGTCTGGTGTGTCAACCAAGGGAAACCCCCAACTATAGCAGAGCTGGACTAGAGGATTTCAAGCTAGGCATCGTTTGCTTTCGAGTCTCGTTGTGCTGTGCTGTCTGGTGTGGGTTCGGAGTATCCGATTGTTCCTCCGCCATGTATTCCTGTCTCTTGCGCGCTGCAGTGCAGATTGCACTTCACGGAGCCTTCCTCCGGTTAGCTTTCCATTTCCCGCCACTCCAGCAGCAAGCCATGCCGGCGAAGAAAATCATTGATTCTTTTTTTTTCAGGTATCTTTTCCTTCCGTCGCGTGGCATTCATTTCCCAGCGGCGCCCTTGGCGCGTGGGCTGCCTACCCGCCGGCGCACGCGCGCGTTGGTGCGCGTCGCATCGCGATGCCGCGGGCAGCCTGCCCTGGCCGGCCTGCAGTTTCACCGCTTATCTAGGCATTCCTTTCCAGCGAGATGCTCCCTGGAGCCTGCCGGCCCTGCCGGCCAGGCGATAGCTCTATGTAATACACGTAACGAAGTGGCGAAGCGGCGGTGTGTGTTTGGCAGCAGACTCATTCCGAGAGTCGTTTTCGTCGCTCTGTCTCTCTCGCTCCTCAAGCGTTGCGCCGTGAGTACGAGAGAGACAGAACGACGAAAACGACTGCAGGGCCGCTCCGGGAACCGTGTCGAGCGCCGCGGTGAGCAGTTACATTTTTCTCCCTTTTTTTTCGCTTGACGCCTTTTCCGCGTTAGCGCCGTTTGCGACGCGTGCGACCGGACCCTCACTTCATTACGCCATTCGGCATCCGCGGGTACGCGGGGCGTGGCGGGCTAACCGGCAGCAGGACGAGGAGGACGTCATCCTGGACCCAGTTCCCTCTGGTTCCGCGCGGCAGCGGCGGCAGCAGGGATCGGGCGGGACGGGATGGCCGGCACAATGATGTGTTCCCACACAGCTAGGAGAGAGCCACCCCGCCGGGGAGGGGGCCGCGCCTAGACCGGGGGCCATGGCGGGGGCCTTGTGGGGGAGGAGGAGCTGCCACAATTAACCGGGCACTTCTTCATATCGGAGGGGCTGGAGAGGGTGCGGGTGGGGTGCCCGCCCCACCCCGCCTCGCCCCGCCTCGCCAGGGCACGCGTGATGAGCGGATATAAGGGGCACTTCCCCGGAGAGAGCATCACTAGTGCCCCGTCTTTCCCCCAAGCCGCCATGCCCGCTCCGGTGAGTTGGTGGAGTGTCAGTGCACAGCATCGAGAAGTGACTGTGACTGTTCAGTGCGCCGCGATCGCTCTCCACAGTGCTTCAGTGACACGTCAAGCCCCATGGATACTGTGACTTCGAACTGCTGCGTGTGGTGTTTGCTCCGCCTTGGTGCCCCGCGTTCGTTGTGCTGTGAGGTCGGTCGGCTGTGGCGGTTCAAGGCCTTGGGAAAGGTCCGCGCCGCCAGGTCGGGCCACGCGGTGCGCTACAGTGGCCTGGTTCAGGACTCGAATAATGCCAGATAGAGACATTTCGCGTGGTGTGGCGACGGCGTGGCGACGGCGAACCGTTCGCACGCGTAAAGGGAGTAAAATGGACTGTGACGTGCAACGCGCACGGACGTAACGTAATGTGTTATTTTTTTCTTTCTGTCCCATTGTCACTGCTTTCTTTTGCCCGCACGCCAGACCCTGTTGGCACGCCTGGCGTGCGTGGCGGCCATCCTGGCAGCAGGCGTGGTCCTGGCGGCCGCCTCCAAGGTGCACGATGACGGCCACGACGAGCTCATCGACTACTACGTGAGTCAAGGGGTCAACTCCCCAATTTTTGATTATTTTTTTTAAATCAGAGGTGGTGCTATTTTATCGCCCGTTCATTGCTGGTCTTGCAGACCAAGCCGAAGTACGACTACAAGTACGGCGTGGAGGACTTCAAGACGGGCGACCACAAGTCGCACTGGGAGACGCGCGACGGCGACGTGGTCAAGGGGTCGTACTCCGTGCTGGAGCCCGACGGCACCTTCCGCACCGTGAGCTACACCGCGGACAAGCACAACGGCTTCAACGCCGTGGTCACGCGCTCCGGCAAGGCCTCGCACCCCGAGCACCACGAGCACCACGACGGACTCCACGAGGTCCACCACGACGTCAAGGTCCACGAGGGCCGCATCCTGGACAGCCACCGCCCGCATAAGAGGTGCGTCGCGTCCCGTAAAAGTGAGGTTTGACCTATGCACGCCTGCAGTAACCGATTTTGTTTTTCAGCGAATACCCGTCCGTGCCCACTCTCCACCATCTGGAGCATGACTACGAGCACCGCGGCGAGGGCTCCAAGCGCGAGGAGGCCGTCGTGGCCAAGCCCTACTACTCCGTGAGCCACGTGAGCCACGGCGCCGAGCCCGCGGCGCGCGCTGGCGAGGAGGAGAAGGCCCCCTCCAGCCAGTCCGCCAGTGCCGTGCCGGCGCCGGCCTCGGCCTTGCTGCAGGCGCAGGCCTCGGCACCCAAGTCCACGACGACGCACTACTTCCCCGGGCGCGTGAACCCCAACGCCAAGCCGTCGCCGTTCAAGGCCAGCACCGCCACGCAGTCCCCGCCGCCCAAGCCACGCCAGCAAGCCGCCCCCGCCGCGTCCGCCTTCTCCAAGCCCTTCTCGCAGGCGGGCTTCTCCAGCACCGTGAGCCACTCCAGCGACGCGGCGCCGTCGTCGGCCGCCTTCCAGTCGTCGGGCCACTACTCGCGCGTCGCGGCCTCGCCCAGCCCGGTGTTCAAGCAGAAGGCCCAGGGGGTGGCCGAGGCCGCTGGTTTCTCCAGCAGCGCAGCCGGGTATTCCAGCGGGTCCGAACCGCAGTCCAGCTCGTACTCCAGCCTGTCCAGCCCGCACGGCAGCCACTCCAACACCTTCAACAACCACCCCAGCGCGCCCAGCCACGCCAACAGCCTCCCCAGCACGTACGCAGGCAGCCACGCCAGCCCCGCCCCCAGCGCCTACTCGGGCCACTCCAGCAGCCAGCCCAGCCTCAGCGCCGCCGCCCGGCCCAAGGTGTACCCCGCCCCGGTGCACTCGTCGGCCTCCGCCAAGCCCACGGCGTCGTCGACGCGCGCGTACCCCCGAGTGCTCGGCGACGACCAGGCGGGCAACGCGGTGCACAGCGCCGCCAGCGAGGAGGACTTCGACGAGGACGAGGAGGGCTTCCCCAGGTTCACGACCAACTTCCGGCCAACACCCGCCGCCGCCAAGGAGCAGCAGTCCCGCTACGAGGACGACCGCGCCACCAGGGTCTACCGACACGGCACCTCCGGCGACGGCGAGCGGAGCTTCGTGGAGGTGGGCATGGGAGGCTACCCCGACGGCGCCTACGAGTACGTCGAGTCCCCCGAGCAGCACTGAGCAGCGCCAGCCATCCAACACCGACCGACATTGACTTGTGATACGTGTGTGTGTGAATGTGTGTGTGAGCGAAGGGTGAACTCGCGAACTCAGGGAACACTGCAGTGTGCAGCACTGCCAGTCCAGGGGAGTCACCGGCCGCCGCTTTTTAACTTATTGAGCGCAATTAGTGAGTAGTTAACGGTCCGCGAAAGACCGTCACTTGTTGAAGTTTTGCAATTACCTGTTATTATCGCTGTTGTATATTGTGTTATTTAACTATCCGGGGAATAAAGCTATTCTCTCCTACGCCAAACCAGGATGCAATGAAATGCCGCTTACCCTTGCAGGCCCTCGTCTATTTTCAACAGTAACGAAACAACAAAAACAACAAGAAAAACAAACACTCAGACAACTATTGGGGGCTACTAGTTTGCCCGGCTGTCCGTGGATTATATCACAGATCTCGATTCAACGAGGCAGCGTCGCCAGCGGGCCTCACGATATGTAGCCGTACGCCCCGTCGGGGTAGTTCTCCAGGGACTCGTGAGTGGCGCTGGTGTCGGCCTTGGGCGCCGTGAAGTCGGCCTTCGCCACCCTGAAGTTGGCCTTCGTCGACGTGAAGTCGGCCTTGCCGTCGACAAAGTCGGCCTTGAGGTGGCCGGCGTGGTGGCCGTGGTGGCTGTGGTGGCCGTGGTGGCCGTAGGGGTGGTTGGCCTTGCCGCGGCGCTCCACCACGGCGTTGAAGCCGTTCTCCTTGTCCGAGGTGTAGGTGACGTGCCGCCAGGTGCCGTCCGCCTCCTTGACGGTGTAGCCGCCCTTCACCTTGTCGCCGTCGCGCTCCTCCCACTGGCTGTGGTGGTCGCCGTGCTTGGGGTCGTCGACGCCGTACTTGAAGTGGTACTTGGGCTTGGCCTGCGCAGAGACAGCACTCACGATAACCGACGCGGTTCAAACGGACCGCGTGCACGGGTGGGCAGGCTTACGTAGTAGTCGTGGTGGTGGCCGTGGTGGGACGCGGACACGCAGGCGGCCGTCGTGAGGGCGACAAGCGCCAAGATCTGCGGCGAGGCAAAGCACAGGGATCGTCGCCGTCATCGAACACCTCAAAAACCACGAAAACAACGCGGTTCCAAAGAGCACAAGGCGGAGGAGGGACTCACTGTGAGACGTGCCATGCTGGTCGTGCCTGCCGGGGACTGTTGGACAAACTTGCAGAGCGCGGCGCTTTATACCAGCCTTGCGATTTACGATCCCTGGCTGGGCTGCCCTGCGCTGCCCTGCGCTGCCCACCTGCTGCAGTGTAGCTGCAGTGCTGCACCAACCCTCTCCCCGCCCCCACCCCCTCCTCCATGTCCACAGCACAATGTCGCCAGCAAAAAACCAATTTCGCCGTTAGTGCCGAAGAAGACAGCCCGCTACCACCAAACCGCCACCACGCATTTCGCAAAACGCCGTCAAAACTTTGCTTTCGTGTCACCCTGCGCTGCCTTTACTGCTGGCCGGCTCGCCGGACCGCGACGCCGTCGCGCCGTCGCCGTTTTTATTTTATTTTCAATTTATTAAAATCTCTACCGAGTGGCGAACCAGCGACAAATTGAATTTTAATGCCATGCATCTTGTCGTTATTGCGGCACGGCTCGTCACTTCGGGCGCGAAAAACGCGCGACTGCTTCGGCCACCGCCTTGTGTGTCGGCCGCGGCTTCCGCGTCGTGTTCGGCTTGCCTGGCTGCCGGCCTGGCTGCCGGCCTGGCTGCTGCCCTGGTCGGCCTGCTTGCCGGCGTGCGAAAGCGAGACGATGCAGACAATGGCGTGCTCGCGGATTATTGCCCGCCGGGTCTGATGGAAGAAAGACCACCGCGAACATCGGGCGGGGTGGGGGTGGGCCAGAAGACCGGTGGAGGCGGCCAAAGCTCCAGACGCGTTTTGAGCTCCAGAGTCGCTACATAGGACTCGAATAGAACGTGTGACCCCACCAATGGATTCCTCGTTCGGAGAGCAATCCATTGATGGGGTCACACGTTTAGTATGAGTCCCATTTAGTGACTGTGGAGCTCAAAACGCGTCTAGAGATGTAGCCGCCTCCACTGTCTTCTGGCCCACTGTGGGGCGTCAAGCAACAGAACACACATTCCTCTCTGATTTGTTTTTTTTATTATTTTGGTTAAATTGTCGAAACCTATCATGAGCCCACGTCAGTGGTGGTGGGGCGGCAGCCGCTTGACGGTGGCCTGGAAGCCGCCCTTCTTGGTGACGATGTACTCCACGACGCGGGTGTGGCCGTCGGGCTCCAGCAGTGTGTAGCCGCCCTTGGTGACGTCGCCGTCGCGGTGCTCCCACACGTCCTTGATGTCGCCCGTGTGCTTGTCGTGTACGCTGTACTGGTACGCGTACCGCGGCTTCGTCTGCGGGGGGAGAGAAATGAGTTGCGTAGGGCAGGGACTAGAGCAGCGGTTCTCAACCTTTCTCGGCTCGCGACCCCAAATTTGAAGCCAAAAATTTCCGCGACCCCCAGGAAAAATTTCGCGACCCCACGGGACCCCTCCTTTAACATGCCACGGCGTCTGATCCGAGGCGGGCATTTTGCTCCCTCAACGGGCAACTGGTCTTTGGACCTTCCTTTAGCATGCCTTTGTTACGGAGTGCAATTATCAGTCTTAGTTTGGGAGCAGTACTGTCTCAAAGTTGGCCAAAACGCTCAGAAATGTCTATGAAAAATCGTGTTTTGGGCTGATTTTAAGGCAGCCACAGGGTCTGATCCGAGGCGGGCATTTTGCTCCCTCAACGGGGAGTTGGTCTTTGGACCTTCCTTTAGCATGCCTCTGTTACGGAGTGCGATTATCAGTCTTCGTTTGGGAGCAGTATTGTCTCAAAGTTGGCCGAAACGGTCAGCAGTGTCTTTGAAAAATCGTGTTTTGGGCCGATTTTAAGCAGCCACTGCGTCTGATCCGAGGCGGGCATTTTGCTCCCTCAACGGGCAGTTGGTCTTTGGACCTTCCTTTAGCATGCCTTTGTTACGGAGTGCAATTATCAGTCTTAGTTTGAGAGCAGTATTGTCTCAAAGTTGGCCGAAACGCTCAGAAATGTCTATGAAAAATCGTGTTTTGGGCTGATTTTAAGCAGCCACTGCGTCTGATCCGAGGCGGGCATTTTGCTCCCTCAACGGGCAATTGGTCTTTGGACCTTCCTTTAGCATGCCTTTGTTACGGAGTGCGATTGTCAGTCTTAGTTTGGGAGCAGTATTGTCTCAAAAGTCGATCAAAACGGTCGCAAGTGTCTTTGAAAAATCGTTGTGACTATTTTGGTCAACTTTGAGACAATACTGCTCCCAAACTAAGACTGATAATCGCACTCCGTAACAAAGGCATGCTAAAGGAAGGTCCAAAGACCAATTGCCCGTTGAGGGAGCAAAATGCCCGCCTCGGATCAGACGCAGTGGCTGCTTAAAATCGGCCCAAAACACGATTTTTCATAGACATTTCTGAGCGTTTCGGCCAACTTTGAGACAATACTGCTCCCAAACTAAGACTGATAATTGCACTCCGTAACAAAGGCATGCTAAAGGAAGGTCCAAAGACCGATTGCCCGTTGAGGGAGCAAAATGCCCGCCTCGGATCAGACGCAGTGGCTGCTTAAAATCGGCCTAAAACACGACCCCAGCATCGCCGCGACCCCTTAAAAAAATTTCGCGACCCCGCTTGGGGTCGCGACCCTAAGGTTGAGAACCACTGGACTAGAGACAGGAGTCGGACTAGAGACTAGAGTCGGACTAGAGACTAGAGTCGGACTAGAGACTAGAGTCGGACTAGAGACTAGAGTCGGACTAGAGACTAGAGTCGGACTAGAGACTAGAGTCGGACTAGAGACCGGGGAAGTGCGCTGTTAATCGACGCGAGCCAGCTGTGAACAAGTGCGGCCTTTTCTTTCCTCGAGCTCCAGTAAACAGCGGGCCCGTTCCCACCGTTCCTTATTGGAGGCACACCGCTTTTACTCTATCGCGGCGCCGCGCGAGCGGGAAGGTAGTCGGGCAGAGAGGTGCCGGGCAACACGTTTCGTTTTCCCGGCGATAAAAGCGTGCCGACTTACGTGGTGGTCGTCGTGGTGGTGGTACCTCTCCAGTGTGCCCTCGGTCAGCTCCTGCGCCTGCTGCACGTTGTCCGACACCTGCTGCTGCGCCTGCTGCGCCTGCCGCGCGACGGCACTCACGAGGACGGCGGCCAGGACCGCCGCCAGCAGCGCCGACGTCGTCATCTGCGGACACGGCGTTCTAGAGCGCCTGCGGAAGCGAGGGTAGGCCGCTCTGCAAGACACGGCGGCTCGGCGGGCCGGCCTACGCCGCAGGCGCTCTCAGTGGCGACGTCGTCGTCGGCGTCCTCGAGAGCCTTCCTCCGGACTTACCTGTCGAGAAGGCATGGCCGCGCTGTGCTGCTCTGCTGCCGTGGTCGCCGAGGTGTCAATGGTGTCCCGGCAGCGTGCCGCGGCGGTTTTAAGGGGCTCCGCCCGGTCGACTGGACGATCCCAGGGTCACGGATGTTCCGCCGCACCCCGCCGCGCCCCGCCGCGCCCCGCCCCGCCCCGCCCCGCCCCGCAGCGACACGCACTTTAACCCCCTGGATCAGTCGAAACGGCGTCGATTCATGTCGCTCGGTCGGTTGCAGCGGCCGGGCACTGCTGGGCTTTGGCGCGGTGGCGCGGTGGCACAAGGAGACTCAAATCGGTGCGCGCGGCGCAACCATAGCCTTGTCGTCCACTAATTTCCACTTGGTCACGAGCAAGTGGTGCGCGGCGTGGCGCGGCGCGGGGTATTGCCGATACACCGCAACCACCGCCACCTTGACCCTCACCGGCAGAGCCAGGGCGGAGAGATGCATTCAAAGGACACGTTTCCGTACACACACGAAATTTAGTGACCCGCAAATTAAGTTTAGTGCAGAGTGTATATTGTGCCCGAGTTACGCAACGTATCAAATTCAAGATATTAAGATCAGAAGAAGGAACCTCGTGGTTTCGATGTGCTGGATGGACTCTGCTTTTCGTCCTATCTCAACAAAAACCATTGGCGGGTGAAGATTCCCCAGCCAGCGTAGCAAGTCTTTACCCTATCTCCACAAAAACCATGTCACGGTCGTCCTAAAGGCCGTGCTCCTTGGCTTCATGCTTGCCCGCACCGATATTTCCCTCTCGTTTCCTTTATTTTCCTTTTCCGTGTCACTGCTTTCGTTGTTGTTTGTTTCCGTCTCCTCGTCTCAATGCGCCGATTGATGCTCGGAGCGAAGCAGTCGTGACGGTAACGGCCGGTGCACTAACAGAATGTTTTTATTTATCATTGTTATGATTGTTCTCATTTTTCCCTTGTTTTGTAAATTAAAAGGGTGATCATTTTTTGTTGTTTAGGGATAGAAAAGTTTGACTCTCAAAGTATTTTTTTCTTATCTTGATTGGTTTATTCACTGTTCAGAACAGTAGCATTGCAGGTTTCACTACGTACACTTATCACAAACAACATTGGTTTAAAACATTTTGGTTACAGCCTGTTAGTTACTTCAAAACAAGTAAGTCTATGACTAGTTTGGGGGAAAGAGAGTCGCCATCGAGGATGTTCCCGTTAACTGGGACTTGGGACTTTCTAAAGATTTAACACTAAACATAAATAACAAATGACATCGCGCTACTCAGCGGCCGTGGTGTCCGGGCGGCAGGTGCTTGACGCGCGCGTTGAAGCCGCCCTTCTTGGTGACGGAGTACTCCACCACCCTGGTGTGCCCGTCGGGCTCCATCACGGCGTACCCGCCGCGTGTGGCGTCGCCGTCGCGCTGCTCCCAGGCGCTCTTCACGTCGCGCGTCGTGGGGTCGTGGACGCCGTAGCGGTACGCGTACTCGGGCCGCACCGCTTGCCCGTCCTGCACAAAACAAGCAGCGTGCAGGATGACAAGAAATCATTTCGGAACATGAGTAACATCACGAGTTGTACTCACCCTATGGCCCAGGCCTCCGCTGAACCCGGTCCGCAGCGACGCAGATGGATCAGTGTGGTATTCCCTCACTGGGGCGGCCGCCTTGTTCGGCTGGTAGGTCTTGAAGGTCGTCTTGGCGGGGGTCACCGCCGCGTAGGGAGAGCGCACATCCGCCTGGTCGTAGGGAGACGCCTGCTTGAACGGCGACTTGGGCAAGAACGCCGTCTTGGCGGGGGCCTCCTGGCTTTGGTACTCCGTCTTGGCGGGGGCGTCGTGGTCGTAGTCCGAGCCGCCCTCGACGTCGATGCCCTTGAGGTGCTTGGCGAGGCTCAGCTCGGCCTTCTCGTCGTGCGCCGCCGTGTCGTCGTCGTTGGGGTGCGACGAGTCCACTTCCTCCTCCTGCTGCGCGCCACTGCTGCCGTGCTGCGCGTACTCCTCGAGGTCCTCGTCGAGGAGGTCCTTCGGCGTGTCTGTCAGGTCCTTGGGGGTCTCCACCAGGTCCTCGGGCGTCTCCACCAGGTCTTTCGGCGTATCCAACAAGTCCTTGGGCGTCTCGAGCAGGTCCTTGGGCGGCGTCACCAGGTCCTTGTAGTCCGCGAAGAAGTCGTCCTCCTGCGGGCTGGTGAAGCCGGCGCCGTCCAGGCGGCGGTGCAGGCCCGGCGCGATGCCCACCACGCCGGGCGCGGCGGCGGCCGCCGTCCAAGACACGGCCAGCAGCACCGTCACCGCGACCTGCGCACAACACCAACGTGAACCATGTCGCACTGGCGGCACGCACGCAGATGATGCGAAGCTCACCTTCACAGAGTCCATCATGGCGTCGACTGGATCACCGTCGCCGGCAAGGGCGCCTGGCAAAATGGCCACCGCCGCGCCGGCCGCCCTTTATAAGAGCAGGCCTGACCCGAAGGGCCGGAGGACCGCGGTTCGTCCCGCCATGGCCCCGCGACACGGCCCTCGAGCCAACGGGCAAACGGATTGGGCAAAGCCAGGCAAAGCTTCGGCGAGCCGCGGAAGCACGCTGATTTGGCATTTGCCCCGCCACCGCCAGGCCGGCCCAGCGCGGCCCAGCGCGGCACAGCGCAGCCCAGCAGCGCCCGGATTTCCTTCGCTCATTTAATTTAGGTCTCGTTTTACGGCCGGCTAGGCAGCCAGAGTGTTGCGTCTGGCTCGGTCTGACCTAGGCAACACCGCTCCTCCTTCGACGCCGCCGTCCCGACCCAAGATTTGAAAAAGTCGATCCTGCCGCCAATCAGCGACAAGTCCAACCGTCCGCCACAACTTGATTCGGATTCATGCATGCCGACCGCAGCGTCTCTCCGTGGCGGTTGGCGGGCACGGACTCTCGCTGTCGAGATCACTGCCCCCCCTCCTCTTCTCCGCCCCTGCCAAGCGGAACGCCATCCCGCGCCTCCAAAGAAAGTGAAGGCGAAGGCACCGCGCTCGTGCCGTCCCCGGGGCACGCCGCCAGCAGCCGGCCTGCCAGGCCTGCGGCACTGCTAATTAGGCGGCGATACCCCGCGCCAGGGGGAAGTCCGAGCGGGGAGTATCGCCGCGCAGAGAAAAACGCCATCCACGGCGATCTGGTCCCGGAAAAGAAACATTTGGCCGGGACCAGGCGTAGTTTCTCCTATTTTAGCGACGTGCGGAGATGCAGGCGTTTGAAAAATGGAAAGAAATGCCGAGATTCTTTAGGATTTAGGATCGACGCGTCGCTTTGAGTCACAGTCACCTGCAGGGCCAACTACTCGTCTTGAAAGGAATCGAAGGGCAAGGGGCAGGATATCGTGGTGATGTAAAACCAAGTTTAATTCGCAATTTCGATAACAGACAGTACAAATCGTAAAGACAGCGGGGCAGTGAGGTTGGGCGTTTGTTGCGCGTCATAAATAATAATAATAAAAATAATAACGGAAAGCCTTGTATTTACAGCACAACATTACTAGTCTACACACACGCACACGCACATGCACACACTCAACACGCGGACACCCGTATAACTTAAGCGCGGCTCTGCACACAGCTTCACAGACTTATTTTGAAGGCGGTGGGGGGCGAGTTGTTGCAGCGCCCCCTGCGCGGCGGCCTGCAGCACTAGTAGTAGCCGTCGTACTGCGAGTAGGCCTCGTGGGGCGCGGAGGCCGCCGCCGTGTAGTGGCCGTTGCTGCCGAGCAGGCCGAGGTAGCTGCCGGCCTCGTCGTACACGTCGTACTCCTGGAAGTGGCCGGCCGGGGCGCTGAGGGCGGCGTGCGTCAGGTGGGGGTGCGCTGTTTCAACTGCGAGGGAGACAAGAAAACGGACTAGAAACGTGTCTGCGGAGGAGAAGATTTATCAGAAGGGCGTCTGTTACCGATGGGCGCCGGTGCGGGCGCGTAGGCGATGTCGCTGTACTCCGCGGCGATGGTGGTGTACGGCTTGGCGGCCACGGCCACGGGGGCCACGGGCTGGACGACCTTGGTGGCCAGCGGCACGGCCACGGGCACCTGGGAAACCAATTCAATTAATTGTAGTGTTTTTTTTTTCATTTCTAACGCAAACCATAGAGCACCGGAGTGTGCCAGAAGACCGGTGGAGGCGGCCAAAATTCTAGACGCGTTTTGAACTCCAGAGTCACCAAATGGGACTCAAACGAAACGTGTGACCCCACCAATGGATTGCTCTTCGAACGAGGAATCCATTGGTGGTGTCACTCGTTTGGTTCGAGTCCCATTTAGCGACTCTGGAACTTAAAACGCGTCTACACTTTTGGTCGACTCCACCATCAGTCTTCTGGCCAACTGTGACCGGTGCTGATATCTACCTTGATGGCGGGCGAGTCGTGGATGCCGGGGCCGGACTTGCTGACCACGGCGTTGAAGCCGTTGACGGAGTCGGCGGTGTAGTCCACGGTGCGCACGGAGCCGTCGGGCTCCACCAGGGAGTACTGGCCCTTGACCACGTCGCCGTCGCGCGTCTCGGACTGGTGCTTGTGGTCACCGGTGTGGGGGTCGCTCACGCCGTAGTTGAACGCGTACCGCGGGTGGCTCTGCAGGCAATCAATCTCAGTTTCAAGACTCAAAACGCATCAACCTCAACTTCTTTTCCATCGTTTTGCAACAGCCAGTTGCTTTACATGCATGCTAACATTTTTTCATTTTTTCCCCTTGTATCTCGGGCCATTGTGCTCGGTTCACCTCGGTTCACACACACGTGCTCGGTCACGCACACCCCGGCCGGCGAGGTCCAGCCTGCCGGCGCGCGTGCCCTATGGCGGCCAGGCCAGCCAGGCCAGCCAGCCCTGCACAAGTAGGTCCTCCGGGCCGTGTGAACCCCTGTGCGTCAAAGGCCGCGCGGCGGGCGTTGCAGGCGCCTTATGCAGACCGACGTAATTCGCATTCTGTAGCGCTAATTAGGGCCTTTCGGGACTCGCACAGACTACCACACATTCACGCTCACACACAGACACAGACATACACACACACACGGCAATGGAAACCGACAACACGCCGGGGAGCGCTATGCTGATTCGAGCTGCTCACGGTAAGGGGATACGGTGCTAATGAAACGGCGCGCTATGAATTTTTAATACTGAGTGGCGCAAAGTGCGGAAGGCGGTGTTGTCCGAGCGCGCGCCGGGGTTGCGCACAGTGGTGCGTGGTATAGATGTCCGAATGCTGAGGCCGCCGTTTTCACTCCCGCAGTACTAAGGGACCCCAGTGTGCTCGTCAACCTCACTTAGTGATAGTGGGAGTCCTTCTTGAACCTTGAGTAGAGGCAAGAGAGGTTATGTTGTCTATGAGTAGTATGGAACCTCCAGTGTAGTGGCCGCCGTGTTGACTCCCCACCGTTGCGTGTCCTTGAGGACGCTAACCTGACCGCGGCTCTCGCTTGGAGTGCGTCGGGGTGCTCTTGGCACCTCAGTGCGCAGCCAGTCGGCCGGGGTGTGCGAAGCCTGCGAAGCACAACAATCGCAGGCACAACACGCGCCGAGCGGAAATTTCGGGCGCGGAAAGCGCGGAGAGGGAGGGCGGGCCTGGCGGGCCTGGCGGGCCGAGCCGGGTTTGGCTATCACGACTATCGCGGTGGCGGATCTGGCGGAGGGACCCGCACAGCACCGCCCGTACACAATGAGGGTGTTGATGGAGTTATGACCGTGGCACCGCCGGCGCCGGACAAAAGGCGGACACGACACACACTCATTCCCGCCGCGGCGGAAAAAAACACTCTAAACGGCGTGTCGCTTTTCACGCTTTTCAAACGTCAAATTGGACAACCTTTAATTGGAACGAGTGGACGCGGTGGAAGGAATGCGATTCATTCACGGATTACCGGTGCAAAGTGATGCAGTCATGAGCGAAGAAACGCTGCGGCCTTCCCCGGGCCGAATAGCCGAGTCCATATTCCGACCCAAACCTTGTGCCTTCGTACTTCGTGCACTCCGTGTCACACAAAGGCCTTGATGGCCTCGCCTCGTTCTCATGCTGCATGTGAGCAGCGCCAGCAGCATCGGCCGCCAAGGTGAATCATGAAGCAGGATTTCCTCCTCATTACGGTGTCGTGTATCTACGAGTGCCATTTTTGAGCAGAAAAAAAAAGACCCGCCAGAGCGAAAAGCGCTTTGTTGATACTCACGTAGTAGTCGACGTTGTGCACGGGGACAGGCGCGTAGCCGGGCCTGGCGGCCGCCACGTGCAGCATGGCCAGGACGGCCGGGAGGAGGACGGCCGCCGCCTGGAAGGAAGCAGCAGCCAGATAACGGTCACGGCCACAACGCAACCACTAATCAGCAAGACACAAAAATACCGCCGAAACTGCAGTTGCTTTCTTCCCCGATTATAAAAGAAAAAGAGATTGTTTTGTTTCCCCGAGGCTCGTTGTGGCGCCCCGCCTCGGACCGGCCGCGCAACTTCGGCCAGAAAAAGCTGCGGCCTCGTAAACTTTACGCCGCCTAATTTTCAGACGGCCACTGCATACAATGGCATGCCAGCTTGGCGGCGGCAACGGCTCAATGGACGTGACGACAGCGCACAGTGGGCCAGAACAAACAGAACCAGCGCCAGCTACGCCAGCAGACGGACTCGTCGGCCAGGAAATAGTAGAAAGGGTTCTGTCCGGCTGTCCGGCCGCCCGGTCGGCGCGTTTATTGTCTCTGCTAATGGGCCGCCCCGGCTGTCGTGTCGCGGCCAGCGCCGAGCACCGCGAAGCGCCGCGAAGCAGGCCTCGTCCTTGAAGACGTAACGCCGACGCGCCCCTCAAGGCCGTCCCTGGGCCCCGGGCCTGGGTCGCTGCAGGGCCTGGGCAGAGCGCTTCGGGCCGAGCTCGGCGTTCAAGTCTCCACCAACTGGAGCACGCCTCTGGGTCACCTCCCAACGAGTTTAGAGCTAGACTTGGATAATAACATGAAAGGGGGCCCAAAAATCGGAACAAAATTCCCAAGCATACTTGTAACAAAAAAATGCCAAGCAAAACCTTGCAGCAAAAAATTGCAAAAAATAATTGCAACAAAAAGTTGCAACAAATAACTGCAACTAAAAGTTGCAACAAAAAGTTGCAACAAATAAACGCAACTAAAAGTTGCAACAAATAACTGCAACTAAAAGTTGCAACAAATAACTGCAACTAAAAGTTGCAACAAATAACTGCAACAAAAAGTGCAACAAAAAATGACAACTAAAAATTGCGTTGCACGAAAACTTGCAACAATTATTTTTGGTGGGGAGTGGGGGTGCGGGAGACTGTTACACCGGTTGCAGTCTGACTGCGGTCCCTGTGAGGACATGCACTGGGGGACGGGCCGTTGCAGTTTGGCTTTCCGGCGGGGCGCTGGGACGGCCTAGACGGCCTGGGCGGCGTGGCGCAGCGGCGCAGCCTCCAGCAGTACAATGCCTCCTCGACGCGGACGCAGCGAGACGCAGCCACGACGCAGCCACGCAGTGCTAATTCGCGTTTAGAGAAGAGAAGTGGTCCGGCGTGAGGCTCGCCGTGAGGCTGCGGCGCCGCGGGGGGCCAAGGGCGCGGCGTGGCGTGGCGTGGCGGGCGGGGCGGGGTGGGGTGGGGGGGGGGGGGCTACCTAGTTACCTTAGCCACCAAACGGCGTGCGGTCGAAATCGCAGTTCGAAATTGCGGCCCTCGCGCGAGGCTAAATGAGTGGGTCAATAAAACGTAAACAGTCGATCGGTTTCCAATTTGGCGGTCGACCGTGCCCTCATTATTATTGAGTGGACTCTAAATCTCCAAACATTTGCGGTCTGACTGTTTCGGAAGGGACATTGTTGGACTGATCGATTATCTTTCTAGCAACAGACAAGGTCAAAGTCTTTGTATCTTTACTGTTTTTGACAAGTGTATCCGGAATTGCAAACGAGATTTTTTGCATCATGAAATGGCGGCATGTGGCACCTTATTTAACCACAGTACTTCACCTCTAGGTTGGAACAAAGTGACATAATCAACCTAGTGGGACACAATGACTCGTGAACAGTCGTTAGACTGTCGTCATATTTCAAAGACTGAAAGAACTGATCAGATAGTAAATAACAGAAACCTTTAAAAAATATATATAGTGAAATTAATCATAACAAAGAAATAACATTTTGCAGAAGTATAAACTGGATTTTTACTTTATACTCTTTATCTTGAACCGCACAACCTGCTTTTGCAGAGAAAGGCCATCAAATTTAAGAAAAACAACACGCAATCGGATGTAAAATTTGATCTTGAACCGTATTTCCACCGCACACTTATTAATCCGCCGACCTGGAGCTTGCCGTTGACTGCCATGTCTTCTTTGAGGAGATGGAGGAGGAGCACCACAAAACACTGACCACGCACCGCACTGCACTCGAGACTTTACCGTCGCACGGAGACACCCCGACTGGAACTTGCGGCGCCTGCACGCACTCCTATATATGGAGGGGCGGCGGACCGCGGCGGACCGCGGGGGACCCGGCTCGGAGTGCAGCCTCCCCGGACCCTGGCCGCCCCTCCCCCACCCACGCTGCCCACCCTCGCGGGCACCTTTTTTCGCGATGACCGTCAAACCTCGGCGCCGGCAGCACGGGGCACGCGGCCCATTGTCCGATGAGAACGCGCCGCCCCCACCTCTCTGCGCCCCACCCTGCCCTCTCCGCCCTGCCCTCCTCCTCCTCCTTCTCCTCCCTCTCCCTTTCCTATCGCCCTGCGTTTGTTTTGCTCCGGCCGTTCATGTCCGAAACAGCGCGAAGCAGTGCAAGGCGTTCGACCCCCCGCGGACCGCGCGCGGGGCTTACCTCACGCCTTGAAGGCGATGGACGAGGCAAGTCAAAAGCACGAAGACGTGTAAACCGCGACGATTGTTCTTGGACGCTCCTCTCATCCCGTGGACGATTCTGGCAGTCACATTTCAAAGGTCCGTGCCTTTTCTCTGCGAAATTAAACCCACTGACATGGATGAAGGATTTTTCGTCGTTTCGAAAAAAAAAACGACGGCGGGGCGTGCAGGTCAGCAGGCCGCTCCGTCGGACAGTCCCACGGCGCACGAGTGTGTGTGTGTGTGTGTGTCTGTGTGTGTGTGTGTGTGCGCGCGCTCGCCTCGCTCCCACGGCCGGCCACGTGTCGAAAGGGGCGGATTGGACATGGATTAGCCCCGGAACCGCCAACCGCCCCCGGGCAATTTTTGTTTGAATTTCTTTTATCCAAAACAATCAAAGAAAAAGAGTGTCTTGAGTGGGAGGTCGTGGAGGACGATTTCCTTGTCAGTGACGGCGACCGCGTCCGCCGCCGCGCTCCTCGCTGGCGCACTTGATGGTGGGGGCGACGACGGCGTGCTCGCGGCTCGTTGAACGAGTCGTTGCCACGTCGTTAACGTTCGGCGCCCTCACACGTACGGCCGCACGGGCCGTACTGCACCGCCCCTCGCCAGGGAAAAACGGCCGGCCTGGCGGACTATGGATTCCTGCCTGCATAACGGACTGGCGCGCGGTGCCGCGGTGCCGGGGTGTTGTTTAACAGCTCGGCTGCCGCAGTTAGAGGCCTTATGCGTCCGCCGTCAGCCCGCTGGCCGTGTGAAGGCGGTGGCGGCTCAGCCGGCCAGCCACGGTTACGAGGGAGTCCTCGGCCGGTTCTGGGATGGGTTCAAAGATCTAAGAGTCTGGGATTTTAATTTCTTGCCTTACTCGGCATAAAAATAACTCGCCACTTTGCTTGTCACCTTCGGCAGGGTGAAAAAGAAAAACAGGATTCAGTCAATTTTCAGGTATTTTTTATACCTAATTGTAAATGTGTAAATGTGTAAACACACCTGTTTTCATCAATAAAATTTCGCAGTCCTTTTTTCTTGTTTTTTTTCTTTCCTTCGTTTATGTCTCTGCCCGTGGGATCAATACGGGGGCGGGGCGTGGCCGCGGGCCGCGCAGGCAACACCGTGCCATACGTGTGAGAAACTGCGAGGTAATGTATGCACCGGCGGGCCAGCGCCGCCAGCCGGCAGGCCAGAGCGGCACCCGCCGTGGACCCATTCCGGCGAAGGTTAGTCCAGGGCGGGCTGGCCGGGCTGGCCGGCCTGGCCCTTCGCAACCGGGTACTCGTTGTCGGCGTCGGCGGCGTTGGCGTGTGGAGCGGATGGCCTGCACGCAATAGGGAGCAGGGGTAAGGTAAGGGGCTTCGTGCCGCGCGGATCAGAACAATGCCGAAAAAGCCACGCGACGAAAACAGGCGGGGTGGCGGCGCGGCCGCGAAGCAGGCTTGGGAGCCAAAACGGACCCGGCCGGCGCGTTGCGGACACAGTCGCCGCAACACACTCTCACATGTGTGTATGTGAGTAAACATTCATTGCTAACGTATTTTGGAACCGCGAAATTTCTGCGTCGCCTTCCCCTCCCTCCTCCTCTTCGATGCACTACTTGTTGGGCGTAGGTGGTTCATCGCTCACGCCGCCAAGCCGCCAAGGCGCCAAGGCTGCTGCAGTGGCGCTAATCGCAGCGCCGCAGCCCTCTCCTCGGCCCGGCCCTGCAGGCCCTGCGGGTCCTCCGGGCCCTCCATCTCGACGGCCGCGCTAACGACGCCTGCCCAATGAGCCACGCCGCCAGCAGGCCGTCTCTCTCGCACTCGTGCGGCGTGCCGCAGCGGTGCGAGAGAGACAGCGGGCGCGGGCGAGGCGCTGCGTTTTTGCCACTTTTTATTCGCGCGGATTAACCGCCTCCCTGGCGGGGCGCGGCTGCGCGGCTGCGCGGCGCCGCGGGCTGTCCCGGATTCAGCGATTCCCGCGCGATGGCGGCGCCGAGCAAGGCGCCGAGGGTCTCGAGGGCGTCGCGGACCTCGGGCAGGGTCAGGCCCTCGAGCACGCGGCCCACGCGGGGCGACAGGGCGACGGGGTGACGGGGTGACGGATGGCCGTTCCCACGTTTACGTTTTAAGGCACAATGAGCAGTCCGGTGCAGCGGGCCGGGCGGCGGCGGGCCGGCCGCGCGCTGGGACTCGATCTCCTGCTCGCCGCGCGGCGACAGCGGCGACAAACCGGCGACAAGGTGACGGTGATAGCGAGCCTCGCGGCCTTGGCGCTCCGAGAACATGAAGTAGAGGCAGGCGGCGGAGTCCGCGCTGACCGCAGCGGACACACCGGAGGGGAGCCGCTTTGGGCAACCCGGCCGGCGGCGGCGTGAGCACTCCGCCACACACGCGCCGTGGCGGCGGGCCGGGTCGGGCCGGACCACGCCGACGGCGCCTTGACCCACACCTGAGACAATGCGGCGCCGCGGAGCCCTGGCGGATGGCGGAGCCGCGGAGTCATCCCTGAGCCTCCGCCCACGCGCCCGGCCCGGGGCATGCCCGCAGCCCGGAGCCCCGCGGCACGGCGGCGACGTCGCGTGGCCTTCGCTCGGATTAAAGTCCCAATTCCCGCACCGAACGTCACGTTCTAAGAATCATCAAATTGGAGGGTTCTTCTTCCTGGCGGCCAAAATGTGATCCCTGGTGCGGAACTGTGCTCCTTGCCGGCCAATATTTGACCCATTAGGTAGAAATTTGCCCAGCCAGCCTCACCTCTAAATCCTATTCATCGTATTCTGGCGGTATCCAAGCGAAGGGGCCGCGGCTCGCGTGGCGGCGCCAGGCGTCCGATCGGCGGCAGGCGGTGAGAACGCCTTTCTGGAAGTGCTGGCGGCTGGCCGGCCGGGCCACGGGCCGCACACTTATTAACGCTTTAATCCCGCATTCGCATCATGGTAAACAAACAGAGGGTGCGGACGGGCAAGGCAGGCGAGGCAGGCGAGGCAGGCAAGGCCCCTGGACGCGCAGTACATCATCGCCGTCCGCACCTCGGGAGCCTCGCCGGGGATCGGGTTCCCACTCATTGCCGAGGCCTGTCCGAAGAAAAGGGCTTGTGGAGGGACTTTCTTGGTTCCGCGGGAAGACACTCAAATTTCTGGCTCCGGGGCGCTTTACGGGGCGCCTGTGAGGTAGGCAATGCGCGACAGCGGTGTATTGCGGCGGCCTACCTCCCAGGCGCCTGTGAGGTAGGCAATGCGCGACAGCGGTGTGTTGCTGAGGCCTACCTCACAGGCGCCTGTGAGGTAGGCAATGCGCGACAGCGGTGTGTTGCTGAGGCCTACCTCCCAGGCGCCTGTGAGGTAGGCAATGCGCGACAGCGGTGTGTTGCTGAGGCCTACCTCACAGGCGCCTGTGAGGTACGCGACAGCGGTGCGTAGCGGCGTCGCCCGCATGGGCCGACTCGAAGCTCGACTCGAAGCTCGGCCCGCGCCGAGGAGGTCGCGCAGTGCTCCCGGAAGTGGGGTGTCTCTGCTGGGAGCCCTTTACCTTGCAGGAAGCAAGGAAGACGAAAATTTGAGGCTGGCTGTGGTGTTCGGAAAGCCGCGCCGCCTTTACCGGTTCCCACGATATTCCAGATTACGGCCCCGCCGTGTCCCGACCGGTGAGGTAAGCGGGCAGCGCAGTGCACAGTGGGCCAGAAGACCGGGGGAGGTGGCCAACACTCAAGACGCGTTTTGATCTCCAGAGTCGCTAAATGGGACTCGAACCGAACGTGTGACCCCACCAATGGATGCCTCGTTCGAACGCAATTCATTGGTGGGGTCGCATGCTGGCCCACTGTGCGAAGATCCCTACAGTGGCACTGGCGGAGGAAGTTTTGGCGGTCGGTCCGGACAGTCCGGGGCCGACAGCACTAATCAGTGCCGTCGCCGTGGCCGCCGCGGCCGCCCCGCTTTGCTGCATCACTACACGACCGGCATGTCGCGGCTGACCCCGCCGTAATGCCTTGTCAATGTCCGGCCGTCGTGACGCCGTCGTGACACGCCGCGTGACTCCGTCGTGACGCTCTGGGCTGCCTCCATCTCGGCCCGTCGTTCCGCGTCCCCGTCGCGGCCACAGACAGCGGGCGGCGCAGGCTCCTCCGCCGGCTTGGCTTGTCCTTATCTCGGTCCGAACGCCGCCGGCGAAGGGCGGCCGCTGGCCCCTGCCTGGCCCCTGCCTGGCCCCTGCCTGGCCCCACAGTGCAGAGGAAACGCATTCAAATTACAGGCGGCAAGTCCCGCGGCGCGGCGACGCGGCGACCACTAAGGACCAGGACGGCGTCGTGATGAGGCCCTTGTCGGCGTCCTTGAGCGCCACAGCCGCGTCCTGCCGCAACGGACGGACGCGTGCAGGCGCGCGGCGCGGCGCCGGCACGACGAAGGCAGCCCCCGGTACGCAGACAGCCCAACGCGCACGCAGCAGCGAACCCGTTTCCAGTGTAGACCCATCCTGCCCCCGGCAGGCAGGCAGCCCAACGCGCACGCAGCAGCGAACCAGTTTCCAGTGTAGAGCCTCCAGACCCATCCTGCCCCGGCAGGCAGGCAACCCAACGCGCAGCCTGCAGCGCCCCCGCAGGCCGCAGGCTGGGCAACCCAACGCGCAGGCTCGTGTTCCGACCGGCAGGGCAGGACAGGGTTTCGAAAGGACACAAACGAATTGGTTAAATTGTTTATTTCCCGACAGAAAATAGTGTCCCGGTTGGTGCGCCAAAAACTCACAATCACACAAAACACTCTCACCGCTATCGCTACACTTCTACAAACTAAAGAAAACTGTGCAGACACTCTTGACCTTCACAAACACTCGATGCACACACCAGTCAGTCATTGGGATCACAAAAATAAATTAACCTAAGCACTTACCCTATGTAAGATCACAATACTGTCACTGAGTAAACGTCGCGGTACTATTGTCAACGGTGGGCAGATCGTTAACATTTAATTAGAGTTAGAATAAATTAGGTGAGGACAGTCACATTCAAAAGCACACGACCACCACGCGCACACAATACCGAAATGTCCCGGTACGAGACATAAAATAAAGTTACACTAACTTAATGGTGCTTTCCTACACTAAATGGTACTACAAGTTTATTCGCAAATATTTAAAGAGTCAAACAGGATTTACTTTGGTCTCAGGCCAACGATCAAGCACATGAGGAAAATTACAAGCACCCGACTGGATTTAGAATCCATGTTCTTCTCTATAAATATTGACTAGCTTTCATTACAGTTTCATCCCGAAGCAGCAGGTGGAGCAGGCGTCCACTCTCAGCTGCTCGGGCCAACGTGACGCTCTTCCATGAGATTTGAGTGAGTTTCATGAGGTTGAGTACGTTCATTGGTGTATCCGGGCCAACACTCCAGCTGGCCCAAAGCGCGCGGAGTGAGTGAAAATCAGAAGCAGGCTAAGCAGTGGCTCTAGAGGGTGGAGTACTGCAGGGGGTAGAGGGGGCGCTGGTCGGAGAACTGGATCTCGTCCTGGGCGCGCGACCGCGACGCGGTGGCCGACTCGTTCCTCTTCTGGACGTACTCGCGGACGGCTTGGTTGGACAGCGTCACGGAGTACTCCCGGATCTCGGGGCCCAGGCGGTCCTCCAGCTGGGTGTTGAGCGTCTGGCACTTGGACGCGGTGTTCATGTCGCCGGACGAGCCCCACATGATGGCGCCGGCGAAGCCCAGGGCGCGCGGCAGCGCCAGACTGCTGCGGAGGTCGTCCTGCGGAGCAACAAGAGCGTGTTAGAGGTGGCCGAGGGCCGCGAAGGCCGGTGGGTGGAATCCGGTGCACAGAGGGTCAGAGGACTGGCGGAGATGGTCAAAATCCCGGACGCGTTTTGAGCTCCAGAGTCGCTAAGTGGGACTAGAATCGAACGTGTGACCCCACCAATGGATTGCTCTCCGAACGAGGAATCCATTGATGGGGCTGGAGCTCAAAACGCGTCTAGAGTTTTGGCCGCCGGCGCCGCTCTTCTGGCCCACTGAGTGGTGAAGTCGACGTGGCGGTTTACTCACGTCGGAGAGGAAGGACGCGTCGCGGTAGCGGTACCACAGGTAGGGGTACACGACGTTGCGGCCCTGCGCCACCCGCTTCGCCTCCTTCAGCTTGGCCTGGATGAAGAGGAACTCGGCGTCGCGGTCGCGGCCGCTCTGGCTCAGGTACACCGAGGGGAACAGCGCCGTGCTGGCGTTGAACAGCCACTGGATCCTACGCGCAAGGGAAAGTCGAGAGTTAGTGATTTCATCGGGGTGGTTTCTTCATTTTTTTTCTGGTGGGGTGGGGAATGCTTACTGGGAGTTTTGGGTGCGCAGGTTGTCGGAGCAGTCGAAGTTGTCATCGTTGCTGTTGAAGCAGTAGGGGAAGGCGTAGTACCCCCAGCGGCCGTTGGGGCGGATCTGCTGGGCCAGCGCTAGACTCCGCAGGAAAAACACCTTGGCAGCCGCCTCAAAACGCCGCGTCGCCTGCGCAAAAAAAAATCATTTTCTTGGATCTACAGATTTGAATACCCGGTGTGCACTTGAGGGGGCGCGCGGACTCACCCTGGCCGTGAGGGTGCTGTTGGAGGCCGTCGGTGACCTCGCCCTCTCCACCTCGACGGAGTACGATTGGTACGCCCGCAGCGTGCCGAAGTTCTGCGCCCAGACGGGCCGCCAGGCCTCGAAGTCGATGACGCCCAGGCCGTCGAAGTCCACGGGCACCTGGTCCTCGATGGAGGCCTTGAGGCGCTGCAGGTGCAGTTCCAGGTTGCCTTCCTGGGGCACGCCGCCGTTACGGGCGATCACGGAGCCCTGCGCAGCGGAGGCAGCGCGCGGTCAGCCACTCTCGCACCCTCACCGCGACAAGCCAATTTCTCATACTCACGTCGTTGTCGACGAGCGCGGGGAACAGGCCCGGGTCGTACAGGATGGTGATCTTGGTGCCGCGGAAGACGTCGTCCTCGTTCTGCACCATGCCGTAGCGGCCGGAGAGGTTGCTGAAGGGGTAGCCGTGCTTGTGGCACATGAAGGAGGGCACGTTCCAGTACACGCGGAAACCGGAGGCGGCGCTGTCGTCGTCCTGGACCGCGTCTTGCTGGGGGCGGGGCGTGGGGCGGGGCGCGCCGGGCGGGAACTGCCCCGAAGGCCGCTGCGGGCCCAGGTCCACCGGGCCGTTGGAGCCGGGCGGCCCGTTGGGGTCGGTCATGCCGGCGGGGCGGTGCGGCCCCAGGTCCACCGACGGGCGACGCACCGGACGCCAGCCGGGGTCGGACTGCGCCTTGGACAGGTCGTCGTTGGGGGTCAGGTTGGGGTCCCGGGGCCCGGCAGGGCGGTGCGGGCCCGTGCCGCCGGCCAGCGCCTTCACCTCCACGACGGCGTCGTTGGGCGGGGACTGGCCGTGCGGCCGTTGCGGGCCCAGGTCCACGACGTACGGCGGACCCGCGCTCGGTGGGAACTGGCCGTGCGGTCGCTGCGGGCCCAGGTCAGGGGGCGGGCTCCCCTGCAGGGGGTAGATGTTGCTGCAAGCAGAGAACAGGCCGTTCAGGACAGGACCATCTAGGGCGGTGGGCAGCATGGCCCTCGCGGTGGGCGCGGCACTGATGTCGGCGTCCTGGCCTTGCTCCTGGCCGACAAGCTCCCCGTCGCCGTGTCCGCACCGTGCGGCACCGTGCGGCACCGTGCCGATAACGCGGCGCCCTTGTCGTGCCGTGACAAATGAACCGCCGCGGCGACTTCGCCGCCCGAAAACGGCGTCGCTTTTTTGGCCGACGCGCCGGCTAGTTAGACCGCGAGGCGCCACGCGCCGTCCGGTGTCCCTACAGTGTCCCTACAGTGCGGTGCAGTGATAAACGCGATAACCCGAATGCATAATCCGCAGATAACAATGGCTCCGCGTGGACACACCGCACACTGCACGTGTCCTTTGGGGCGTAAGTGCAGGGCAGGCCCCGGGCAGGCCCCGGGCAGGCGTCCCCGACCGACCCGACCCGTCCGTCGAGGCAGGTCGCGGCGAGCCCGCCAAACCGGCACGCCCGCGATGTCGCTTGTCGGCTTGTCTCAGTGGCGGCGGCGGTGGCGGTGGCGGCGGCGGCGCGAGGCGCTTCCTCGCCGGCAATCTCGGTCGTACTTCCTCGCGGACACCCGACACTTCGGCGGTGCAGTAATCAGGCGTTCCCCACCTGTCGCTTTTGCTGCCGCCTTATCTGGCTCTGCGTGAACGCGTCGCTGAATTAGTGCGGCGGAATGTCCCCAGTCATCTTTGCACCTCTCGTGTGACTCATACCGAAGGGCGTCGGTCAGGAAGCAGAGAGTCGCGGAGAGCGCGCTCGCGGATATAGAACAATAGGCACCGGCACCTCCCCCCCCCCCTTTCCCCTCTCCTCCCCGCCTCAGGGGAATGAATTGGCTCTAGTGTCCAATAAACTGCACTACTCCAGGCACTGCACCGCTCTGCATCCGCCAAACATGGCGCGGCGGGCTCGCCTTCCTGCTTCCTCGCGGGCCATGGCGTGCCGTGCCATGGCGTGCCGTGCCATGGCGTGCCGTGCCATGGCGTGCCGTGCCATGGCGTGCCGTGCCGGCCACGGCGTGAGACCATCCAAGATTAGCTCGCCCCGAGCCACCACGGTCACGGCCAAATGAGTAAACCCAACAAAACGAGAAGCGCGGCTCGCGAGTCGCTTCCTTTTTCTCATTACAAACGGCTGTGACAACAGTGACAGCGTGGTGTATGGCTTCAGGCCGGCCAGTCCGCCAGTCCGAGGGGTCAAGCCAAGCGCGCAGCGCGCAACCGGAAACCCCAAGATATTCCAGAGGGACTGCTTGGCCTGGCCGCCGGCACGCCGCGCCCGCGTGCGAGTGTGTTAGTGCGCGTGTGTGTCTAAGTATGCGAGGATGTGAGTGTGTGTGTGTGAGTGTTGAAACGTGGAGCAGGGCCCTAGGCCTAGGCCCTAGGCCCTGCAAGGACGCCAGGAATGGGTGCACTGGACTCCAGACGACGTCGTCCAAGCTCTCCGTGATGGCGGGGCAGCGCCCCCGGTCCCTCTGGATATGCTAAGTGGCCAGTATGAGCAGTGGAAAGATACCCCACACCGGGTGGTCTTTATAGAGAACTGCTCTTAAGGGTCTCTTGATTTTCCAGGGCGGCAGGAAGTACAGGTTTCGTCGCAAGAGACGCCGGTCGCTGAGGACACTCACTTGTCTACGTCGGCGGGGGCGCCGGAGCAGGCTAGTAGCATGGCCTGCAGCAGCAGCGTGGCGAAGACGACGGAGGGCGTCATCCTGGGGCACTACTTGTCGTCGCGGCACAGCGGATCGGCGTGGCGAGGCGTGGCGAGGCGTGGCGAGTCGGCACAGGACTGGCCGATTCCCCTCGCCGCCATAACATTTAAACGCGACGCGCCCCCCTCCCCCCCCCCTCCCCTCCCCCGCACAGCGCCGCGCCGACCGCCTCACCACCTCGCCCAGGAGCGCTTCGAGGAACGTCACCACGCGCCGTGCCCAGGCCCAGCCTGCCCAGTCACAGCGGGTCCATGGCAGAGGCGCCGATTTCGCAGCCCACTGCATTTTGGCTGTGCCGCAGGCCTCACTTGCAGTGAGATGTAGGATTGCTGATTTGCTTTGCGTCGCGAGCGAATCAAACCGGGGTCGGTGGCCACGAGGGGTTACCCACTCGGTACTTGGGCGTACACACGATTCCGGATTCCCGCGATTCCTGAACAAATCTTGCATTAAGGAGAGGTTTTTGAAGATTTTTCTTAGCTTTTGAGTGTTTTGTGTCTATTACATATCCCTCTCCATTGAAACTTTTAAGATTTTCGATAAAATTTTGAGCAAATCACGAACGATTCCCGGACTGAGTGTACACACGATTCCCGGAGTGGGTAACCCCTCGGGTGGCCAGCACCAGCAAGACGTATCTTCCTTTTTCAGTGCCCTGGGCCGCGGCCACTGCACATACTGCACACAGGGCACCCCGTGCAGTGTCGCGTGATAGGCCGCCCCGCCACGCACACGTTTCATTTTTCCGGCTGGCGGAAGCGCCGGGTGAAGCACCCCGGAGCAGCAGCCCAGCCGGAGCCGGCGCGACATGTAGTTCACCTTGCAGCCACGCCGCCGGACCGCCGGACAAACCCAGCACCGTGCACGGGCCGTGCAGCGCCCAGGCACCGGCCGAGCAGAATTCCCCAGCAGCAACGCGCTGCCCTTGCCCTTGCACCTTGCGGATCCAAGAACGCGCGCACCAGCCGCCGCCAGGACGCCGACGACGACGTGCTCCTGGACACTGCACCCCATGTGCACGACGGACATCGTCGTCGTCGTCGTCGTCGTCGTCGTAAAGAAAGTGAAAGCCCGCATTGCTTTTCCGCATTTGCCTCCCCCCCCCTCTTTCCCTCCTTGCCCCTTTCCATGCCTCGCGGGAGCCACGCGCGGGATTCCCACGGCCAAGGTCGCCCGAGGAGCGGTGCTCTCTCTCGCACACACTCACACTCACTCACCCACTCACACATACATACACACACGACCATTCTCAAGAGTGGTCATTCCCTTCGGGCCCTGGCGATATGCAGAGTGCGCACGAGGACGGCGATGCGTCATCAGGCAAGGGCGCGGAAGTGGCCGTCGAAATCGCCCCATCGCCTCATCACCAGATCTGAGAGCGAGTCACCGCACAGAGAGAGATTAGGCGCGCTGGTAACGCACGTCGTCACCTTGAACGTTCCCGGTACCTCAGATTAACCCGGTTTCGATGCTCACCTCACCTCATGTTTGGCATACCGTAACTTCTTTCTTCGCGGAAACGGCGGCGCGGCGCCGTATGGCGTTCGCGCTCGCGTGAGCCGGGTCACGGCGTGGACCGAAGGCCCCGAAGGCACCGAGGGCAAGGGCGTGGGTCGAGGACGCGAGGAGGACCTCGCGGGTCAAGCGCTCAGCCGGCCAGCCGGTCAGCCGGTCAGCGGGGACCTGCTGGGGCTGATTAAGACCGCGCCGCGCTGTTCGAGCCCATGTGCGGCGCGATGGAGGCCGTTCCGCCGCCCCTAGACAAACTCGTAGGGAGAGAGGCGACAAGTCGGTGACGTCAGCGCGCTCTCATTGGCTAGACCAGCCGAGCGAGCGCTGTGATTCGGTGGTTCAGCCGTGAGCGTCCCGAGTTGTCGCCCTTACGAGTCTCTCTACCCGCGCCGCCCCCCGCCCTCCCCGTGGCCACGGCCGTGCCCGCTGCGCGCCGCTGCGTGGCGGGTCTGCCTACCCTACGGTTCGCAGGCGCGCTGAGTGGGTCATCGCCATGAACGCACTGCGGTGCAGCGCGCGAGGCCGCCGTCGACGGAGTGTCGCGTGTCGCTGTAAGCCCTGCGTCCTGCCGAAACCGATAGGATAGCCAGCCCAGGGGTCCTTGGCTTGCCTTGCCCTGCGGCCGGTAAACACTGGCGTGACGCAGTGCCTACGCACCGTGCGTCCAGGTCCAGGTGCGCCAGGCCCGCCAGGCCCGCCAGGCCCGCATTGCATGACTCGGGGCTTTTGGTATCGGCGGCTGAGCGCAGAGCATAGGCGAGGAGCCAGGAAGCCGCGCGGCCCGCGTAAACTTTGAAACGCGCGAAAACCCGCGTAAAATTTGAACGGCCGGTGCGACGGCGATACAGGCGGTGATACAGGCGCCCCCGCCTGCTTCGCAACTTCGCATGTCACGTGACGTCGGGCTGCTGTTGTTCCCGCCCGACGAGGTGCCGTTAAAAACTGGGCGTAGTAAAAAGCGCACTATCTGGCGCTGCACGGCTGCACCCTGCACTTGGTTTTCGCGCCGCTCGCTGCACTGCCTGCACGGCACTCGCTTGGGCCGCGTGATAGGGTGTCACTCAACTCACCGGATATCGTTAGGGTGGTCGGCGCCGCCCCGTGCCGCTTCCGGCGTCCACAGCGGCGGCGGCGTTGTCGCCGACACCACCACCGCGTCGTCGCGGACCTCCGGCACCTCCGGCAACGGCGGGAAGTTGTTGTCTTCGTCGGCGACCACCACGTAGGAGGGCCCGCCCCTGGTCCTCTCGGCGCCAAAGCGGTCCAGGATGGCGCCGCGCCCTGAAGGCCGTGAAGTAGCACGAGGAGGGGTTTCGGTTTTCGGGGAAGGCGGCGCAGTCGTTGCAAAACGATGCTGTGGTGCTGCTTGAAACTGGTCCTCGGGTTGCACGGGTTGCACGGGTTGCAGCCCCCTGTGCGCCGGGCTGATCCCACAAGCGTTGTCACCGAATCTGCCAGAGGTTGATGTGGACGACGACGTCCCGTGGAGGTAGCTGGCAGGTATCTGCAGAAGGACGACGGGGACGGGGACGAGGACGGGGGCGGGGGCGGGGGCGGGGGCGGCCACGTCGCGGTGCTGGGGCGGCTGTAAGGGCTGCAGGGCGGCGGACAGGTACACGGACACCACCCACTGGGGCAGCATCATGTTGCCTGGGCGCGGTCCGCTGCTGCGGTCCGCCCGGCACGGCGTCGAGGACTTGACTCTGCGGAGCTCTCGGCCTCCTCGGCCTCCTCAGGGAGCGGATAAATGAGCCCGCCAGAAGATGCTGCAGCCGCGGCTGATTCCGAACCGTGGTCTCGTCGCTCTGCCTCTCTCGCACTCACGAGGCGCCCCGAAGGCCGCGAGAGAGACAGAGCGACGGATACACCGTTCGGCTGCCGTTCGGCTGCCGTTGTGGAGGGTGTTTTCTGTGTTTACGGGTGGGCACGTTTACTCGCGGCCCTCGATGAGGTGCGAAGTCGCGGCCTGGCCTGGTCCACGCCGCGCCCCGCGCCGCCCAGGGCGCCCAGGGCCCAGACGCTCATCGGCTTGTTTGTAAACGCGCACCCACGTCCCACTACCGAGCGGCCGAGTGCAGTGCAGGCCTCCCTATTATTGGCGCCTGCCACAACCGCCAAAGCCGCGGCCCGCGGCACGGGCGGGCAGCGCGGTGCGGGGGCTTGTCAAGGTGCCCCTCAAGGTGCCCGTCAACTTGTACACTGATCCAGCCAGCACCGCGTTTCGACGCTGTCTCTCTCAGACCAATAAGGGAATGCCCCATGAGTGCGAAAGAGACAGAGCGACGGCAGCGACCGACGAGCGGAGTCGGTTTGCTGCTGCCGTGAGGAGAGGAAGGAAAGCTCTTGGCAGAAAATGCCGGAATAGAAGGCGCGAAAAAAAGTACCATTGCATGTGTTTAAAAATGCGCGGGGCTTCAAAACGGGCATGTGGGGAAAGGGGGGAGGATGCGTTATAGGCAGTCGTCCCCCTCCACATGCCCCTTCCCCCTCCCCTCCCACCAACGGGCGAACAGCTGTGTGTTGTCTGCTTGTTTTTTGACGTTTCTGCAAGTGATCATCAGCAAATTCATGTTTAGTCAAGAAATTTTTTGAACGATTACGCATTGTTGTAATATCACTGTGGATATTGATAAACGCATTTTTGTGAGTGGAGACTGAGAACGGTTTTGCTTTGCTGAAGTGTAATAATCTGGAAAAAGAGTGGTTCTGAATCGCCAAAGTCCGACTTCCTAAAATGTTTTTAAACTGCCCGCAGACACCAATAATGAATATTTTCAGTTGATTAAGTTGGGGAACAGTTTTCGAAATGTCGGGGTGGCTTGACATGCTCGCCCCCACTGCGGGGGGCATCCTGAGGTCAATCCTCAATTCTGACCCTAACCCCAACAAAGTCTTGGAAGTGAGACAGGACCGCTACAGCCACCGTGTTGTAAGGTGTAGAGAAGATGGCATCGTCCTGTTCGGACCGACAGACAATAAATTTGAGATTGTGATGAACCGCCCGACAACTGAGTCCATGAACAAGGCATTCAGGTTAGTTTCCGCCTCGTCGTCATTGTAGGGGTACCAGTAGATAACACAATTTTCCAATTTATGCTTTTCTTGTTACAGCTTGTTTCGGTCAGACAATTTAGAAAGTGCTGAAAATAAGTTTATTCAGCTGAAGGACAAAATTCCAGTGATTGCAGATGTTGCTAAAGAGGTAGGTAAATCATTCAACATTATTTTCCTTCTACTGCGTTAGGGAGAGGGAGTGGAGTGACACTACCATTTTATTTTCAGACATGTTACCCAGCAATGCTACAAAAAATGTGTGATGTGATGGAGCTAAACCCTGGATGGAGTGTTGCCCATCTGGCAGCATATTTTGACTTACATGCTGCATTTAATTCTGAAAAAATCTCAGTGTAAGTATTTGAGTTGATTTTCTCCTGCTCTCTGTATTGTTGTGAAATAATAACTATAAGACCTCACACACTGTAGGAAAATTTATAGTAATTATATTTCGTATCTTTTCTTTTTATAATACTAGTGTTGAGAGGACTTTGTTACTTTATTTTCCTGTTGCCTGTAATCTTTTTTTTTTCTCTGTCTCAGGTTTATGAACTCCTCAGACCCCAACACTGGTGTCTCACCACTGCTTGTAGCCATTCAGGCTCAAAATCTTCTTTCTATCAAAGTGCTTGTTTCAAAAAATGCCTCTCTGGAACATTTGGACCATGAGGCAAACTCTGTCTTCCACTATGCAGCCAGCACTAACAAAGATGTCATTTCTGTAAGGATTTTTCTTTTCTATGGAATGGTTGAACTTTGAACATGCTAATTCAAAGTCGGCTTTGTTTTCAGGCTTTGGCACCAACGGATCGGATAAAATGTTTAAATTACCGTAACTCTAAAGGCCACACACCTCTCCATATGGCTTGTTTAGCAGACAAACCAGAATGTGTGAAAGCTCTCTTGTTGGCCGGTGCTGATTGCAATATCTCAGCTGACACTGGAAATTTACTGGATTCCCATAGAACTTCCAGACAAGCTGGCAATGTAGGAAACTTTATGGAGGAGAATTCTCACAAACTCTATGCGCAAGATATGAAGTATGGTGGCACACCATTACATTGGTCATGTTCTAGACAAGTTATAGATTCTTTGCTAGACATGAATTGTCACATAAACGCCCTCAACTTTGATGGAAGATCAGCTTTACATATCATGGTATGAGCAAGTTAACAGTAAAGAATAAAATTTTAAGTTTTAGCCTTATTTTGAAGGGGTGAAAAGGAAAAGGATATTTCTTGTGTTTTCCTCAGGTACTGAGGAACAGACTGGAATGTGTGATGGCACTTTTGTGTCGTGGAGCAGACATGAACATTGGTGATAGTGATGGCAACACTCCTCTTCATTTAGCTGTTCTAAATCTCAATGTGCCAATAATTCAAGCATTAATTGTTTTTGGTGCAGATCTCCAGTACAAGTAAGTAAATCAGTCGAGGATGTCATAATATATCAAAGTGTGATTGTTTTGAAGGTGACTTGAAACAATTCTGACCAAAGTTGTTTCTGATGAGTCAAATTGATCTTTATGTGACTTTTGAGTCCTTCTTGCGAAGACTCTTGGTTGGAATATTGACGACACATTTGTTTTCAGAAACCACAGTGGAGCAACAGCAAGACATATAATACCTGCTGATGGCTCAGCTGAGGCAAATAAAATGCTCTACATTCTTCATGCAGTTGGAGCTGAGCGATGTACCAAAGACACTCAAGGCTGCTCTGCAGGATGTGCTTATGATGGGACCTTAAATGGTACACCACCTCCTTCACCCCCTGGAGGTTGCACTAGAGATGCTCTGGATCAAATGCTGTCAACTTATGCAATGGATTTGGCGTCACACAGTAGTGGAAGGTTTGTAACTTCTACCTGAACCAAAGTGTCTTTCTGTAGATAACACAAAGAAAAGTAAAATGTGTTTTCATTTCAGTAGGAAGAGAAAACGTTGTCACGCATTGTGTCTAGATGGTGGAGGTATCAGAGGACTTCTTCTCATTGTCATGCTTATGGATTTAGAGAGAGCTGTCGGGAAACCTATTTTGCACTGCTTTGACTGGGTGTCGGGCACTTCTACTGGTGGCATTCTTGCATTAGGTTTAGCTGTAGGTAAGTTCTCCTAGATGTGTTTTGATTGGGTGTATTGTAACATTCTTTAGTCTACTTTAGTGTATTTGATTTGGTATTAACATTTTCATCTTTCTTTTGTAGGAAAGTCATTACATGAGTGTCTTTGTTTATATTTTCGAATGAAAGATATCACATTTGTTGGCAAACGGCCTTATGCCAATGAACCGCTTGAGCAACTGCTGAGAGAGTGTTATGGTCCTGACACTGTCATGGCTGATGTTAGTCATCCAAAGTAAGAAAACCAAACTAAATTGCCTTTTTTAATTGAACTGATTACTCTCAATTTCTATAAATGAATCTTTTATTTTGCAGATTAGTAATTACAGGTTTACTAGCTGATAGGAAGCCTGTGGACCTACACATTTTTAGAAATTACACCTCTCCCAGTGAAATTTTAGGAAAGGATGAATATGCAAATTGTAAATTTGTGAAGCCAACTCATTTTCAGGAGCAGTTGATGTGGAGGGCTGCTCGAGCTTCTGGTGCTGCCCCAACATATTTCAGGTTTACTTTTTGGTTCCATTTCTTTAACAATTGCTTTTTTTCCTCAGTTTGAAATTTACCACTAACTTTTTCTTTGCAGTGCCTTTGGTCGATTTCTAGATGGTGGACTGATTGCAAATAATCCTACTTTAGACTGCTTAACAGAAATTCATGAGTATAATTTGGCTATGAAAGCAATGGATCCTCAGTACGAAATGGTACCCACTACCTTAGTAGTGTCTCTAGGAACCGGAGAAATTCCTGTCACCGAGGTAATTATTCTAATAATCATTTTTTATAAATTCCCCCCTTTTTCTTTGCTTAGTGTAATATGTAGTCTTCCAATTGGAAAAGTATCTGAATTCTGATTGTTGCCTTTATTTTTCTTCTTAAGCTCAAAGAAATTGATGTTACTAGACCAGACAGCTTTTTGGGTGCCACTAAATTGGTGTTTGGGATTGCCCAATTGGGCACTCTCATAATTGATCAAGTGAGTAAAAAAAAAATTAAATAGTAATTTGTGAATCCTTTGAGTGAGGCGCCAGCAGAAAGTTTTAATTCATACTTTTCACAGGCTACACAGAGCTCAGGACGAGTGGTAGATAGAGCACGTTCATGGTGTTCAATGATAGGTGTTCCGTATTACCGCTTTTCACCCAAAATGAGTGAAGAGATTGACATCAATGAAAGAAATGACGAGAAGCTAGTTAACATGGTGTGGGAATGTCAAGCTTATATGTACGACCAACGCAGCGTTGTCAATGAATTAGCTTCCCTGCTCAAAGGCTAAGAGAATGCTTTGTTAATGAAATAAGAGTTGATAATAATTGGAATGTTATAATTTAAGGGCAGTTTTGTTTTTCTAAGCATTTAGCTGTAGTCCCAAGAAATTAATGTTGTTCAATTTTTAATAAAGTATATGTGGCTCATCTCTATCCATTCCTATTGTATTTTTAACAATTAATGGAAATAAATACAAAACATGTGCTCTAAGCACAAGAAAAGTGTGCCAAGTCTAATCTATCTTCATGTCCACCACAGTGTCATAGCAGTTTCCATGAATTTCAGAGCAAACTTTAACATTCTGGAAATTTTGATTAGCAGTGAAACAATGAGAGATGTGTCTAAAACTAGTAAATATATTTCTACATATCTTCATAACAGCACAGATATTTAAAAACAACTGCACGAAAACATGTCAAACTTGGTAACATTTATCAGCTGAAAAATAAAAACAATAAAAATACCTAGCATAAAAACAAAAAATACCACAATAGGCTCATCAAAGAAGAAATAAATCTTTAGAGAGATTCCAAAACATTTGTACAATAACCATTCTAGGTAAATTTATGAATGAAGGAACTTCATACCATCACCGCCAGCAACCTACTGTATACTCCAGAATAGTACTACAATACAAATCAAAGTAGTAACTTATACTATGAGCAACATAAAATTGAACACAGTAAAGATTTGGCCAAGGAGTTGGAGAAAAATTTAAGTAAAAGATGTAATTTATATTTTTATAACTAGATTTAAATGACAAAAAGTTACAATCTATTGTCAAGTCTTACCATTGCTATACAGGTACATATGAATGGCAAAAAGTATCACAGCCTTCAAACTGAGAATACCCTGAGTGAGAAAAATATTTCAGACCATCCACGCCACAATAGATAATCAATTGCACTCAACTATGACACCATGCTGTATGTATAGCATGGCCTGATGATGAAGAAATACAGTAGTTTCCAGATAAATAAAGAAACATTAGTCATAGAATTACATATTGACTGAAAGAAAAGCAAATACACCAGCAAAGTAACAGGATGTTGTCTTCAAATTAAAGACAATACTGATTAGTGGTGAAAGCAAAGGCCCACTGAGCTAACCAGTATAGATCTGATCGAATGCCTCAAACATCTGCTCCATCTCCTCAAATTGTTGTAACTCTTCTTCTGAAATGTTGCAATGATCATTGTCATCAGAGTCGCCTAAATTGGTGTAGAATTGATTGAAAGCCAGAACTTCCTGACTAGCATTCTGCAGAATGTTAATGGTTTGCATTGTGTCTCTTTTTACATGATGAACCTCTTCATTAAATTCAGCCTGGAGACCATCAACTTCCTGCAATTAAAATTATGCAAAACAAAATAATTCATGCAACTTGGTGAAGAATAAAACAGCATTTGGCAAGCAATGACAACTTCAGCTTACTTTCTCCTGACGGTACGCCAAGTCATCTATTTGTCTTCTGACAATGTGATGTGGTGCAGTGGAGTTCATTAGGCTTTGTTGTTGCTGCAGTTGACGGTCACTTAAAGCAAACAGTTTCCTTTCGTGTTCAGCATGAACTCCTTCCAAGTTCTTATTCAGTTGTTGATGCAAACTATTAATTTTGTTTTCAAACATCTGGACACAAGAATACGTTCTCCTTCGTTTGCTCGGATGATCAACATCACTACAATCATCATGGGATCTTGCTCTCTTCTTAGACTGTCCTTGAGTAGCATTATTTGTTGTTGCACGCTGAAAGAAGGGGGAAAAACCAGTTCAATGAAATGTTGTCAAACAAACAAAAGATACTTAACTCAATCAACATACCCGTGATGAAATTCTTCTGAAATTATGACAAGTGAGGTTTCTTCTGGGATCAGGGATGGTCATCTGCCGCCATTGCTCTCTCACTACTCGATACCGTTCCTCATCTGTTTCCAACTTCCTCATTAGATCCCATTCTGGATCATTGTTGTCAGCATTTTCAGCATCGTCAGTACTAATCCATGGCACTGCCCATGATGGTCTGGAAAGAAAATATGCAAACTATGTGGTATTGTATTCTATTTAAGTTAAAATAAGATAAAATAACAATAAAGAGACAAATACTTTGGTTGAGTTCCCTCCGGAGCAGTTTCTGTACTAGTTTCTGTACTAGCATCTGTGCTAGTATCAGCACTAGTATCAACACTTGTTGGAGCAGAATGGTCTTGAATAGTTAGGTCAGTATCAAAAGAGTTATCTGGTATTAACGTAATGTTATAAGAGCTGTCTAATATTAATGTATCAGTATCTTCTTCAACTGGTTCAGTATCATTAACATTTTCAATAACTGGATCAGCATCAACAGAACAGGCCGCCTCTGCTTCAAGAAGCAAGGGCAAAACTTCATCCAGAATAAAGTCACCATTTGATAATAAATCCTCAGCACTTTCAGTAGTGTCTTCAACAAAAGATTTAGCTTGTGCCGTCACAATTCTCTCAATTTGGACTTCTTCATCTAAGGACTGCAAAGAAGAAGCTGCTGGGAGGTGGGTCACCTCTGATCCAGACAGCACTACAGGACAATCTTTATCTGCCTTTTCCAAAAGCTGACAGGCTGGAGGTGATGGTACAAATGCTGAGTCTGAAGTTTCACAAGTGGGAGCAGAGGCAGTCCCAAGCTCTTCTACATCTGATGTAACAGAATTGGGTACATCAGATTCCAGATGTTCAGCCTCAAGGGTTGCAACTTTGTGACATTTGTTGTAGTCCAAGAAGGAAGCACAGGTTGAAAAGCACCCAGATGATAATTCATAGGGCTTTAACTGCTCTGACTCTTCCAATAAAATTGCTTCAGTTTCAGGAGAGGGAACTGTTATTCCAGAGTCCAATGAGGATAGAGAATGTTCATCGGCACATGGGAACTTGAATTCTTGAAGGATTTCTAGCTCTTCGGTTTTGGACAACTCAAGGTCTATATAGGATTCGGTACTTGTTGATAGAGACAATTCATTTTCAGAAGTAGTAGTGGGCAATTCTGCACTTGGTTTATAATTTAAATAGGAAGCCAAAACATTTTTCACCCCTAAACTAGAAAGTTCAGATACGCTTGGAAGACTGTTTAACGAAAAAGAAGCATTGGGAGAGCTAACATTGATGCTAACGTCAGTTTTTTTAACACTATGACAAGACACACTTACAGGTGGTTCCAAATTATGGGATAAGGGAGAGCATTGTGGGGATGTTTCTTTAACAGGAGATGATAAGTCAACATCAAAATTTTGATTATTTGTCTCTTGACAAGAACCTAACTCAAGACCCGAATCCTCATCATCGCTGCTAAGATCTATGACTGGAATATTTGTTGTGTCTTGTGTCGTGTTTTTAACTACATTGCAATTCAAATCTAGAGTTGCATCTTGGGTCACAAACTCTTCAAGCAAACCGGTGAGAGGCATCGTGTCTAAGCTGTCCAAATCTACCATAGTCAAGAAAATTATGATGCAGGACGACTCTGTGCTGGCCTCTAGATTACATGAGCACCTGTAACAAAAAACAGGTTTTACAGATAGTATAGAATCGCCAGCCAACAGCAATCAAGTCCAAGACAAAACCAACACTGCCAAAGAACTGACTTATCCAGTACAGTTCAAACTGCACAGAAAATGCCGGTGCGTCTATAAGCCATGGCAACGAAACCGCTACCGCTGCGTGTGATTCACAGAGTGCGAGATTTGAGCTACGGATCACACCAAACTCTTTCCAAAAATTGCAACGACTCAGCAGACTGATTCCGAGAGTCGTTTTCTTCGTCCTGTCTCTCTCGCACCTATACGCGGTAACCCATGAGTGCGAGAGGGACAGAACGACGAAAACGACTCTCGGAATCGGTCTGCAGGACAAAGAGGCAAATGGACTTACCGGCATTGAACGCATCGGCGAGTAGACACTTCTACAATCTACGTCCTTCCAATTTCGAAAAGCATCGAATCGTGACGCCTGGTTGTCGGCTAGTTCTCAGATCAGCACAAAGGGGCGGTCGCTCCCACGGTCACCGACACCACAGACACCACGGACTCAGGATTGAACCCGCGCCGTGCCGTTGGCGGCGTTTTCAGAAATCGCATCTAATAAGCCATCCACATCCACATGAGCGAGAACTAGACGAAAAGTGCGTTCCGGACACTGCGGGCTAACGACGCGCCGAGGGGCTGTAGTAAACCAAAACACACGGCCGGTCGCCGGTCTGCTCTGCTCCCCGCCTTCGTCGGTGGACAACAACACAACTCTCAACCACAACAACATGCACCAGCACCAGCCAGCCACGCCGGAGGGGTGGGGGTGGGGGTGAGGGGTAAGTCCAAACAATGGCCTGCCGAGCCGAGCCGAGCCAGCATCGCCGCCGGGCCGACGTCGGTGGCGGTGCTGCAGTAGTAGCAGCAGCAGGCAGCAGGAGGCTGCAGCGGAGGCTGCAGAGCAGAGGGAAGGACACGCCGAAGCCGAACTGCCCGACCCGAACCCGAACGCATCGGCCGAATGCCGAATCGAGCCGAACGCCCGAACGCAATCGCCTCACCTCTCCGCGCTCCCCTCCCCCTCCCGGACTCGTCCGTCCAACCAACCAAATACTGTCGCGAGAAAATTTCTAGAAGAATCGTCTGCTCAGCTTTTGGGAAGGGGCCGAGGCCGAGACCCGGGCGCTGAAGATCGCTCAGCTAATTTCAACGGGTTACGGTCGGGGTGGGCGGGGCGAACAGGCCGCGCGAACTGTGCTGTTAGACCTCATGCTGCAGGCCACCAGTAAAAGGCCATAAACACCCAGCGGCACGCGGACCCCCGGAGCAGCCCTGCGAGTCGGAGTCGGGGGCAACCCGCAGCGCAGGGGCCTGTCACGAAAGCATGGCTCCCGGTGCAGGACCACTTCGCAAACTTTGTGTGTCCTCCTCCTCCTGGGTCTGAGCTTTGTTTTGGCGTGTTCCGAAACGCGTTCCTGAACGCAGGCTTGCGGCGGCTTGGCTCGGCTCGGCTCGCTAACCGCAAGCCGCGTTGGTGCGTTCGCGTTCAGAGCCGCTTCCGAAAGGGAAGGCGGTGCAGTGTGGCGGTCCCTCCGCCCTCCACCGCGGCGCGGGGGCGGGCCAGGGCGGGCGCGACTCGCGGCGGGGGGTTCCGAGGACTCGTTTCATCGCTCTGTCGGTCTCACACACACATACGGGGCACTCCTTGAGTGCGACAGAGACAGAGCGGTGGAACGTCTCTTCGGAATGATCCTGTCGCGCAGCGCAATCGCGCGAAGCGAAAGACCCGCCGTAAAGCGAATGGATTGGGACGGGAGGATGGGAGTGATCCTGGCGCGTGTCGCGTCGCCTCGCCGCTCTCCGCGGCGGTCGTGACTGATCGTGACGCCGCGTCACCCACACCGTCGTGACGACGGAGAAACCGAAATCGGCGACAGCGTCGTCCTGCCTTCCGGTAGGAACTGCACTCGGGCCCCATCAACGTTGGGCGCCAAAAATCACGAAGCCGCCGAGCGAGAGCGTCGTTTGGCTGGGAAAATTCCGAAGCAGCCTTCCGTCGAAGCGCGTTCAGGTCTCCTTTCGGAGAAGGCCAGCCTGGAGGTCTGCGCCCTGCGCGCGCCGCTCGCCACCCGAGGGGTTATCGACTGGTTATGGGGGTTTGCATGTCGATGCCCGGCCGGCCCTTCATACCTGCAGTGGAGCCATTTCTTGAAAGGGACAGCGCGAGGTGCCCGCCCCGTCGCCCCGCCTCGTCGCCTTGTCCGCCTGGCGTCGCTCGGGCCACCTCGGGCCACGAGGATGTCTGGGGGGATTAGCAGATCCTGGGAGCATGTCGTCGACCGGTGGCGGTGACGCGGTGGCAGTGTGTCTCCGGGCCACTCCGGACCAAGGACGAGCCGGCGGCTCCTGTGTTTGTTTCATTAGCGAGTCATAAAACCGGGCCGAGGCGAGGGCAGCACGGCAACAATACCTCGGACCGGACCGGTGCAGAGTGCTGCAGACCAGATGTGCTTTTGTCGGAAACTGAACAGCGCGTCACCAGCGTCACTCACGGATCGCCGGAATTCGCGGCGCGACGTGGAGGCGCTGGAGGCGGAGTTGGGGCTGGCGGTTGCACTGCGCACTGCCTCCAGGCGCCTGAGGACTTTTTTCCTGATTTCCCCCCTTTGTCAGCGAACGTTGCGACAGTGTTTCGAACACAGTACAGCAGCATGCGTTGCGACGACACCAATCGCGTTGAGGATGACGGGGAGGGGCTCGGTCTTGCCGACATCCTGATGGAGGACGCGCGACGTGCGCGCGGGGGGGCCTCGCCTGGGCCACGCCGCGGTCATCGCCACCGCCGTCAGGCTGGACGCGGTACCGTACTGGCCACCAGTACACTGTACACTGGCGTGCAGTGCTGCACTTACGGGTACAGTACCGACGGCGGCCTGCCCGCAGGGTCGTCGGCCGTCCTTGCCGCCGCTGGCCGCCGCGTGCCGCGTGGTCCCGTGGGATAGCCCGGCAGCCCCGGCAGCCCGGCCACTTGGTCAGCCCCCCTTCCCCCTTTACCACCTGATCCGGGCGAGGAAAGGAAGGAGAGGAAGAAAGCAGCATTTCCCCCGCCCCCCCTCCCCCGGCCCGGTTTGTGCCCCACCAGGCCCTGCCCCACCAGGCCCCACCTGCCCCGACGCGGGTCCTGGCGGCCCGCTGGCGGCGTCGGCTCGTCTCAGCCAGCCCTACCGACCCAGTGCCGACACGGCGCCGTCGTCGTCGTCCGCCAAACAGACCGCCGCGCTCCAGACACACGCGCCGCTCGCCCGCGCCGCCGTCCGCGCCGCCAACGTGCTCGCGAGCTCGCGCCGCCGCGCCAGTGTCCTACAACTGTAACGGGGACTAACGGGCACCGCGGCTGTGCCCGTGCGCGCGCGCGCGTGTGTGTGTGTTTGTTAGTGTACGTGCTCCAGAGTGCCACCTGTCGTTCGCACCCACTGCTGGGCGGAAAGTGCAAGTGGTCGGTGGCGCGCCCTGACCGGCGCGGCCCTCTGGGTGCCCCTCTGGGTGCGCCCGGCGAGTCCCGGAGTCCGGGGCCATCCAGCCACCCATCATGAAGGTGAGACACGTGCAGGGTGAGGTTGTTGTCGGCGTCGCGACGCAACGCCTCGGAAAACGACCCGCCGGCGCAGGGGATCGAACCTGGGGGCGTGATTGACGATGCACCGGCTCTGCACCTCCCACGGCGGATTGGACTAGATTACGACACAGAGTGCGTAATTCGCTCGCCGCCGATGGCAAGAGGGTTAATAGAGTGACTTTCCAGTGACTGCATGTGGAGCCGCAGTGAGGCGCAGCGACGCCCAGCCCCACGTTGACCACTGGCCAAGAAAAAGGTCTTCAGGGGCTGGCGCGCTGGCTTAGCGCTGGCGCTGTCGGTGGGGCAAGGTCCTGTATGCAAATCGGTGGACCGAATCGGTGCACCAGACTGATTCCGAGAATCGCTGTCGTCGCCGTGTCTGGCGCACTCACGGGGCGTCGAGTACAGGTGCGACAGAAACGGAGCGACGAAAAGGACTCTCGGAATCAGTGTGCTGGTTGACGCCTTGCCCGCGAGCGCCACCAAATTCCAGGCCTTGCAGGCGCCAAGGCGGCCTCGGTGTCGCCCGCAGCGTGGTGTCGTCTGCACTGCTGTCTTTCTCTCTCCCTCTCATGGCGTGCCCCGTGTGGGTGGGAGAGAGACAGAGCGACGGCCTACAGTGTGTCGTCCATTCCGCCCCTTTCTCCACTTGCGCAGTGCAGTGCCGGCCCGCCGGCCTCAGGAACCGGGCAGCGTCCTCTTGCGCGCACTTACGCCACCACGGGGACCACGGGGGGCATGGTGGCGGTGGGCGTGGGCAGTGCACACGCCCAGCGCACACGCGCAGTCGAGCCCGTCTATGGTAGTCCGAGTGCCATAGGCGGCCACAGGGCCCGCGGCAGAGCCAACAAACGCCTCCCCCGAGTAAGCAGTGATGACAGTCCACGAAAACGCAAACACACGGAGGGTTTTCGTCGCTCGGCCCTACGACGGGACGCCCCATGAGTGCGAGAGGGGCAGAACGACGAAATCAGTGTGCTTGATGGTGTGCACGACGTCGCGGGCACGCTTGGCGCGCTGCAGTCCGCTGCGTGCGTGCGCGTGCGCCGCCGAGTGCATAGTCTAGTATAGTGCCAGCCACGGTGTGCTCCGCTAGGCTCCGGCCCGGCGGCCGGCCGGCATTGCATCACCCTTATCACCGGAGATCCCCTGCTCCCATCGCCCCGTCATCGTCATTACCGACAAGGCCTAGAAGGCCTAGAAGGAGAAGGCCCGGCCGCGCCAAGCGCCCGGCGCGAAGCCCAGTCCGACTTTTCTGTGTCAATTGCTCTGCTACGAGTCTTCCAGTGCAGCAGCGGCCGCGTCTGCAGTTTTTTACGCGGCGACGCCCTTCTCTTTTATGGCATAATGCCACCGGGAAATTCGCCGCACTGCCGCTGCACTGCCTGCCGGACTGCCGGACGCGGCAATCAGTTGCCGATACTCCCGCCGATAGTGGCTGGGGAATGATTGCGGAAGGTGCCGGAACCCGCGGCTTGACAATGGCGAGCAGGGCTGCCATCCGGGTATCACTGGCTGGCTGGGGTGCTTCCAGCTTCCCCCGCGGCTTACCTTCGGCCGCGCACTGCTTCGCAGCGAACCGCTTTCGTAAGCCCGACGCCCCAACGAGCGGCCGGCCCTGCGATTTGGGTTTTTAATTAGGCGCCGCGAGCAATTTGGTGCAGGCACAGTGCAGGCACGCTGCTCCTAGGATTAGTTAGTATTATTGCAGCATGATCCGGACGGACAGCATGTTGTGCTGTGTGTTTCCGCCGCTGCTGCTGACGTCGCACCGGCGGCGCCGGCGGCCAAAACTCTAGACGCGTTTTGAGCTCCAAAGTCGCTAAACAGGACTCGAATCAACCGTGTGACCCCACCAATGGATTCCGCGTTCGGAGAGCAATCCATTGATGGGGTCACACGTTCGGTTCGAGTTTCATTTAGTGACTCTGGAGCTCAAAACGCGTCCGGGATATTGACCGCCTCCACCGGCCTTCTGGCACACTGTGGTACGGCGCCGTGGCACAATGTGTACACTGTACTGTACCGCGAGTGGCGAGTTCCGTTCGGCGAGACGCGCGCGGCCGCCTCGTTGGGCAACGCCTCGGGGATGCTGGGCACGCTGCAACGCGGGCAACGCGGGCTGCACGGGCAGCATGCAGACCAGACGGCACCGCACCGGCCGCTTTGTCGAAATCCTGCCCGCGCGGAGGAAATGCCCGTGGATCTCTCCGTCGGCACGCGCGCGACTTTGGACTGTGACTGTACCTCCGGGGGGCTCCGGGGGCCGCACCACGTGCCGCACCCTCCGCGGCGGGGCGTCCACGTTACGGAGATGGGAAATCGCGTCGCCGAAAACGCCGCGCCGTCAGAGTCAATCAGCTGTCGCGGCCGGGCCGCCAAAATGGAAATGGATTCGAGGATCGGCGGCCCGGCCGCGCGCTCTTTGTCGTCGACGCGGAGCCTCAGTTGTGTCACCCGGGCGAATGGGACCCCCCCGGCGTACCCTGGCGGCGGCCGCGACAGCGCCGTTGGAGATGAAGGATGATTTGCATGCGTGTCCTCGACGGACAGGTGCGTGTGTGTGAGTGCGTGAGTATGCACGCCTGTGCCAGATTTGAAGATGGTAGCGTAAGAAGCACAACGTACAACAGCGCGTCGCCATGCGTGGTGTGTGTGTGAGTGTGTGACCTCCTTGGTTGCACGGCCCTCTCGTTCCCGCGAGGCGTTCCCTTGACGTCGTCGTCCCCCGGCAGGTGTACTATTGGTGCCCCGGCAGAAAGGGGCCGGTCATAAGTTACCGCTAGAAATGGCTTTGTCCTCGCGCGCGCGCGTTGGGCGGTGACAGCGGCGGCGGTGTGGCGGCGGCGGACTCGACGGCGTGCTCGGCGTGTTGCCCGCCCTCCGGGGCCGCCACTGCAATCATTGTTCGGAGGGCGCCCCGCCCCGGGCCGCATCCCGCACCGGCCGGCCGTTTCCGCGGAACGCGATGCTTGCTGGACGCCCGTTCCGTTTCCAGGTCAACAAGTGCGTCATCGCCAGCCAGCAGGCCCAGCAGGCCCAGCAGGCCAGCACCCGCGGCTGTCGTGAAAGCGGCGAATTAGGCAAGCTTGCTTGATGTACTACGTGTCAGCGTCAGGGAGACGAGAGGACATCGGTGTTCATTTTCTCTGAAGGACACTTGCTCAACCCAAGGCACTGCCTTCGACAGCTACCGCAGACGACCATGTCACCGTCAAAATGTAAAAAAACGTTTTGATCCAAAAAAAAAGCCGCTACAACAACACACGAAAAAGGCTCCAGGGCCAAGGTCGACGAGTGCCACCGCTGCTGCAAAGGCGACCTCATTCTGGGCACGCCGTCGTGCGCTCCGCGGACCAGCGGCGGCCTACCTCCAAGGGGAGCCGCCGTTTCTGAGTGTGCACTATTGGCTGACTCCTTTAGCAACGCACTGCGGTGTTCTGTTGTTTGTGGCACGAGCACGGTGGAATCGGGACGCTGACACGCGGTCCCAGGGCCGCGGGCCGCGGGGTCTCTGCGGTGGCACCGCGGTGCCCCGCTGGAGCCTGCGTACCTGGCGCCTTGCGCGCTGTCACGCGTGAGGTGAGGTAGGCAGAGGCTCGCCGCCGGTGACACGCTGCACGCACGCTCGCCTCGCGGGGCTCGCGGTACCCGGCGGTACCCGCCTGAGGGCCGCGCCTTATGCTTCGCCTGCCTTTTTGTCGCCACAAACTAAACGTTTGGTGGGGGGCCAGCAGGCCCCGGGCCCCGGGCCCCATGTCGGACCGGGCCGGAGAGGTTCCCAGCCGCGGCGTGGCGGCGCGGCGCCTGAGGTGAACCGGGTGGGCTGGTGGCCTACTGCTTGAGGCTGCGTTCGCTTCGCGCCGAACCGCCACTGCACGGGCACGGGAAGGATCTTCTTATTTTGAGGGGCAGCCGTCGAAGAGTCCAAGACGGCAGCGTCGTGCGTCCCCCGAGATGCCCCGAGGACACCACTAGGACGGCGCCGCGGGCAGGCGTGGCGCCACACTGCAGTTGCTAGGGTACAGTACGCAGTCCGAGGCAGGAGGCTGGCTTAGCACATTACTCGGAAAACGAGCAAAACGGCAAAAGTGGTACGACGGCCATTTCTAATTTGCCACCCTGGAGCTTTTTTTTTTTTTCACGCCGAGGCCTTCTGAATCCTCGCTCGCGGGAATCGACTCGTGAGGAAAGGAAAACCTCCTGTAACGCAGCGACGCAGCGACGCAGCGCAGGTAGCGGCCCCGTTGGGCCGTTGCGCCCCGCGACGACTTTCTTCGCCGCACCCATGCCAGGCAATGCCAGGCCAGGCATACGCGTCTCGCTTGTTCTCCTTGACGAATCATTAGCGACACACACACACACACACACACACACACACGGCACTCACACACACACGGCACTCACACGCTGCTGCAGCGGGTTTTATGCGACCTTCCTGCATGAATCCATTTGATAATCTGGGTCGGGCCGCGCCGCATGCATTAGGTCTCGAAAAAGCAGCGAAGGTTGCCCAACGATGGCGATGGCGCTGGCGCGCGTACTCCAGCGTGAAAGACGAGTTCAGGGGTTCAATCCCCGCCACCGGCCTGCTGCGCCTTCTTCAAGCGGCACATCGACAGCGATGAATGGATGACATTGTCCGGGGCAGTGGCACTGCAGTGGCCGTGGAGGGCGTTAGGTAACGCGGTGCGTAACGTTACGAGCTCGCCGCCCACCCGCAGTTAGGGCAGCGGCCAGCCGTGCAGGCAGCCACGCAGCCAGGCAGCCAGCACGGCGTGACGGACGCTCTGCTTCAAGGGGCTCGGTGCGCGCTGCGTCGGTCGATGAAGTGCGGGATGCCTACCCGCCGCGCTGAAGGCCTGCGGTTCAGGGGTCAGTGAACAGCCATCCGGCAGATTCGGAAGCGAGTACGCCGTTGGCGGTCATACCGCCCGCGAATGCGCCCGTGAGCCTTGCATCGCGTCGTGTCGAGGGACCGCTGTGTGAGTTTCCCAGACGATGCACGGGGAGGCCGCGAGGCCCGTGTGCTCGTCCTTCCGAACGGCTCGGCAGGCGATATGCGCCGCCGGATTACCTACAGGATTACCGCCACTCGAGCGTGGCCTCGCCGGGCATGGCCAGCCCAGCCCAGAGGAAAGTAAAAGCCACGCCGACCGACTGCCAATATGCCTACCGTGTGTGTGTGTGCACGCGCGTGCGTGTGTGTGCGTGTCACTGCCCTTGTCCACCTACCCGTCGAGTCCGGCCGACCGCCGTCGTGGAAAGCAAAGCTGGCGCGTCCAAGTTGGGCCCCTCCGCGCGCCGCGTCCGTCCCATCCTTCCCCCTCCCCCTCCCCTCCCGCCTCCAAGAGCACTTTCTCCGCCCACCGCGCCGCCGCCCGCTCACCTCACGGTCAACAGCTGACCAATCCCCCCTCCAGTCCACGCGCTCACATTTTCCCACCCCTTTCCTTTATGCCGTCATCGGCGTGCTCATCGAGCAGGGCGCCTCGTCCTCGTCCTTCCTCGTAACCGCACGCGGAACGGCGGAGCGCGGCGGAGACACGACGGCCACGTCGATGGTCGATCACCTCGCCTCCCACGCCGCGGTGCCGCGGTCCGTGATGTCATGTTAATTCCCCGAACAGCCCGCGGAGCTTTCTCGTCCTCGACAGGGACAGCGGCCATTATCGTAATAATGCACTTCTTGTCCCTGCGGCCAGCCGGGCAGCCGGGCAGGCCGCGGACCGGGCGCCGGGCCGGGCCTCCGGAACTCTATTCTATTCCTTGCAGCGGCAGTCATCACAGTCCGCGCGCCAAGTGCAGGGAAGTGCCGCCACCGTCGTAACTTCGTCGTCCTCGGTCTCGGTCTCCAGGGCCGGCTGGCTGGGCTGCCGGCTGCATAGGGCAGCCTCCGGCCGGGCCGGCAGAGGCGCGGAACTATTTTGCAGCTTCCTGCGCTGCGGGGAGAAAAACTGAGTTGCGTGGCGGCGTCATTCAGGGCGTGCCGACGCCCACGCGGCTACTGTTATGGAGGATTCCGATTTTTGTTTTACATCTCCTGGTCCAGCCAGCCACGCAGCGCCCGCCGGTTCGGTTCGGCCGCGGGTTCGGCGTCGGCGCGTCGGCGCAGCGCACATCCTGTTTCACGTTCTACTTGTTTGTCCGCAGATGGTTCGCCTTGAGGCCGCCGGCGCGCTGCTGGCGGCGCTGCTGCTGTGCGCGGGCCTCGACCCCGCGACCGCCAGGGGCGTCCCCGCGCGGTCCGCCAGCACGACCAGCACCGAGGCGACGCCCGCCCACCACCAGCCGGCCACCAAGCGCGACCTGGAGAACGACATCGACTTCGACGGGCTGGTCTCCAGCGGCGAGCAATCCAGTACAGTGGAACAGGTAAGCGTGGCCGGTCCAATCACGAAAAGTCCCACTCGATGCACTGCTTATTGACGCGCTCCGGGTGAACTTCTGCCGCAGGTACTGAACCAGTCACGCGGTGTCGCCGTCGACGCGGAGGAGACCGTCGCGGAGGTGCAGAGGATCCTGGACCGCCACCCGAAGCTTCCGCGGCTGTCCCGGGGAGACATCCTCGCCATCCTGGAGAACATCACCAAGTCGTCGACGGACTTCGCGGACGCCGCCGTGACGACCGCCTCCTCTCTGACGACGACCTGGTCGGCGAGCGGCGAGCAGACCGACAGCCTGGACACGGTGTACGCCACGGAGCCGACCACGCCCACGCCAGAGGGGGGCGTGGCCATGGTGGTCAGCACCACCAGTGACCCGGAAGGAGCCGACGGCAGCGCCACGACGCCGGGGCTGGCCGGGCCGGACGCCAAGGGACGCGTGGAGCACGCGAGGGAACTCATGGTGGTGCTGCCGTTCAGCGCCACGAACCTCAGCGAGACCAACATCAAGGAGCTGTACACCAAGGCGCCGCTCACGCGTATCATAGGCGACGAGCCAGGGTGGGTAGCGGCTTCGGATTGGTTTAGAGTCGAACTCGAGTAAGTGCGACTGTTACTAACTGTATTTGCCTTTGCTCGCAGCAACGAGTACCCCAGCAGGCCGCCCCCGCGGAAGTCGTCGCGGCCGCACCGCCGGCGCCCCACGGCCACACCTGCCCCGACGACCACGCCGCCTGCCACCCCCGCGTCGTCGCTCGCCGACTACAAGGTGATCGAGGACCTGGAGAGCGACGCGCCGCCCCCCGCGCAGGAGGTGTTCGTCACTCCGCCGAGTCAGCGAGTGCGGGCGCCGGAGAGGAAGCGGCCCCAGTACACGGACCAGCAGCAGCGGTGGCGCGCGCCGGCCACCCCGACCCCCGCGCCGGAAGCCTCGTCCTTCGAGGAGGACGACGTGGACTACACGACCAAGAAGCGGCGCCCGGGATCCACGGGGCGACCCTGGCGGGGGCAGCGGAGGACCACGGCCTTGCCCACCACGACCACGTCCACCACCTCGGCGCCAACTGAAGGCACGGTGGAGCCCACCGTGATCCCCAGCAACCACAAGCCCGTGTACACCGAGCCCACCGTCAAGCCGTGGCGAGGAACCACCCCGCCGCCCGCCGTGCCCTCCAGCACCAAGAAGGCCATTGCTGCCAGCAAGTACAAGCCGGACTACGACGCGGACATCGTCAAGAAGCTGACGCCCGGAGGGTGGAACCCTGTGGCCGCCGAGCCGGGCAAGGACGCCAAGCGAAAGGGGCCCGGGGCCCGGCCCGCACCGCCACGCGGCACCCCGCTGCCCTCGCTGCACGACGTGAAGAACGCCATGCTGCCCGCCACCACCATGCGCCCCGTCCTGCGCGACGACGTCAAGGAACTGCTGGCGTCCATCGGCCTCAAGACCGGCGCCATCAACGTGGGCGTCGCGCCGAAGCGCAGCACCCTGGCGCCCACCACGGCCACCACGACGACCACCACGACGACCACCACAGAGCCACCCTACCCCAACGCGGCGAACGCTGCTGACTCGCTGACGCCCGAGATGAAGGAGATCCTCATGTCCATCGGGCTGCTGCCGCGCAAGGGCGAGCCGCCACTGCCAGTCCCGGGGGCGATGCCGACGCCGGCGTCGCAGGGCCCCGTCATCACGACGCAGCCCGTGGTGCCCGCCATTGACCCCAGCTCCTACGTGCAGTTCAAGCCGCTGCCCCTCGCCTCCCAGCGCCCCGACGGCCCGCCCGCGCCCACCGGCCAAGTCAGCGAGGACATGCAGGAGTTCCTGGCGTCGTTTGGCCTGGTCCCGGCCATCCAGTCCGCCCGCATCGTGTCCCGCCCCGAAGAGTACATCAACATGGACGACCTGTCGTCGGCTCGACGTGGCGCCAAGGCGATGCAGGCCGCCGCCGTGGAGGACGCCGCGGTGGATGCCGCGATGGACGCCTCCCCCGCGGTGGTTCCCGCCGAACCAGAGACGGACCCGGACAACACGTCCTACGCCGAGCTTGGCAGCGAGGAGCCACTGCCCACCGCGGCCAGCCTGCTGCCCGAGGGCGCCGCGGATGCCGCCGACGCCGCCGACGCGACGGTGCTGGAAAGCCTGTCGCTGCCGGACGACGTGAAGGCGGCGCTGGACAACCTCGGGCTGACGAGCGACTCTCAGACATCGGCGACCGCGCCGTCGAGAAACGGCAAGCGCATCGACGGCGTGGGCAAGAAGCACGTGTTCAACCCAGTGGCGCACTCGGCCAAGCTGGACGACCGCCGCGAGGCCGAGAAGGTCATTAAGCTGCTGTCCAGCATCCGCGTGCTGCCCATCGGGCCCAACGGCACCGCCATCATCCCCGTGGACATCATCGCCGACCTGGTGGCCTCCACGGCGCCGACCAGCGCCACCACGCCGGCGACCTCCACCACGGCCTCGTTCGGGTTCAGGAAGAAGGAGAAGAAGCAGTCGGGGCGCCGGCGGCCGCAGAAGCAGGACGACGAGCACCGCCTGGTGGAGGACAGTGGACCCAGCCCGCTGTCCAGCGAGGAGCTGCGCCTGTTCCTGGACGCCGCCAAGAACGAAGTGAAGCGCCAGCAGACCGCCAGCAGCGCGTCGAGCAGCTCGTCAAGCAGCGCATCATCGTCTAGCTCGTCATCGTCGAGCTCGTCCTCGTCGTCAAGCAGTGACACTGCTGTAACAGCGTACGACGAAAATGCGGCTGAGATCCCCACCACAGTCAGTGATAGCGATAGCGTGGGGGACTCAGCCTCCAGTTCGGGGACGACCCCCGCCATGTCGTCCAGCACCAGCACCACGACGACGACCACCACGACCACCGAGGCGCCGACCGCCAACCTGGACGACCTGGCAGCCTCGTTCGGCGGGGATGGCGACAGGCCAAAGATCGCGGCCCCCGTGGACACGCTGCCCCCCGCCAGGCCCAACGGCCTGTACTTCCTGTTCGACTGGAACACCTTCCTCAACGTGGGCGAGGAGGGCAAGAACCCCGTCAAGCTCAACTTCGCCCCGCGCATCGGTGACCCAAAGAGATTTATAGAAGTTAAAGTTCCCTGAGTCTCCTTAGCCTGAAGCCCTTTATTGACTGAACAGATGGCTTCTCAAAGCCTCTTTGTACCAAAAGGAGTGAAATACATTGCGTTTCATAGTGTCTGAAACAACGATAAAAAATGGTAATACTTGCAGCACACAAGGGCAGTGTGACTTGCCTCTCTCTATTTTCTGAAGTCATTCTCCAACTACAAATATACACTGTTTAAGTGTGCTTCAATGTGATGGTAGGGTCTATTTAAATTTTGTGTAAATATAGTAATTTAAGATGTAATCTTATGTGAACAACATAAAATAAATATTATTTATATACCTGTGACTTTGTAATCTTTACCCTCAAATCATCAAACACCATCTCAATAATCGTTAATGAGAGAAAAATGAAAAGACACAAGATTGGCTCTTTCTGATACGTTTATTGACATGGCTTGTGCTAAAAACAGCCGAACTTAACGGTCCATTGAGGACTTCCCCAGGAAATTTTCATTAACAATTTTAAAGCACACTACAAAATTGAACAATATTTTATTCTTTTAGTCTTGCAGTGTGCATGAGTAATTTCATGAAAGAAAAGTTCAAAGAAGTATGATAATCAAAGAGCATCAGAAGTCATTAGAGACACATATTTGCACAACAAAAAAATAAACAAATTAAGGAGCAAGGCAAGTAGATATCACACATGAATTATAAAACAATCTTGACAGTTAATGGATAAAGTAAGATAAGAGATTATTATTTACATGAGGCAACAGGCATCTTTTAAGTACATCTGTACAGAGTAAAATCACACAATTATTGTCAAAATTTGGCTTTGTTTGACAGGTGGGCATGCAAGTAAAATTGAACAGACTTTTCTGGCTGCATTAGAACTTACAAAATATGTATTGCTCTTCAAGAAGAAATAATGATTTAATTATTTCACAATGAGTGTAAAATCAAAGTAAAGGTGAAAGTTGCAAGGATGAAATTTAATACTCTGTATATTGCCATAATATAAAATTGGTAGCACAGCTACATGAATTGATAAGTTTCACTGCACAAATCTGAGCTGAGTTCAGAATGACTAGATCAGCAGTCTACAGACAGTTGTGCAAGGACTACTTGAAACTATTCCCTGACAGTATTTTTAATAATAAAAAAGGCCCTAGGTAGCTTTTAATTATACCTGACAAGCAAAGTTAATGTCTTCAGAAAACTTCCCTAAACCCTTATACAACCTAACAAGACATATTGAAGGCCTTAATTCTTTGTAGAGGAATGTTCATGGCTTAATATCACATCATATGCACCAAGATAAACTTCTAACAATGAGAATTGACTTTCACAAAATTGCACTAGGTCTTTAGCACATCTGTGCTCACTAACACAAGAAATATTCGGTATAGCACCTAATATTCACATTACAGAGGAGGGTAAGCTTTACAACAGGTCATACATTGTTCTATTTGAAAGCTAGAAGAATCACAACAAAAATGTTAATTTGGGTAAATTCTCATTAGTGTTTATAACTTTACTTTTCATCGCCTTCAGTGCTGGATGCAGCCATTTTTGCAACCTTTGCCACCAAGCCTTCAATTTGATCAGCATCTTGCAAGCCAATGAACTTGTCTACAACTCTTCCATGTTTAATGGCAAGCACTGCAGGCACTGCTTTGACTTCAAATGTATGAACAAGTTCAGCATTGTCTTCAACATCAATGATAGCGAGGTCCAACCCCTCAGTCTTCTCAACTATTGCCCGTAACTGAGGAGTGAGAATCTTGCAGGGATCGCACCAGTCTGCATGGAAATTGACTATCACAGGAACATTGCTGTTCATGACCTATGCAAAAAAGAAAAGGGTGTCAAAAGGGATAGAAACAAAATAAAATAAAAAATTCCATAAATAAATTAAGTGACTGAAATTTGACTCACCTTTTCCATAAAGTCGTCATTGTTTGATACTTCAAATACTTTGCAAACAGAGCTAGAGTGTGATATGTATCGAAGGCCACTGGGCTTGGGCTTCAGCCTTTGCGGTAGAAGACAAAATGAACCTGTGCATTGACCATTCCTCGATGCATTAGAGCTTGCCAGACCTCTGAACACTCCACGAGAAACTGTTGTACTGTGGAGAAGTGGTTGTGGGTTCAAGCATGAGTCCACCACGATTGGGACCAGGCGAATGTTGCGCAGACAAGTAGATACACTTCGGAGAGCCATTTCTGCCTTCTTGAATCACGAAGTCAAATGGTGAAATAGAGTACAAACGGCTACAGCGTCCACCTTTTGATGGGTCTGGCAATTCTAGCTTCCATAAGATGGTTCAGCAAAAATAAGACTCCACCACCAGCGGCAGAGATTCCAAGCAGTAGCACCAGCGCAATTCTCCACAAAAAGAGTGTGTCATACACCTGAAAAAGAAAAAAAATGATCAAAATATTAATTAAAATTCCCTGTCTATGAAATTTAGATACCAAAAACTTTTTCCAGTAAGCAATGTGCATAAAAACGTGCGAAACATACAAAAATGACAGGTTTGATATATGACCAGTTGCTGCAATATGATGTTAAAAGAACTCAAATTGTGCAAAGGTGGTGGTTAGGTTAGTAGTCCCAAATAAATGGCATTGTGAAAGAGATTTTCAAACGGTGCCAATTTCTCAGATATTGTTTTACCTTATTTGCATCTTCATTAGGTTTTTCCGATTCCCTCGGAATGAAAATGAGAACTAGGGTCAGGAGTGCAGCAAGGCAAACTGCATGAACTCCTAAGTTCTTTTGGGTATGGGCCGACACAAAGCAAGCCAGCAAAGCACCCAGCCAAATCCCTACTAGGAGGAAGAGACCGAATCCAACGCCAAGCACAAGCGATGTCATGACCTGAAATGTATTGATATTTTCTTAACTTTTCACTACAATCTTTGATTAAATGATGAAAAACGAATAAAATTATTGCATCTCAAAGAACTAGAGTCAGTGTCAGTTAGCATTAAATATGCAAAAACACCTCAGAGGGCTTAGTGACCATTAGTGAAGGTTATGTAAGGGTGGCCAGTAGACCCGAGATTGTTACGAAATGCGTGGGGAAACGTTTGAAAGGGAGAACTTAAAAGGTAAGGTTTAAAAAAATTGAGATCCAATGTCACAATGAAAGAAACTGTGGGTCGTAAATTATGAATGAAGGATAAATCAAACAAGAAAGCACCTGCTACACTCATATTTATCATGCGATCATTGCACGAAATAAACCAACATAGGAGAATGTGTACGGCGCAATTCCTGACACAGTTCACAATTCACACAACAAACAAACACAAAGTTATTACCAAAAATAAGCAGAAAGGCCACGGAGCAGAACCCAGAAGTAGTAAACTTTGTTTTTCTTTCAATGAAGGGTAGCCAACCGTCAAACAGGAAACTCCCCGTAGCGGAGATAAGCCTCTTTGTAGAATGGAGCTTACAAATCTTTTCAAAAGTTACTTTGTGCCCATCGTAAAATTCAAAACAAAATCATCTTAAATTTCTAACTGCGTTTCTTCGGCGGGCCAAAAAAAAAAAAAAAAAATGTTTACACTTTTTGTTTTCAGGCTAACCCTTTTTCCACATTTCGTGTGGCTCTTAGTTCAAATAACCCACTGCGGTTGATCTAGGTTTGGCACAAATGTCCTGTTGAGATGGCTGGCTGCCTGGAAAGCAAGAATGCTTCCATTTCGTATTTTCGCGACTTTGGTTCAGCAAGGTAGTCGATCGCGGACGGCAGTGCCAGTGAGGCGGCCGCCGGGAAGGTAGGCAGCCCATTCAACGTGGCCGCCAGTTGGGTTGCCCACTTCGCCGGCGGCCATCGCGCGGGCTGAGAGAGGGGCAGCGAAATCAACCTCGCTGTGCCTTTTCTCACGTAAGGACCCTGTCGACAAAGGCCATTGAGAATCGATTTATTCTGGGCCCTCGGCGTTGCCTGGAGTCTTGAAGTAGCGGAGGAGATTCCCGGCAAGTTCGCCCGTAAAGGTGAAAAACTAAACGCCCCGTACTCCAATTTACTCTTTTAAGCAAAGGCGCGCTGTTTCACAAATTGCGTTCCCCAGCTGCTTTTCCACACGCTTGCCCCCACCGCCCCTCCCCGCTGACTTCGTTAAAGGGCCCCCACGCAGCTTGGCTCAACCCTTAGCACCCCCCCCCCCCCCCCCCCGGCCGACAACTCCCTGCCCCGCCCCTTGTAGCTTTAGCGGCTCGGCTCGGCGCTGGGAGCTCTCCGTGTCGCGTTATACGCTCGTTAACACACACCAAACTCATTTAGCGCCTAAAAGCAAAAGCCCTCTCTCCGCCGCCCGCGCCACATCGCGCCCTTTTAGCGTCGCAAGTTGGCTGGGGGTGGAAAAGGAGAAGGGGGGGGGGGAGGGTGCGAACTTCGGAGGAGGAGGAAATGACGGCTCAAGTGCAAGGACGACTGGGGAAGGAGGAGGGGACGGAGGAGGGGACGGAGGAAATGCAAACTGCTATTAATTACCTCGAGCCCCCGATTCGCCGACATTGCCTCCATCACCATCTCGAGGACCGGCCCGCTGCTCGGTCTGCGCGGCCTGCTCCCGGTGCCGTGGCGTCGGCGGTAGTCGGGCCGTAGTAAAAAGCGTTATGGCGCGAGTGAGGTGGGCGGCCTCACGGCGGCGGCGCGGCGTCTGCGCGGCCATTGCAGCCATTGCAGCCATTGCGGCCATACATTCACACTTTAGTTGCTAGGGCGGCGGGCGGCTAGAGGGGAGGGACATTTGCCGGCCGAGGTCGTTCCGTCGTTCCGAGGCTCCATTTCGCGTTTGCCTCGTCGGCTGCGCCGCGCAACGGTGGCCGATTGGAGTTGCCTGTCTGGCCGAGGTAAAAGGGGAACGGCCGCCGCGGCGCACCGGCCTCGGCCGGCCGCGGCCCCACCGCCCCCGCGGGGGTCTTTAACCATCTCGCCGGCCGTCCGGGCCGCCGTCCGCGCGTGCGGGCCGTGCGGGCTGACCATTCCGAGCGCGGCGATGGCCCCCGCCACGGCCTCCCTGCCGGCCTCGGCGGCCTCGGCCACGACGCCGTAAACGGCGAGCCTTGAGCGCGGCGCCATTCTCGATAAAAGTCCGCGGCGAGGATGGCACTCCGACTGCCGCTGCAACCTGCAACACTTTGCGAGCGCGGGGTGCCGGCCAAAAGTCTAGACGCGTTTTGAGCTCCAGAGTCACTAAACCGGACTCGAACAGAGCGTGTGACCCCACCAATGGATTCCTCGTTCGGAGAGCAATCCATTGGTGGGGTCACACGTTCGGGTCGTGTCCCATTTAGCGACTCTGGAGCTCAAAACGCGTCCAGAGGCGGCCAGCCATCGCTCACGCCGCGTGCGCCGCGCCGCCGGGCGGGCGGCCAAGGCCGCGAGGTCCTTGATTTGGGGCCCACGGCGGCCGAATATTTTGCCCCGCACACGGCATGCCGCGGCAGGGGCGGCAGGGGCGGCAGGCGTGTCGTGGCCGAGGCCAGTTAGCGCCGCCCTGCCGCGCGCCTCGCGCTGCTCTACGTGGCTCTACGGCCGCGCGGCCATATTCGTGATAACCGGATGGCCCGCCGGGAAGGCCGGGCACGCCGTGTGGGCACGCCGGGAACGCCGCCCTCCAGTTTAGTATCACGTTCAACTGCTGTCCGGAGGATTACCGGCGAGAAGTCGGTTGTTTATTTCGTCCTTCCGGAGATAGTGGCCTGCATACCGGCGGCGAGGCGGCGTGCGCACCGCACCGCACCGCGGCCCTGGGGAGCGCAGCGCAGCGCGGGCCGCAGCTGGACGCGCGGCCAAAGTCATTCCGAGTGCGAGCAGGCCTCTCTCTCTCTCTCTCTCTCTCTCTCTCTCTCTCTCTCTCTCTCTCTCTCTCTCTCTCTCTCTCTCTCTCTCTCTCTCTCTCTCTCTCTCTCTCACACCCACGGCACGCCCCGCGTGGGTGCGACGGAGACAGACCGACGGGGCCTGCGGTGCGGAGTGCGGAATCAGCCAGCAGGGGCACGCCAGTATCTCGCGCAAAGTAATTCAGGTCGTCACCCGGCCTTTACGCCCTTTACGCGCCCCGAGCACGCCATGACCTGCGTGCCCTGCGTGCGGGAGGACGGCCCCGCCGCACCCGCCAGGCCGCCGGGCCGCCGGGCCGCCACCGCTGGATTTCACGGATTCCACGGCCTGTCCGGGATTGTAGTACGGGCTTCCTATTTTACGACTCACACACACACACACGCTTGCGTGACACTGCGCGCACACACACAAATCCACACAGAGGAAGCGCGTACACTGGCCACTCAGCCGCGGGGAAGGTTTCAGTAAAATTAAGCATCGAATAAAATGATGGCGGCCTCGTCAAGACAGTACCAGTTACACTTCTCTCGTACTAGTTTAGCGAGCACTCGCGCGAGCGTGGAAAGGACCGGGCGCCAGGGCTCCGAAAGGACGACGGAACAAATCAGCAAGAACCCGGCGAAGAGGGTGCAAAACGCAGTTAGGCCCCGCGGCCGTCGGCCGTCGGTCGGACGGGGGAACTGCTGGGGCGGGAAGGGCAGGGCCATTGGGCAGGGCAGCGCGCACGGCAGCGCGCAGGGCAGCGCGCAGGGCAGGCCAAATGGAAGCAGGGAATTCTATTGGGTCTTTGTTTCAGAGCCGCGAGTTCCACCGCGCTGCTGGCTGCCTGGCTGCTCGGGCGGGCGGCGCCAAACCGAGACTGGGCCACCATTAACGCCTTGATCCGCCCTCAGCTCCCGCAGCGCTATGAGAAGGCCTCATCCACCCTAAGGCAGCCAAGCCAAGGCGGGGCGAGGCGTGGCTCGGAACAACAAGCCCTGCCCAGCACGGCACGCCACGGCACGGCACGGCACGCCACGCCACGCCACGCCACGCCACGGCACGGCAGGGCACGGCCCGCCTCGCAGCGCAGCGCCTCACCGCATTTCCTTTGGCTGCTTTTGCCTCAATCTAATTCTTGAGCCGCCCGCCCCTGCCCTCCCCGCCTCCCCCTCCCCACGACATGGCTCCCCGGGGAAACGCCCCTTTGGTATAACGCGCAGCGCGAGCAGCGCGAGCCTGGCGTACACCTCCCCCTCAAAGGCACTGCGAGCCGCGCGGCCGCGCCCTCTGCGGGCCACCCACGGCCCGAAAAGAACATGCCGTGTGTGTGTGTGTGTGTGTGTGTGTGTGTGTGTGTGTGATAGTGCGTGAGTGCGTTTGTGCGCGTGCTATGCTAGTGGATCGTGCGCGATCCACACACTACTGGCTAGGGCTAGCGTGTATCTATACCGGGAATTTGATGGGCTAGTGCGTGTAAGCAAAAATGACCATCGGTTCCAGTTTAGGGTGGATTGTTTTCATTTCCAAAAAGTACTGTGCAAAAAAAATGAGATAAATTGGCATTGTAAAAAGAAGGTAACACACAAGGACAGATGTTGTGCAAGATGCCAGACGACGTGCCGCCGCCGGACGCGGGCGGCAGCAAAAGTTCCTCTCCTAATCAGAGCCCTGCCGCCCTGCCCGATCCGCGCTTGAGATTTACAGCTGGACATTGTAAGTCGCAGCCCGTCGGTCGGGCCGACACGGGCTCGGCCAGCCAAGGCTAGACCACGCCCCTGCCGCCCCTGCCCACTATCTAGGATCTAGGGCCTTTCTCCTGGGGCCCAAAAACGAGTTGAGGAGGAAAGGGCCCCGGGCCTGCAAGGCGACGTGGTGGAGCTTGGGGCGGAGCGGAGCGGACGGAGCAGCGCAGAGAAGCAAGAGATTGGCTCTTTTGAAGACTAGCCGGCTCGTCGTGCGAGACGACCGTGCCGGGCCGTGCCGAGCCCCGCCGAGGGGAGGGCTGCCGAGCCGGGAAAACTTTACACCTACCAATTTGTGCTTCCTCTCGTCGGGACGTCGGGGCTGTCCGACGACGCACAGTGGGCCAGAAGACCGGTGGAGGCGGCCAAAACACTAGACGCGTTTTGAGCTCCAGAGACGCTTAACGGGACGCGAACCGAACGTGTGACCCCACCAATGGATTGGTCTCCGAACGATGAATCCATTGCTGGGGCCACACGCTTGGTTTGAGTGATGTTTAAGCGACTCTGGACGTCAAGACACGTCTAGAGTTTTGGACGCCGGCGCCGGTCTTCTGGCCCACTGTGCGACGGCGCGGTGCCCGGTGGAGCCAGCCGCCAGCCTCCGCTCGACTGCAGCTGCGGCCCCGCGGCTACCCGCGGCCGGAGAGCGCCTTACGGCCCACGGTAGGCAACCCAGGCGCCGAGCTGCAGTCGCGTTGCCTATCTGCCGGGCGCGCCAGCCGCGCGCGATGCGTTTCAAATGGAGGAGCGAAAAAACCCGCCGCTTTGTCGTGTTTCCTCGCCGGTTTGCACGCGTTTTATTG